CTTTCTAGAGGATATAGAATTCTTAGAATCTATAGTATATTAATACTATAATATAACTCTGAAAATATAGATTTTTTTAAGAAATAAGATATAAAATTTTAATATAAAATAAATCTCTGAATTTTAAATATAAAAATATATATTATTTATTTTTATTATAATATTTGTTAGAGTAATATTTATTTTAATAATACTTAATAAATCTAATTACACTTAGTATTTATAGAAAAGCATACTAATCTGATTTAAATTTCTGTTATATATATTAATTTAATTAAATTTCTATTATATATACTAACTAAATTCAGAAATATATATTACTATTTATAAATACTTATAATTCTATATAACTATTATCTAACAGAATAAAAATTATATTACTGTATTCTGCGTATAAAGGACTATTAGATGATACTAATTTTAAATTTATTAGATATTATTTAACTGTTGTCCTGTTGTGAAGATTTCCCTACTAGAATCGCACCAAATCCTGATAACCCGTCTACGGTGTCCTGTAACACCGCAAATGATAATACTACTGCTATCAAACTGTGATTGCACACTTTCTACCTCTAATATTATTCAGAACAAATTGCTTGATACTCTGGTTTAAATATAGTTGTCACTGCCACCACTGCGCCGCCTAATGATTTTGTTATTGCTAGTCTACAACCGTCTTTTATTACCACGGCAGAAAAGAAGCCATAAATGGAATCTCTACTGACTAATACTGAGTCATCCTTAATATTAAAATAGAATATCCAAAAATTCCAATTAATACTGCCCAGTTGTCCCGTGTTCAAACCACCACTACTACGGAGGACAATGCTATGGCGCAACTCTTGGACCTAATCGGTACTATAAGCGCGCGCTTAGCCGGGTTGGATAAACGGCTGGACTGTGTTAAAAAAATATAAGTGACTGTGTTTGTTTCTTCGTCCGTTGAGGGGGAAGTTGTTGGTGCTGGCACTAATACTTAGGCGAATCTTGCTCGGTGTCTTAGGTGACTACCCGTGGTTCTGCCATGAGTGACCGCCCGGCCAGGATAAGGAAGGCCAACCCCCGCAAGGTTCTTAAATAGTCAAGAATAAGCAAGATAATAATGACAATCTTTTGATGTTTTCGTTCATCCATTCGTAATGGCGTCACCATTCTCGGTCTTCACTTGACTGTTGTCCCGTTCTGAAGATTTCCCTACTAGAAAAATTATATCACTGTATGCCGTGTATAAAGTACTATCAAATAATACTAATTCTGAACTTATCAGATATTATTTGACTGTTGTCCTGTTTTAAAGAGCTCTCTACTACAATTCCCGTGGTGAATAAGTCTCTTCTCTCTGTTATCACTCCCCGTGTTCTGCTTTTTTAATCTCTTCCAACGCCTTCCGTATCATCTCCTGCGTACTTTCTCTAGGGAACTCCAGCTGTGCTGTCTTCAGTCTGTCTTTCCAGAGGCTCCATTTCTCCATGGTCATGCATCGACGCGGAGGTGGATCATCATCATCCCCAAAATGACGCTGAGCCTGACAGTTCTCCCATACGCGCTGACCGGCATAAATATACCAAATACATGCAGTGCGTACGGCCTCCTCTATCAGCGGCCCTTGCTCAAATGCTGATCGGCATGAGTAGAAAGCATATAAAGATGCGTCCATATACTCGCAGAAGTAATTTGCCCTCGCGGTAAGCTGCGCCATAAAGGCATTTCGGTTCTCCCACTTCTGGAGGTCTCTTGGAGGATACTCCCTTTGGGGATCCTCATCTATCTGCCGGGCATATTCTGACAGAGTTAGGAGTTAGCCATGGAATTAACTGACAAGATAGATGAGGTGAGAAGACGTGACTTACTAGATTTAAAATCAAAATAATAAAAGTCGGCTAAGTATATACTGAGATATGGAAGCTCATTCCATAGTTTGAGATCAACCGCCGTTGGCTGCTCGCCCGTGGCAGGATCGATAACCTTGGTGCGTTGTAGCAGAGCAACGAAATCGAGGAGTTTGTACTGCTGTGCTGCTGGAGTAGTTTCTGCCTTTTCCACAAGTTTGCTTATGGTATACCATGCATGATTACCATCGATGCTAGACGGGGATTCGGATTCCTGTCTCTCTTCATGTAATACCTCGCGCACCCGAAGAAGACGTTGGACTGCCTCAGCGGGAGAGACATCCGGAATTTGGATCAGCTCATCGATAATTGCAAATTCTGGTCGGACTAGTGACTTTTCGCTGGAACTTGTCATGACGAGGGGTGGTTCGGGGGTAGAAGGGGTTGGATTGGGAGGTTGAAGGAAACATGGGTCCCAGACATGATTTGAGCGATTTAAATGAAGGGCGTTGGGGCTGTGTGGAAAGCGGTCAGCACTAAGAAACTAACCAGCCAACAACTGTTTTCAACACACCACTAACCGCGTCCAGCAAAAAACCTGAAATGCCTATGGTTTTGACTGGGTGAAAACATGGATTGGGAAACAGCCCCCGCTGTACAAAAAGGAACTCCCTGCATCTGACAGGTGATTTTCATACCCAAAGGATGCCAACGTGCGCGGGTGCTGCCATTGGTGAGTAAACTACAGCCTCAGAGATCGCCCGGCCCCCGTTATGTTGGTGGACCTAGTCGCCCTGTTAATCTACCAACCGAGATGTATGCTATTTTGATCCATCTAGTAGCAGTTCGTTACAGTTCGGCCCCATTTCGCCCCAATAATGGTGGTACACACCAGCTAGGGGAAGCTGTACAGTTGACCAGAGACAGAGACCTTTCTTGGCGGCCGGAAGACATTCGATGATGCCTCGAGCTCCCCAAACTCTGTGGTGAAAAGCACAACATGATGAGAGCAGTGAGGTATAAAGCTGCTTCTCTGTACTATGACCGTCCGTGGTTTCATCTCGCCATCAACACTCAATCATTCAATCCCTCTTCATTCTTTCCCTGCTAATCTTTCTTAGCAAACTACTGCCCACACATTCCTTTCAACGCAAAGATTTCTTTTCCCAGAACCAAACAAGTCAAAATGCTTTTCAGTCTCAAGCCCACGATTCTCCTAGCCGTGGCTCTCACCGCAGTCGCCAGCCCCGTCGCCAACCCAACGGCAGATGAGCCTCATACTCTTGTTTCCCGCGCCACCATCAAAGATGTTGACTGCGATGGAACAAAGTTCACCACCACAGACATCAAAAATGCGATCAGCCAGTCAAGGACTGGCGCTGGGAAGTATCCAGATACATATGGTAACGGCGAGGGCTATTTCAAGGCCACCACCCAACTGTATGAGTATCCTTTGGTTTCGGGGGGTACCTATACCGGTAAGCTACTCCCACACCTTCTGCAGGATAAGATGGGCCTGTGCTAATACGCTTGAGAAAGGTGGCGATCCGGGCAAGTATCGTGTTATCATGAATGAGAAGTATAACTATGTTGGATCGCTATATCATATTCGTGGTGTAAGCAATGGCTTTAAGAAGTGCACCAATGTTGAGGCCAGTCCTGCTACCACGACTACTACCACCACCACTACTAAGGCCACTACTAAGGCCACTACTAAGGCCACTACCAAGACCACTACCAAGACTGGTAGTGGCAAGACGAGTCACAAGTCTGGCAGCAAGTCTAGTAAGAAGGGTAGTAGGCATTAAAATAAGTCATTATGTTTTGCTGCCTACGAAGACAAAATATCCCGAAGATTAATTGGCCTCCCAAATAGTGTGGGCGTTGCGCACAGCAAGAAGAACGCACCCATCGCTTCTGGAGTGGGAATGGTGGTCAATATTACCGCATTTTAAGTCCTGTACTTAGTTATGTATGATTAAATAACTGTTTGATAAGCCTGATATATTAGTCAAATATATTCCTCAGTCAATTGAGCATCGATCTTATAACCGAATGATCTATAGCTAAATATATCATTATATAGATGATGACCTTTGTAATCCTGCTTATATCAATCACGGCTGAGAGACTTCGAAATTGCTAGCTTAATCACATACACAACCAAAACACCTGCAGCTGATTTCTCCTCCGAACCTATTCGCGTCAAGGGTGTATTTCTACACAACTCATTCTGATCTTAAGATGAGCATAGTCCGCGATTCTACACCCCGCTCACCATCAGCTCCAAATCAACTTACAATTACTTAACTTTGTAATATTTAATAGTTCTAATTCAGCTTAGTCTGCCCGGAGGGGCCGACCACCTGCAAAAATATTTCTAGAAATATTATTTTTACATATATTATCCTTTTTCATACTATACTAGTATATAGTATAATTTAATTTTAACTATCAACTAATCAACCAATATTTATTTATTTTTTTTCTTTCTGTAATAGCATGCTGAGTGTAATAAACAGACAAGTAGGATAAATTATTTTAGATTAAAAAATATAGTTTTAATACTTATTTAGTATTAGCCACAGTGCTGTGATATCTCTAAATCTAGAATAATAAACAGTTATATATAATAGAATATTAATAATAGTAAATATCTTTTTTTATTTATTATTTTTCTATTAATATATCTCTTCTATCTCCGCTCTTTCTAATTATTTCTAGTTTTATCAGTGTTAAATTTTTGTATATATATCTTATTCTTTTCTTTTCTATTTTATATTTTTCTATTTTTTCTAATCTTATTTATTTATCTTTTTCTCTGCTTTGTAAAGCATCCTTAACTATAGTATGATTATATACTATTTATTATTTTTAATTTATATCAGAATACTGAGAAAGTAATTCTAAAGTAAATTTATAATAAATATTAATAACTTATATTATTATAATTCTATTTAGAAAGAAGAGAGCTATGTCTGGAAAGCTAATTGTCAAACCCTAGGATTGCTTCCCTGTCCCTGTTAGCTTAGTGTAAGCAACTCTTTTAGGAGAAAAGGTTAATATAAGACTATAAGGCCAGCGTTACCCGCAGATACTCTGCGGACTTCTAAAGTCCTCTATATACTCAGATACTCACATATGAGTGGCTTATAAGGTGTGATGGCGAGCGGTGTTCGCAGGCACGTGACTGAATCATGTAATATAGTTCTATTTGCTTTATTTATTTTATTTTATTTATTTATTTTTATTATTTATATATACTTTTCTACACTTTCTTCTTTTCCTTCTGGTATTTAACATTCTAGTCTAGATATACTAAATGAAATATATTTAATCAGCTTTTATATAATATTAAATATTATAGCTATATATTATTTTTCAATTAATACTATATATAGTTACTTATCCAGTAAGACTGTCAGTATTTCTCTAATATATATTTAATAATACTAGAATAATTAAAACAGAATAATCTGAGCTGAATCTCTAGAAACTACTAATTAACTGACTTTGAATAATAATAACTAAAGAAAGCTAAGCTGAATCAGCTTTATATAAAAAAAATTTATAATAATATCTAATTATTTTACTAAATGAAAAAAACTGATAATTATAAAGAGATTATCTAAAAAAAAATTAATAAAATAAATAAGAAAAATTTAAAAAAGATTTTTAATCTAGTTCTTAATTTTATAAATAAAACAAAATTAGAAATAAATACTGTGGCCGAACAGTATAATATACTTATTTAAAAATAAAATAATCTGATTAAGAAATATAATAAAATCTTTTAAAAATATAATATATAAATAGTAACAATAGTATACTATTTTATTTATAATAATTAAAGAGCTAATGCTCTGGAATTAAAGAAATCTTTAAAAATCTCTGATTCTTTGATATTTAATAATAAAAAGATTCTTATTTTTAAGAATTAGCTGATTATAATATAATAAAAGCTGAAAATAAATATAAACTATTTAACTACTCCAGTAATCCAGCGCGCGTACGTGAATAGTTATTGTAAAGATAATATCTGAAAATATCTAGTATTTTAATTTTTTTTTTAAATTAACTGATTTCTATGAAAATGCTATTAATATATTAGAATATTTTAAGATAATTTTTACTAATCTGAATAAGATTTGTAATATCTACTACTAGTACAAAAGATTAAAAATAATACTTAAAAAAATTATACAGCTTTATCTTTATTTTCTGCTATTTAATAGTAGAGACCAGTATTATTAAGACTCATTAAAAAAATTATTTATATTAATAATTATTTCCTAAGCTGAAGGAGATGACTATATTCTACTTAATAAATAATAAAATAAACTTTGATTAGTTTATTAAGATCTACGCTGGTATATCAGATGATAATAAGATTAGAAATATATACAAAGTTTATCTTCTAGATAATATAGATATATATATATCCAGTCTTATATTCTAAGAAATTATACTTGTAGAATTTATTAGAAGCTCTACCTGGCCAGATCTAGAATACTATTATTTCTATTAAAAATAAATAATTAAATAAAATAAAAGATTAAAAGAATTTTAATTATTTATTAGTTAGATAATTTATATTAAATAAAGCAGACTTTATAAAATATCCTATTAAAAATTTTAACTATTTCTTTCTAATTATAAAACAATTATATAGAAAATTTTATTTATTCTAATTCTTCCAAATAACTGCTGTAACAGCTCACCGCGGCCGAGGCTGATAAGTTTATATTAAATTATAAAAATAATAATATTCTGCTAGCTGAAAGCAGCCAGTTTTAATAAGAAAAGTAATATAATAGTAAGTAGTATTTAGAAATATATAAATAGATTACATAATATAATTTTATTTATTTTATTTATTTTACTTTGTTTATTTATTTTTATTATTTATATTTATTATTCTATACGTCTTTCTTTCTCTTCTCATGTTTGATATTCTAGTCTAGATGCACTAAATAAGACATATCTGATCAGCTCTCATAATATTTACTGTTATCCTAGCAGCAGTTATTCTATTTATTTAGGTGGGCGGGTTATATGTTAACTATCTGTAACTCATAAGTATTATTAAGATATTGAATAATATTATAGGATGCGTTGTTGTCTTTATTTCTGAAGATATATGTCAAACCTTAGGATTGCTTCCCTATTCCATTTAGCTTAGCCCCGTTGGTATACATACTATCAATCTGCGTCGAGGAAGTATCAACTGATGACTATCTGGAAGATAACTTCATTATAAATAAAAGAAGAGAAATAAAGCTGAATAATACTGCACAGCTATTTATAAATAAATATAGATAAGTGTTCTGTAGCTAAGCTTCTAAATATATAGTTACTTAAGAATAATTATATTAAGTATAAAGAACAGAACTAGCTAAATATATAAAAAAATATTTTTATATATCTTCTTTTTTTATATACCATATCATATACCATTCAGGATAGATTGATAGTTAATCTTAAGATTCCTATATACCCTGAGTATACCCTTGATGGTAGCTTTGATGGTAGATGGTCACGTGATGCGTAGCTGTCTCGGGCGTCGTATTGGCAATCCGCAATTGTACGGATAGCAGGCAAGACTCCGAGCCACGGTAGGCAAAACAACAACTTGCACAGAATCTAATTTTAAAATCATGCTGCCACACAACAACCTAGAAACGCCATATTCTGCCTTTTCGAAGTATAGAGTTTCTGCAGTATATACTTTCAGCACCAAAATAACATAGACTTGAAAATAGAATATTCGGAAACAAAATTTTCCAGGCGCTTGAATTAGCCGTTTTGCGCTAAACGTAATTATTTTTATTAAGATATCATACATTACAAATAAAAATTGCTATATCTAATGCCAAGAACTCCGGTTGTAGAAATTAACTATATTATCATACTACTGTATCTGCGGCGCACCACCCCCAGTGGTTGAGGGTTATACATCTAATTGATGCCCAGATGGGCTTTGAGATGGCCTGATTACCTTCTTCATCGGTTACTACGCAGCTACAGGAAGAGATCTTTTTCAATGGTGATTTCTGATAATAATGACTGTATTTGTTATCTGAATTTCATTTCTCGTCTCCATCTCGCACCTGACTCACACTAGGGTAGTGAATCAGTGAATGAACGTTGGCTAGACAAAGCCAGATAGTGAAAAAGGGGATGGTGGTGCTGAAGCCACATCCCCTACGACAAGAAATGTTTTTCAAAGTATTCTCGGACAGTAAAGAGACCCGTATCCTTCTGACCTTTAGCTATCTGGGCTGCCCTCTTCAACGCCCTACTGGTCTTCACATCGTTCGGGTGACCGAAGAAATTGCCATTGTTGTACTGGGTGAAGAAGAAGACGTCGCGAAGTTCTTCCAATACTCCCACGCCGTGGGTGGGAAAGTCATTTGGACTGGCTTGAGGCATGTATCGGGCTTTCTTGCCGGTGACTATTCGTCCAGAAAGAAGGAAAACCAGATTCCTCCATTTAGTATATAGTAAAAAAAAGTATAGCACACCTACAAGATGGGAAAATGAACAAACGGAAATCTAATCAACTTACCTTTCGAAAAAGTCTCGGTCATAATTTCAAGCGGAACAGCTTCACTGAACAGCTGCACTGTTCGGCCATGGTAAGAGGTCGGATCTAAGAACAGGCCGTGAACGAGATCGCCGAAGTCCTCTGCTACGGCGATCCAGGGCACCTCGCCGGGGCCGCCCAGTCGGGGGCTTGCGAAGGTCAGGTAACCCTCCGAGTCCGGAGTCAAAGGAAAACCCCCGAAGCAAGCGGCGTACTCGGGTGAAACAAAGTTTTCCATGTACCATCCGGGAAAGGCTCCTATGACGGCTTCAAATTCGGGCTTTTCGACGCCGTACTTGAAGACCTCATTTTTCGCATCCATTCCCTTCACTGCTGCCTTGCCGTGAGAGTGCTCGCTCGCTGACTCGCACGTGCTGTAGATGAGGACCTTGACGCCTGTCTTGGCCGCCAAGGAGATGAGATTTTTACCGAAGAGGGTATCGTCAATTCCATCAGGAGTGGGGAAAACCTAAATTGAGGAAGGGAAGATTGTCGGTGTCAGACAGTGCTTAGAAAGTTGAGGGAGCTTTTTTCCAACCGAAAACCCATAGTGAGAGAGCAACGTACAGGGTCGTGATGATGTGTATTCAACCAAAAACCCCAGACGCCATCCAGGGCATTACGCATCTCATCGTGGTTGAACCCGTCGGCTTTGACGACTTCAGCCCCAAGGCGAGCAAGCTCTTGGGCTTGCGGCGATGAGGGATTGCGAGTCAAAGCGCGCACGTGGAATCCGGCGGTGCTCTGAAGGAGACTTCGAGCGACGGAACCACCCTGGGCACCTGAGCCAAAGCTATCATGATTAGAACGTGAACAACAAAATTATACGACAGACGACACTATCTCACCAGTAGCGCCGTACACGGCAACTGTCTTGGTTAGAGGAGCCATGTGGAACACTTTTTCTTCAAGGATAAATCCAGGGAAACTAAGAACAGATAATAATAGGTTGTTGTTCGATTCAGGAGACTTTCAGTGATTGTCATGACTGGCTATTTATCTTATGGCATAGCAAATATCGTGAACGTACCCGTGACTAGCGACAATTGCGCTGCACATGTCCTTGCATATCCAGACCCCTATATGTTGATGATATCGACTCGAAATGAACCGATAAAGCAAGGTATGTTTTGCATACGTCATAAGAGTGAGTTCCTGTAAACCTGTCAAGAAGATAGGGGGATCCCATCTCCCCTCCCTCCCTTGCGCCTTGGTAGACGTTGCTTTTAATGTATGTTGCAGTAGTAGAATGTACAGGTACGAAGGCAGCGCCCAGAAGCAGCGCAGACGGGAAGTCAGGGAAGCCAGGATGGCGGCAGTAATAAACTGGGACAAGCAAGGTTTCCTATTGAATAAGGAACGACACCGACGAATCAAATGTTTGGATTAACCCGGAACACTGGTCTGTCAAGCACTACCTGACCCTTACTTCTTTTGTATGCATGTTGTACAAACAGCCCAAAACTTACCGGCGACTAGTATACGCATGCCACCGTCAGAACAGAAGACTGGCGCATGTGTCCCATTTCTATAGCGGGTAACGTTACCATAACCTCCCACCTTAGCTTACCGCCACCTACCCTTGCACATCTGCTTGATTATACATTCCCAGACCGAAAAGTTTAGGGTAAAAGTTGGATCTGTTAAGCACCTCCAAGACAAATGCTGAATTCGAGCTCAAACCTGCTTCAGATCCATAGGCTGCTCATAAGGATGCCACACTGACTCCAGTATGGTATATAGCAGTAGCCCGCGGTGAACTGAGCAAGCCAGCCTCCATCCAGTCGCTAAATATTGCATCATATGCGATATGTTATCTGTGTGAGCAAGTCAAGAAGTCTCTTACTCTCAACGGTTGCTGCTATTCTTCTAGAGACTTTTGTGGCCCTGACGTTGCTGTTGGTGCAGTTCATCCTACGCTTCCAGGTCTCAGGGCTTGAACAAGGATAGTGTGCATTTTCTATAAACCACAGATTTTCCCAGATAGCTAGCTGTCGGAGATGCTCAGCTTTTACAAATGCACTGGTATCTTTGTTCTTCTACGCGGGCCGCACCTCCGTAGCTCTCGGGAGTGAGCTGGAGCTACTTTCCGACTTAGGAACAGAGAATTTGAACCAAGTGTGATAAATGCGATGTTCTATGCTGAAGATCCTCTACAGGCTCCGGCACATTTTGCGCCCGTAAACATAACGCCGTCGCGGTATACAGTACTTGGGGTAGTACATGATGAGAAACTGAGAAAAAGAAAGGTGCGAGTTCGTCTTTCCTATGATTATAGTTGGAAAAAGGGCGATCTACATGGGCGTGCACAGGGTGCCAATCATTCAAAGTCGCAAAGGCTCAGATATGTTCCACTCCTGACAGTTCCAATATATCACCAAAACAAGTGCCATTGGCATGTGCTTCCCACGTTCAATATACGGGCCACTTTGTATGTGTTGCGGAAACCGTTTTCAGGCTCAGATGGTGTGCCAACACTTATATAATGACGTGTCTATGGCGCCGTCCTGCGAAGTGCCACCTCAAAAGCTCAATAAAAGGAAGAGCCTAGAAGCTTATCGAGATCGTAAAATGTATTTTGTAAAAATTGGTACTCAACATATGAAGGAGTAACGCTATGCAGATACGCGCATGATTTCATGCAGTAGTAGATACTTGTAAGGTGGAAATAGCAATGTTATCACAAAATCATCCCTAGTAGTATTTAGGGGAATATTTAAGCTTGTTCACTTCCAACTTTCCAGAACAAGTCCGCTTCTTTAGCTACTCTTCTTCTCTGTTACCTATTCCCACTGAAATTATAAGGTCATACGTGCCCTGCTCATCATCGATTCTCCTATCTGTAACCCAACTCAGTTTATTCCCGTTATCGTTCTCTGTTGTCTATAATCGGTCCACCAATTCTTATTCAACATGACAGCTGACACTGCTAAGAAGGTTATCACAGTTGTTGGTGCAACAGGTGACCCCATATTCCATTCTTCCTTATTGGAGTCAGAAGATATCATACATATTAAAGTACTGACAACTTTGTATTACGGTAGGCACCCAAGGAAGCTCAGTCGCACGATCCTTGCTCGAGAATCCCAGCTTCGAAGTCCGCTGTGTCACACGGGACATCTTTTCTGCCAAAGCGCAGGCACTGAAGCAATTGGGTGCGGTGCTCGTCAAGGCGGACGGGTTCGATGTGACGCAAATGACCCAAGCCTTCAACGGTAGCTGGGGAGCCTTCATTAACACGAATTCTGAAGATCCAGTTAGTGAAGCCATCAAAGAAAAGAAAAAGAGGAATAAAAGTTAGTTTCTGACCCTTTTACTCATCAACCAGCTGCTGGCCGAGCTCGGCAAGACGGACGTTGACCTTGGCGGCAATATATTGCGAAGTGCCGCCGCCGCCGGAGTGCGACATGTAGTCTACAGCTCTGCGCCCAAACCTGCTAAGCTCACTAATGGTGATATACGTATTCCAGGCCTTGACTGTATGTATAAAGCTGTGGGTCCGTCCTTTCTTGCCTTGAGTACTAACGCAAGATCGGGTGAAAATACAGGGAAAGCAGAAGTTGAGGCCATCGGTCATGAGCTACCGTTCCAGACTTTCACTCCAATAATTTTAGCCTGGTTTCTAGAGAACTTTTTGAGTGGACCATATAGCGAAATCTTCGGCGGCTTTCCAATCATGGAGGATGAGGAGGGCTACCTGACCTACCGAATCCCTCTCTGGGGCGGACGTGAAGATGCCCCGTGGATCAGCGTCACCGACGATCTCGGGGACATTGTGCATGGAATCTTCCTCGACCCGCTTCGCTGGAATGGTCGACTGGTCCAGGCCAATGGAGATATCAGCTCGTTTAGCGAGATCGTGAGCAAATTCGTCAAAGTTACCGGTCGGAAGGCGCGGTTCATTCCCTACGCAACTCCGGATGACTTCCCTACACATGGTCTGCAATTCTTAGAGATGGTCCGAGACACGTTTAAGTGGACTCAGCTACGTGGAGGTGAATACTACGGCACTCAAATCACCGAGCTACGGTCCGCTGCTGAGCTGAAACAGGCTTCCTTTCATGCCAAAGGTGGCAAGGGTCGTGAGACATTGCTGTCAGTCGAGGAATGGTTCAAGGCGCACTTTGCCAACCATTAGATAAGAGCCAGGAGTTATTCTTATTTGCACAGCTGTTGAAACAGCCATGCAGACGCAGATAGATTACTATGAATATGTAGCCTGTCATACCATACGAGTTGAACTGAGTCCCCACCGATGATGTACGCTCTCTTCTCCATGCTGCTTAACTTCAGTGTGAGAGAGAGCTTGGAATGCTTGGAAGTATGCAAGGGCTTGTTTGATTCCAGCCACAAGTTATGGAAGCTTAGAATCTTTATTATAAGGAACACCTCCAGGTCTGGCCAGATACCCTGCAGGCTGGACTGGAATGGATGGAAGATGAACTGATTATGCTGCGACTCCCCGAAGACACATACAGGCGCCCCATAAGTACGAGTTCGAGCACACGGGCACTATTCTGCAAGCTAATTCTAGGAACCAATGGCCCATGATCGCAACAGTATGACTCTGCGTCGCTGTTCCTTCATCACCGATTGTTTTACGCAACTCGATTTCCCCTCCTTCCCCCCTTACATAATACTAGCAGCTGTTAGAGGTTCGAAAGAAAATGCATATGTAGAAAGTCATAACCAAAGGTTGTTAAGTACTAGATATTCATGTGACTTAATTGCCCCTTGCTGTTTCAGCCCACGAATACGTTCATCGTGCTGGAATCCTCCTACCTCGGCGGATTCGAATAATGTGAATCAGGTTGGTCAACTCGTATATGCCTCCTTGATGATGGAGACTTTGCATGAGAGGTAAATGCGCCTTGCGTGTTATTATTATCGTGGCGAGGTCTAACAGGTATTGTATACTCGTAGGTGAAGAACCTTTTGACGATTATCCCGAAATTACGTACGATGGCCTGTGCGACCTCCCATCAAATGTAATCACAATATGGATATGTAGCCAACAATTCCTGAACCTGACTGAATGGACGAAGTCTCCGATAATCAGGATATTGCTTCACTGAGACGACAGGCAACTAATTGATTAACTGATTCCTAGCTTATCCTACAGTACAGCGCCTCCAGGGGCTTTTGCTGTGTCGCAATGCCCAGTGGGCTTCAGCTGCGAGCTGTATATACAAAAATGCGGCACCGTGCTCTAGTAGCCACAATGTACAACACAATGCGCCACTTACCTGCCTTCAGCATGAACCTAACTGTACTCGCCGTCGGGAGATTGCGCTCATCGTAGTCAGATTTCTTGTGCTCTCTACTGCTACTTAGCAAAATGCCTCATCCCCGCTAACCTGCCTTCTCCACTGGCAGCCGTTTAGGCTCATAAACTCCCCTAAGACATGAGATATTATTCAGTGCAGACCAATAGATAGATGAGGGAAATGAGTGTAGGATAACTACGCGGTTATAGCGTCTGCAAGGAGGTCTGGCTGAACTTATAGTCGCTTGTTAGTCGACATTGAATTGCTCATGTCTCTGAGAAGTCTAATAAATGGCAATCAGTTAGCTCTTTTGACCGCGCACGTATAGATGGATACTGGATATCTGATATTCCGTTGGCGACATCGAGAGCAACTGTTTCATCATCTCCCTTGCATTACTCAAGCGGTAATAAAAGGCAACACTGTCCGCCACGTCATACAAGATAATATGTCTTTAATATGTTCTCTCTCACGACCTAAGGAGACAGGACACAACAAATATCGATCCTATTCGATGTGGCACCGTGCATTACCCCTTGAAAGTGGCTTGCTAGCAGGAGAAACTAGACGGGTTTGATCTTAGACAGGGGGAAGCATGATCACTATGTACATGCATGGCCGTCCGATACTATGGACTATCAATGGTCTCCGCTGTCAGGCTGTGTACTGTTATGTAACAGTCAATGAATGCCTTGTTGTTTTTGCAGATATTTCCGACCATTTGGGCAATACGTGTGAGAAATAAAGAAGTAGATACTAGGGTCAGGAGCCAGATTAAAGTGAAAATATCGTGCTATAAAGAAGTATTGAGGATATCACCCCAAACCGCAATTCTGTATTAGTACTCCTTTTGTTATCCCATGGGTCATTCCGCAATCGATAATTAGCTTTATATTTCTAGGATTATACGTAGCCTTAACTGGGTATGGCATATTAACGCCCAATGTGAGGATTCGAATCAAATGCTGAATTATTAGGGTCTCTTAATAGATAGACTTGGTGAACCATTTTTAAATATGAAACTTCTGGTAAGTTCTTTCAATAACCAAATTGCTTATTAACCGAAGAGGTAGTTGACCCTGATCCCAGAATCACCAAGCTAGAATTTAGTTCATGTGCGATATTCCTGGGGTAACCACTGGCGGATGTACTGCTTGAAGAGAATAGACATGGGCTCAGTGCTCAGAACATCAGGGGCATCTTGAAGGGCCTCGCGGAGGTTCTCGACACCAAAAGTTGCCATCTGCTCCTGCACCTCCCAGCGGGTCAGCTCGCCCAGTACTTTCTCTCGCAACATAGGCATTAACGGGTGCAAGGGGTCCTGGGTCTTGAAGGAGAATTGCTCGACCCATTTGGAGTAAGGCAACGGCTTCATTCTTAGGGGCGTGAGGGAGTTGAGCATCTCGAATGTGGTAATAATGTCTATGGCGGCCTCGCGGCGGGGCTGGATGAGGTTGTAGGCATGTCCTATGCGTACTGGGTTGGCGGCAATGTGCAGTAGTGCCCCGACGACAAAGTCGACAGGAATGAACTCCTTACGTTGAGCGGGGAGTACGGGGTAGGAACCCATAGTGAGACAACTGGAGAACAGACGGCCGACAAAGTCATCTGGATTGCTGATGCCGCTCTTTGAATGGCCCAGAACGAATCCCGGCCGGTAGATGGCAGCAGGAAATCCATTGTCAATCGCGTTCCAAACCACACATTCGGCCACCATCTGGCTCTGCGAGTAGCCCGTGTCATAGTGCAGCGCCCGCATGTAACTACGGGGTCGCTCGTCCTCAGCCAGGTACTTGGCCCCGAGCACGAATCCGGATGGCCCGTAGGCAGCGATACTAGAGGAGTAATGCAGCATTTTGGGCCGTTGGTAATTAGCAAATCTAAGCATTCGCAGAGTGCCAATTACATTGGCGTTGCGGTGGGTGGAATAGGGTTGGACGTAGTTCACTTGCGCCCCTAGATGGAAGACGACACTGGACCAGCCGGCGAACAGGTCATACTCATCAGGCGTGAGCCCAAGGAAGGGCTGTCCAAAGTCTCCAGGGACGATTAGTATCCTCTTTTCCATCCCAGGCTCGAGGACAATCTTGTACTTGTTTAAGTTTGCGCGCAAGCGAGTCATTCCGGCCATGGTATCCTTGGCCCGAATCAAGCAGGCGACCCGGCTCACCTGGGGCATCTTGAGTAGCTCATACAGCAGGAAAGCACCCACAAATCCTGTTACCCCTGTTAGGAACACCCGTCCCTCGCCTGGAGCCTTCCAGTCTGGCACCGTTCCTCCTATCGGGATTAGCTCCTTGCCCAATTCACCATCCTGCTTCCAGACAGCTTCGAGTTTCTCGTGGCCATCGTCTGATTGAGTCCCCGTCTGTAGGGCCAAAATCAACCGGGCTAGTCCGTCTAGCGTGGAATACTCGTATAACGCCGCCGACTGCAATTCCACCGCAAATGCCTGCCGAACTCGGGCAACCAAAGTGGCCGCCTGCAACGAGGTGCCGCCGATATAGAAGAAATCATCCGATGGTTCGAGCCCTGCCACCGGTAAACGGAGAATATCTAACCAGAGGGCCTCCAGATGTACCAGAATCTCCGGGTAGCTGTTCTTGCGCGAGATATGCCCCGTTTTGCACAGTGACGCGGACCGGGCCACTTTCCCGATCTTTTCCAAGTACTGTTTCTCCAAGCGCTTGCGGTCAACTTTCCCAGTTGGACTCAAGGGAAAGGCATCAATGAGTTCAATTCGCGGCACCATATGCGGGGTGCGTTGCACAAACTCCCGGACGATGGTATTGGCGTCTGTGGTATCCGAGTTGGGTATCACGTAGGCCAACAAGATCGCTCCTATGGTAGAATCTTCGGGCTGCACCTTCAGCACGGCAGCGTCGATGACGAGCCCCGTCTCGCGTAATAGATGTTCGACAGCCTCCAACTCTATACGCTGGCCCCGAATTTTGACCTGATTATCCCTCCGGCCAATAAATTCGTATAAGCCGGCCTCATTCACGCGAACCAAATCTCCCGTCCGATAGAGTATGGTATCTGCCAGATGGGGAACATGCACAAATGCCTTAGCAGTTTTCTCAGGATCCCCAGAGTATCCCCGTGAGACCCCGGACCCTTGTATCAATAGCTCCCCGACGTCGCCACGAGCCACTGGCTGGAGGTTCTCATCGACGACATGAACAGTCATGTTGGCGACAACGCGTCCCAGTGGAACACTGTTGGCCTTCATATCGCTGGCTAGGACATGATGGTAAAGGCAATAGACGGTCGTCTCTGTCGGACCGTAGATGTTGAAGAGTCGCTGCGGCGGGCCGTTGTCAAGGATTGACTTGACCGTCTGCATATTCATAACCTCACCGCCGGTCATAAGGGTACGAATGGTGGCGAAGGCCTTGGGGACGGCGTTCACGGTCGAGGTCAACAAGGCGCTCGTCAGGAATAGAGTATCAATCATCTCCGAACGTAGTCTTTTAGAAAACGCCTCTGGATCCAGGAGTACATCTTGCGGGATGATAACCACGGCGGCGCCAGCTAGAAGAGGAACCCAAATATCCAATATACTAGCGTCGAAGGTGATATTCGACACCTGGGCAAACCGTTCCCCACGTTCAATTGGATGAAGTCCATGATATGCCCGGCTCATAATACCTTCTGCATGCAACTGCACTGCTTTGGGCGTTCCTGTCGTGCCCGAGGTATGAAATATATGCGTTAAGGCATCCGGACCATTGGAAGAGATGACTGTCTCAGCAGTCTGCGCCTTACAATGTGCATTAATCTCTTCATGATTGGCAACTAGATGATCATATTGCGAGAGCCGCTCCTGACGTTCGGGATCAGTTATGACAAGGCGACAACTCAAGCGGCTCAGCAACTGGTTCAAATAGCCGTCGGGCTGTCGGATATCCAAAGGTACACAATATCCGCCGGCGTAGATCACTGCCACCTGTGACACGATGTGGTTGATTCCCCTCGGGGACAGGACCGCGATCGGTGACTGGACGGGGAGTCCCTTCTGAAGGATCTGAGCAGCAAGATAGAGAGCTTTGAGGTGTAATTCATCGAAGGTCAGGGTCTGCTCATCACTTTTGACCGCCATAGTCGTCTTAGACAGCCTGACCTGCTGGCATAGTGCCTGTGCCAAGCCGCATGGTTCCAACGAGCCCATTGTCCCAGTTCCAGATCAAAACGAATTACTAACTGAGCAAAGGTGTGACGGATTATTAATCTCACAAAAACTTTGAGAAGCTGGAGGAAATCTATGTCTTGACATTACCGGCGACGTCCGGTCCTTAGAAACTCTTTATAGAATCCCTGACCTTCTAGACAACCTTGAAAACAACGCATCCTGTCTGGGCAATGCTGCATGCAACATCATAGTATTCATTACTCGTTCCAGAAGCCCATGAACTCATCTCCGCGGATGGACTAGCATAGACAGGCGTCCATTCCATGTTGACGTGGAAGGGTCTTGGAATTCCATAGGGAAGAGAGATATGAAGCGGTTGTTGTGACTTGAACAAGCGGTATGACCAATGCTCCAGTGGATAAACTGTCATATCCAGTGAGTCAAGGAGTACTGCAAGGGATCCTTTGCTAAAATGGCTCAACATTTGTCACACGCAGAGAATAAGTGTGACCCTATGGAAAGTAAAGTCCTAAGCCACATGCAAGGATTCCGGTGGTCGGACAGACAGTGCTGTAAAGGACGCTAGGATCTTGTTTCCTCGAGGGTCTGGAACCGACAATGGGCATGGGCAATTCTAGTGGCTGACACTATTGGACGAGACGGACGAGCGCTGGAAAGTTGGAGAATATTGGAGAGCGTGTGGACGTAGTAAGTCGACTGCAGTGTGCAAGTATTGCGTAAGGCCATTCCAGCCAAGTACACAGATTCCCACGGATTTCTCAATGCTAGGAAGGGGTAGATGGCATCAGGCAGGCCTTGTGACGACTCGGGTCTAGACAGGCTCTGTTACATGGTGTCTTTGGAGGATAACTGATATGTAAAGGTGGGGGCATAACGGAATATTTATACCTTTTCTGACCATTAGTCCGGCAAGCATATAAGAGTCGGGTGTTAAATATGTGAGACAACGTTAGAACCCCCAGTAATTTTGTAAATATACAGGTAGAGAGACAGCTGCAATCGGCCTTAGAAATGATTATTCTCAGTCTCGACTTTACAGGTCAGTCTCAATTAATGTTTATCTTGAAGTGTTTGCAGCCGTGCTATTTGCACCTTATGGCACATATATTGAAGCACATATATTCGATATTTTCTAAATATATGAAATAAATATAGTACTTCCAGTATTCTACCAACTATTCGTTTTAGAATTCATTTTTGAGTGCTGGTAATTAAGATTTAATATTAAATAAATCCACTAAATGCCGAATCACTAATTATAGTTATTTTTTACTATATTATAACTTACTGTGCTACCATGACAGGATTAGGCGTTTCTGTTGCTTAGAATGCATATGTTGATGTCTGCCTGCTTCTCCTTCTTCTTGGTTGGGGACTTTGCTAAGAAAATAGTGGCTAAGCCAGGCCATGCGGAAAAACTATATATACTAATAGATTAGGCTTTCCTTTCGAACACTTACAATATTCGTGTCATGGCAGTCAGCGAAACACGTGTAGTACTGTAGTATATTCTGGTATCTCGTATTACCATCAGTGAGATGCATTCTATGCTCAAGATATCTATAAGAGCACTTATAGATTGCACTATGGGTTATAGATACACAGATTGACAGGCATCCGGAAGTGCAGCTGAATTCCCAGCATTATCTGTGGACTCATTAAATGACCAGGACCAGTGAAGAGAAGAGACTATGTCATCAGCATCCTCACACTCAATAGATTGTCCCAACAGCCATTCACCTCATAATGCAGCGCTAATTTCCACATTGACGCCTGTGCTCAGATTAGGATCGCTATGGAGTCCGGTAGGAGGCACCTGCACTGCCGAATTGTTGCGGATGTCTAAGGCGTCAAGCCGTGGTGAAGGGGCCGATGGCATCTCCGGCGTTTCTCTTCCAGTTGAGTCATCAAATAAGACCTCGTCTGGAGCTGGATGCGTGACGTGATAGCTGGATGTTCTGGCAAGGTGGTCTAAACGCTCTAACCTAGCCTTTTGGAAGTCGCGAAAGTCATGTTCGGCTACATCTTTCCCGACGCGATTGTGATCCTGACTGCGTAGCAGCATGCAGTCGCATTTTATCATTCGGTGGACTACCTCGAGATACTGAAGTGGTTTAGCTCTGACTGCGCTAGTGCGGAAAGCTGGGGCTTACCAGATCTCTCACAAATGCCGAGCGACTCGCAAGCGGTCTAATTGGCGCGAGCAGGTGACCGATTGCCTTCATTATTTCGGCGCTTCTAGGATCACTAGAATTATCCACGGCAACAGTCGCCGAGGCTCAAAAAGAAGAGCTGTCAAAGTGATTCTTAGCAGGATTCTTACTAAGAGGACCACTCAGATCAATGGTACTCTCAAGTGCAACATATGACTGAATACCAATATGCGGATCAAATATGATGTGCCTTTCTAGACCTTCCTTGATTATACCCGAAATGGCCAGGGCGTGTGCAATTCTACTACTACGAGCCTGGACAACACGATCTTTCCTTGTAGAATCACGTGAAAATATTAGCAGAGCAGCTCGACCCAGACTGATGAAGAGATTATGGCGCAGAGCGTTGGTGGTGGGGGGCGGGGGGGGGGAATGAAAGTGCCGAGTCGGTCGTGATGAAAAACTCATTATCCGTGTGGAAATGAAACCGCTGAGGCAAAGCTGCAATTAGCTCCTCAATATCGGCTTGGAGAACTGCAATCTCGGTTGGCAGATGTTCAATGGACTGATCTTGATTGGACGCACGAAATGCGAAGTGTAAAACTCGTCGACGGGCGGCAGCGGTGCGTAGGATATAGGCCCACATGTCAAGGAGTCCGCGTGGAATATCCGCCTCCATTGACAATGGGGCCTAGTCGACCTAGAAATAGTGGCTCGGTGATGACTTGCTCGTTGGTAAGAAACCTCTCCTGGTCGCAGGAAGTTAGAGCCGGAAAGATAAATCTTGGACATGGCTTTTACGGCCGAAGCTTCACTCTTACTGATCCGTCGTGTACGGCAGCAGGCTGCCCATTCAGCCGTGGCGGCAATCCAGGTAACTGCTCGGCATCTCCTGGAACCTTGATGGACTCGGAAATTCTCGCTATAATTGCCGATGGCGGTACAACTTCAGTCCTTGACAAAGATGCTGCTGTCAACGTCGTCACATGGGACACGGATCAGTGGGTTTCTTACGATGACGAGACAACTATCAAGATGAAGAAAGATTACGCCAATGGCAAGTGTCTTGGCGGTACTAATGGTATGGGCGGTTTCTGCATATACCAACAATGGATCAGCGAGTCAAGAGCTTTTGGAGATGAACGGCCTTATCAAGAAGAGTCTTTTCGGAGGTCAAACCCCTCAGGTTTCATCGCTCTCACAGTACGTTTGGGGCGGATGTGATGAAGACTGTCCTTCCGGCACCACCCACGCAACCAACAGGAAAGGAAAGTCGGCGTCAAATGTGGCGATATACTCAGGATGCTTCAATGGTCAGAAGCGCAATTACTTTTGCCCCACGGATGATGTTCCAACTTGTCACTGGGTACGTTATTTCCATCCCAGTTCCCCGCGATATATATGTCAGAGTTTTGAGCAGTTGCATGTGCTAACTATTCAGTTTAGCAAGGCTCGGCTTTCCTATGCCGTAGCCATTCCTGCTCAAAGGGAGAAGTTCAAGTCGCAACCGATCAATCTGCCACGGGCCATAGCTGTTGGTTCAACCATAAGTCCTTGTGCTGTACTTCGACCTCATCCGATGCAGCAGTTGGACAGTACAGTAAGTTACAAATCCTCCTTAAGCCCTCAAGACGAGGGAGTTATGCGACATTGCACTCCAATAACCCACTAACACGAGTTGAAATAGAATGGTCAGGCTCTGCACCAGACTGTGCAAGTGGTGACAATCATGCCGGTTGTGCTTCGGGCTATCCTGAGTACCTAACAGATAGCGTAAATGCGCAAGGTGGAGAGTCGGTCTGCTATAACGGTATAGTCAGGATTCTTTCGCGATCCAGTACGGAACTAACTGGAGTGCTCATGCCCTTTTCCAGGGATGAAAAGTTTGTGCTGTACAGATCCCGTTCCTTATCAGAACTGCTCATGGTATGATTCAATTTTGATCAGGGTTATCCATCAGGGAAGTTCGAATACTGACCTACTATAGGACGACTCGTGCCCATACTATTCTCGCACTTTTCACTAGCAATACAGGCTGTCCTGCCGGTAAACAGATCGTCGCTAAGACTTACATCCACCATGACTCCTCTTATCCATGCTGGCATAACACAGCAAGTTACTTCTGGTGGGCTCGATATTCTCACCCTTACTCTCTATTATCAACGCTAATGATTTCCCAATGTAGCTGTGACACCTTCAACCAGGTAACATTAGGCTCACAAAAACGTGCAAGGAAGTTTCCATTTATATGTCTTTGTTCTAATCCGACGAACGATCCTCCTAATTTCTGCTCAGCTGCAGATACCGACTACGTATACTCTGACGAGCCTGACTCAGATGGAAATTCAGCAGACTTCATTGAGCTGTATTGATACGAAGATGGCTGCTTCACACTCCCTAAAACTGGAAGCCCAGATGTCATGAAGCGCTGGTATTCATTATATGAGAAAGTTTAAGGGGGTTTGACTGCAAAACGCTCCGTATTAGCGACTCAAGGCGATGAAGGCTATGGCCTCCCACAACTCTGTGAAGGAGATGACTGCTATACAGTGCCAAAGTTACATAGTGAAGAGTTCCGCGAGCTGTTATGGTCAATCGGCAATGCGACAGGGGAGGATTCTGAAGGAATATTTGGTGGTCTATTCCCTCGTGCTCGCAAATCCAAAATTTGCCAAAGCAAGAAAACTATCAGCACTTTCAAAGCGAAAAATTATCCCAATGTTGGAACTCTGGCTGCCACCCGGCAGTTCTACGGGGTGGTCAAGTCTGGCGCCAAGACTGCCATCTGTAACGGACTGCCAATCACTCTTGGAAAGCGAATCCTGGGCACGAACTACGTGGTCGAACATGTTACCGAACTTCAAACCCCAGCTCAATTTGCCACGAGCATGCTTTCTGGGAAGCTTCCTAGTGCGGCGGCCGCTCCGGGAGCCGCATCGAACTATGACTGGACACAAGTCTTCTCTCAGAATGGCTACTTTTTCCAGACCTGGGCACAGCTAGGAGTCACACGACCTACTAGCCTGACTGGGGATAGCCCTGCAGAGGCCATTGCGAATGCATTGGGAAGTACCGCTGATATCAGCAATCTTCAAATCTTGGACGCTCCGACGAACGGGCTCGAAGCCGCTGTACGTATGCACCATGTGCTCAATTGTATATCTCTCCAACACAGCAAACATAGGCCTGGCAATTATTCGACAACATTATCTCGCCAAAGAGATTCGGTGGGGAGAGTGTACAAGGAAAAGTCAACATGATGAATCGCGTAAGTCACCCCGCGCGCTTTTAAATTTCTCCGCTTAATATTGTTTCCTTACCCCTTGCAGCTTTACGATACTCTGCCAGGATACATGAACAGTGCTGATGTAAGTCCAACCTCTCTAGCTTTTTTGGTCATCAGAGAATCTAACATACTGCAACAGGTTCAAGGTTCTTTGAAGTATGGCTATAAAGCAATCAAGGCCGCCATGGGGGCTCTCGACCAAGCTGCGCAAAATAACCCCAATGTCAACGGCATCACAGCCTCCTCGTTCGAAGACGCATGGATGGCTTACTCGAAAGACTTCTTCGAGCAAATGCAAGGGAACCTTCAGGATTTCGTGACGGCTCGTATCAATGAGGTTACCAAGTATTGGAGTTCAAGTGCCGCGACCAAAGCCTTTACAAAGGCCGGGGCAGCGGCAGTTGCGAACTCACTTGGCGAGAAGCTGAGTGGTGTGTCTATGGATGTCGTCATAGACAGCACCTTTGTTCAGTGATCATCATCCGTATTTGATATGGGTGGTACAAATGGGACTGTTCAGCCACGTCGCGTATCATATGACTGCAATTCGAATTCGAAGTTTGAGCAGATGAGAATATAATCGAGGGAGAGTCAAAGATATTAATGCGGAACCCAAGTATACATAGCTCCAAGAGATACAGGCAGTGCTATATCCACCAACCAGTATCCCGATCTAGTATTTGCACATGTGTGGAGGGAAGTAAATTTATCAATTAACAGCAATAGCGAAGCAACAAGAAGTTGAATATTGAAGGATTCCGAGAAAGGTAGAACAAGAAATTCACAGGGTCCATTGCCAATGGCCTTCTGGAGTGACGGTTAACTCCAGCCTAACTATGATGCCATGTTTATAAGCAGCAAGAAAAGCACGAGAAAATACTCGGGTTAGAAGAAGAATTGGCGCTGGGTAATACGTATTGGAAGACCTAATACTTCAAGTATTACGAACTCCAGCACTAGGCTAAGTTTTCTGGGACTTAAAACCAGGAGTAGTGTATTTTCTGTCCTCCTGATATTATCTGTGTGGAGAATTTCTAACTGTTCGGTTTCAGCGGAGGTAACGCGAGTCAGTCTCAAGAGAATAGGATAACTATCCGGATAATAATTCGACCGTGCCGAGGAAACATAGCAGGAGCATTGGTCGTCACAAAGACCAAACAGTGCAGCTTCACTACCATCCCCCATCTTTTGTGAGGCCCAACATGCGTTGGGTGAGATGGCTGTCATAGATGCTGTTGATACGCAATTAATTGATCACTGTCTTCTTTTGTGTTGGTTAATCGAATTAACCGTATTAGTCCTTTCAAATGTGAGTTCAAACTGAAGTCAAGATAAAGCATGATGGGCGGTGAACATGCGCATTAATTTTAATCCGAGGCTCCAGAACAAAGCATTCAACCAGAAGCTCCAGTAAACATTGAAGCAAACAGTGAAAACAGTGAAAAGCCGCTGCTTTCAACACTGTCCTCGGGAATAGGAGGGGCTGGTGAATCGAAAAGGATTGGCTTAAAAGCAGTGAGTGGAGTTGTTGTCAATAAGGTTACGCTAATGCAAGTTACTGACAAGTGGCCCTCCACGATCGAATTTAATGTGCTACTGTTACATAAGCCAATTTGACCGCAGTTGATATCGCTCAAAGTGCTACTCATCACCCCAGCCTCGGCGGCGGCACCCACCCGCCCCCCTCCCCCTTACCCGCAAAATTTGTAGCTAGGGTATGTAGTGGATAGCGCCCACATTGAGAAACATCTTCCTGTTTTGCTGAAAAGATATATTATAAGACGAGGCACCAGACAAACTCATACACTCTCAGACATTAGCGAAGACGATATCAGCACCAACAGCAAAAGTTGCAAGTTTCTTTCCTTCCACCTCTTTTTGCTATCAAATAAAAGGTCACGATTGCGCAAACAGTGGAAAGGCGATCTTTGGGACGGTCAGAAGAAGAAGCCAGTGGTTTTATGAATAACATAGCGAAAATAATAGGCGGCAACCTGCTAACCTTCCGCTACAATAGATCCCCGGTTGACACCATCATGGCCGTTTAATCAAGCTGGCGATCCCAGATGCTCCTCAACCTCATGGACGCGCGGGTTAGCTCCACCATTCGCTGCGGGATAGTTCTGGAAGGACAGGGCAGGTTCGCCCCTTTGTGCGCGCCAGTAGTTTGTCGATTGAAGCAAGCTACGACTGCCACGAACTACCCAAGGCCACTTCTGCACAAATGCTTCGGTCACCTCCCAACCGTGCGGATCCCACGGCTCTCCCCATACAATCACACCACCGCGCCCGCTGCTTACGACTTGTAACCCTCGCATGTCGCGACAAAGCTGCGCTGCATCATACGTAGACTCAGGTTGACCCAATAGATTATCACGAAGTTCGGCCACAGGTAAGAGATCAATCCAGGGATGATGGTGGACACTGCGCTGCAAAGCGGTGGGTTGCAGACTGGCTGGCAAGGCGTGGAAGTACGACTTGCTGATATTCAGTGATGTGAGCGAGGATCGAGCACTAGGTGCCATGCGCTCTGATGTGTATCCAAGAATTTGTGCATTAATCACTAGGGATCGTGTAATATTGAATTGGACTAGGCCTGGGAGGGGTTCCGTGTCCAGGCATCTTTGCTGATAGCGCTGTGATATCCATGAAGAGAACCGGTTGATGAACTGTTTTGTCTCCATGGAATCTGGCTGACAAGCCGTAAAGGAGACTATCTTGTCTAGTAGTGGAGAGCGACTGTTCTGCACCAATTGATTCTGCCTAGACTGATTAAGCTGAGGGTTATTCAGAATGGTGTTTCCTGAATCGTGGCGTCCTGGCCTGCATGATGCGGGATAAACCAGGTGTCTAGTCTTTTTTCGCTGCCCTTTTCGATTGCCGCAAGAGTTGGTGCTGTATGTTAGTGATGCCTCCGTCTAGCAGTCACTAGAGTGGGGTCGACCTACGCCTGGCTCTTTGATTGACACGATCCTGCAACTTTTTCCTCTCCTTGGGGTCGGTTATGCCTGTCCAATCATCTCTGTCGCCAGCTTGCAGCTGCTGAGGCATGAACTGCAGTGGAATTTGCTGAGCAGACATCGTTAATCTGGAGGCTGTACTTCCCATGATAGGAAGTTACTGGTTGCATCATGCAGAAGATCTGCAATAAGGGATGATTAGTAATACTTGGTGGCGACGCGTGATGTCATTGGTTCCTATCCTACCCGGAGATAAACATTAAAGTATAGAAGACTATCTATGCACGCCCTGGTAGAATAACTTGACAATTAAGGGTCTATTGCAGAGAAATGAAAAATAGACGATATTCTCAATGACATGGTATATATTACCCCAAGAAATGGCTGGTTCGCGAACTAGTTTCTATATCCGAGCTCTTGATCCGCACAATGAAGTTCGTCTACAGCGTGAGATAAGAAAAATGCTCTCAGGTCCGTAGCTTGTACACTCTCGTAACGATCATTATCCAGTGTATCACCCAACTGGGCTTCAGGCTGAATGCACCAGTATGCAAAACATCTGTAATAAAAGATCAGTGTTGAGCAGGCGGAACCGCTTCAGTCAGTTACTTACTTTGGTGCCCAGCTCATCACATCACTGGGATTTTTTCTGAACGAATCCAGTACCGTCGTGTGTAGCTCTTCGATGGATCCCAGGCTTACAAGGTTGAGTGGGGCAGTATAGACTTTCTCAAAGCAGTCTTTGATCTCAAGGATAGTTTTGCGGTCACCCCGGACTATACTGGTCAGCAGAGCTCATAAGACGTTAGACGGAAGCAATTGTCGTAGGATGGTGATAGTTCAGACTTACATCTCAGAACTCCAACTGCACTTTTGTCCAATGCCACCGCCGCGGTGTAAGCAGCTGCGGTCTCGTAGGTTGTTAAATCCCATGTCTCCTCGCCTGTGCCCCAGAAAGAGAGTGAACGAGTAGTGCGATCCCAACATCCAAAGAACTCGCTCCAGAAGGTCTCCATCAAACCACCTGTTAGGATATGGACTCCTGCAACAGTTCCTTTCGAGGCTAGGTATTCCCTAATGATTCGAGCCGAATCTTTCGGGAAAATAGCATTGGCCGGTATATTCGTGTAATCCACAGCGAAGTCACTAGCAATGTACCGAGGGACATTCAATTCTTCACAAGCGTCTATCAGGACCTTCTGTCCCTGTACCATCACTGCCGAGCTGCCGAAATAGCAGCAAATAACCACGTTGGCTCCCTTAACAAACAAACGCGCGGCAACCCTGTCATCGATTTCGCCTTTGATTACCTTGATATTCCTTGCCAGCAGAAGAGAATGCGGCAGCTTCTGCGGACTCCGACAGTAGCCTCGAATAAATACGTCAGGATACGCCTGCAGCGAGCTGGCTATACACTGCGCAAATTTTCCCGTCAGCCCAGCGATAGCTACTGTGGTAGGCATTTTGATCGAGCACGGACAGATAGGAAACGTCGACGGAAACTGACAAGGAGGGACAGATGTGAAAGAACGGATAGATCGAGGTTTATATATCTTCGAATTTGTTATGTTTGCGTTAGTGTCAAGAAAAGAGGTGGATACTTCGCCGTGAAAGGAATCAGGCATTTGTCATCGAGTATATCGGCTGATAAATCGGTGTGCACATATCCCCGATCAACGAGCCAATTGTCTCTCCTGTCAGTATGTGGGTGTCCATATCTCTTTCATGTCTGTTTTAAGACAGCCTCAATAATTCTCTCGTGCATACGGTAAAGCCTGCTACACTGATGTACTAGGGAATACTTCATGTTCTTAGGAGACAGATTCTACTTTAGCCTGGCGTAATACCTCAAAACAACTGATGCAATTTATCTCGCAAAGCATAACCAAGCAAATGTGCACTTCTATGTCCTAGTTCGATAAACTCGTGACAGTTTCGCCATAACTATTCACGGACACGGGAAAGTAGTCCCCCTTCAGCCAATACACATCTGTACCAGCTACTGAGCCTCCACTCCCGGTGAGACGAGCCGCTTCTCAATGAAGTTCGGCTCCCCAAATGCTTGCTTGACCCCCTCTCGTCCGATCACTCGCAGGTACCATTGGACTGTCGAAGGATACTGGCACCGCAAGTCCTCATCTACAACCTGTCCATAGCCCCAAACCATCGCCGCTGCAACAGAAAGATCAGCCATGCTAAGATCGCCTGATGCCACAAATTCGCGGCCTTGAAGGTGTGCCTCCAGGACACTGAGGGATACTTCCAGCCGGGAATAGGACCTCAATTCTAGTGCTTCATCGAACCCTGCCATGCCATAACGCCATAGAACCATATTTTGCAACGGCTCGAATAGCTCATGATCAGCAAATTCAGTCCACTGACGAATCAGAGCGCGCTCATCCACGGAGGAGCCTAGCAGCTGAACGCTCGCGGGACCACTTTCAGCGACATATTGCAGAATGGCATCTGATTCGAAGAGACTCAGGCCGGTAACACTTCTGAATGCCGGTACCTTGCCTAGTGGGAAGTCAAGTAAGAACTCGGGTGACTTGTTTGTCTTGGCCATGATGAATTCCGGGGCAATATCCACCGTACACCCATTCAAAGCCGCGGCTGCTTGAACCTAAGTCTTCTATTAGATCACCATTTTTTTGTTGTGTAAGGCATGTATGAGGTATAGATACTTTCATCACCCGAGGATTGAACGGGTATGTGTAGATCGTTCCAATAGAAGCCATTGGTGACACTTCAGCTAACTTTGCCGGTCTGCAAATTCAACTTGGGATAGTGAGTCTTGACGTTGATCTCGGCCATGGATGCTACTTCCTTATAAGCTGCTTCTTCTGAGCTGCTGAGCTGCTGAATAATGCAATAGCTACTTCTCAGTGTTCTATAATCACGGGATAAATGCAGCATTTTGAAATGCCGAAGTTCGATTTGTAATCCGTTCTATTGGCCAGAACATCATCTTTTTCGGATCATTTCCGTGGCGCATGAAGGCAGTAGTTGACAGAACGCTTCAGGATGATAGGTTCGCCGCTGTGGATACGCCGTGACCAACATTGTAGGACCATGGATCCTACCCGAATCCCACTAGTGCTAGATAGGTAGCATTTCTTTTGGTTCGGATGTCAGTAACTTGCATTAGCGCCAAACCTAATTTTGGACCCACAATTTTAGTTGTCCTTCGTGTCAATAGTTGGTAATAGAGTAAGTTCCATTTCCCGCAGTATCTGGTTCTGAAAGTCAAGAATCCTAACTGCGCTATTTTTCCGATATGTCCGCCGGAAGAAGTACCAAAACAAGTGAAATATCTGGTATGGTTGTGTTGCGTTCCCGTAATATCTTCTCTACAGCAAAGCAGGACCTAATTCGGGACTAGTACAGCTTCACATACTATTGAATAAGTGTGGACAAACCTAGAGGGACAGGATGAGGTTCTACGGAGACTGGAAATTACAGGAGCCATACTTACTGGTTTTTGCCAATATAGTATACCCTTTCTATTTCTAAAATGTTGTTTTCTTTCAACCTTCACCATTGGTGCCCCATGGAACTACCGTGCTAGTAGTCATTCCACTATTATCTCTGTACTGGTCTTCCGTTGAGGGCCGTTAGGAGGTTGGAAGTTGCGCACTAGTTTGGGAATGTCTGACTACTAAGTTTCCTGACTCTCTACCAGATGATCGGCGGAGAGCACACCAAGCATTGAGGTTCGCCTTGAGGAGGAGACTGTGCAGACTGTATTCCACTGGAATACTAACTTTACGAGGTTTGATCTCCTTGCTACACGCACTACGGCCCACCAGAATGTCCAATGCTCACAATCCTCGCCTCCTCTCAGCAGCATCTAACGATCCGTGGCTCTCTGACCAAAATTCCCTCTGTATGACAACGAAAAATATTCCCCCCCCACCAAAAGAAGGTAGGTAAGAAGATACGCTAATATTAAGAGGGTCCCTTCTGACTTGAGGTTCTGCAATAGGTCACCCCGACGGAGTTACCTTATCCGCCACCTACTATCGGGTCTGGTTCTCTGTCGGGGGTAAATGGAACTTAACACCGTTGCTTACTCTGTGTCCTTCGTTTAGTTGCCTCTGTATGTTTGAAAACGTCTCTGCTGCCAGAACTTGGCCATAATCGAACGCTACTGCAGGAGTGGAGGCGATCAGTGCTCCCGGACTTTAGATCAAGAAGAATTTATCGAAATCCTTGGTTGTCTATTTTGCCACCTAAGCTGTCCTTCTACGCACACATTTCACGTCTAGAGTAACGGCTCGTCCCCGGCCCATGCCTGAAGTAACTCGTTTCCAACGTACGCTCAATACATGGTTTCTTAATTACTGACCGGTCAGATTGTGCTTAGTCCATACCGAAAAGAGTGATGGATCTGAGGCCTCGTAAGAGTACACAGTATAATGTTCTCGTTCTTCGTACTGCAAGCAATAGCCCTATAAAGCACCAACTTACCAGGCAAGACCGCCGGACGCTCCGGATTCCAGTTGTGGTTCCCATGTTATCACGTAAAGCATGCGATATTCATGTCCACATGATTTGTGATACCGACACCAACAATAGAAAGAAAGAAAGGAAGGAAGGAAGGAAGGAAAAGGAAATAAATAAAAGGAAATGCTATACACCTCTTACCATCCTCAGCGACGTTGGGTCCTCACACGTCATCAGCAATGTGTTTGCTTTTGCTCAATTTACTCCGAACTCGCGGCTGATATCTTGCTACCTGATAGTATATCTGGAACAAGGAAATTTTCGCTGACCTTCAAAACCAATCCCCACAGATATCTCACGACGTCATCAGTAACACTGTGTGCTAGTTTAAATTACACTGGCTGAAGCTCGCTCGTATACTTAAACCCAGAGAATGACTTGGGGGTTCTGCAGCACCTGATCTAGGGTCCAAATATCTCTAACCCTCCCTTGAGAAACAAACAGTATTAAACGCTCCAAGCCAGAGAAGAGGACCTTGGTGGCCTTCGGGGTCACAGGACAGCAAGGTGGCTCGTTAGTCTATTACGTTCGGAAGGACCACTCATCGCTATATCATATTCAGGCAGTTACTCGTGATCCTTCCAAACAATCAGCTCAGAACCTGAAATTCAACAATGTTGAGGTTCTACAAGCTGATGGCCACGACACAGCATCACTCAGAAGAGTAATGCACGGCGCATACATGGCTTTTGCAATGACATTGCCAAAATTTGATTCCGAAGATGCCAGAGTACGTGAAATCGCTCAGGGAAGAGCAATCGCGGACGCGGCCTTTGAGAAAGGAGTGGGGCTCATTATTTTCAACCCTTCCACATGTTTGCAAGATCTCATGCGGAAAGTATCAGAGAGTCGACCATTTTGATGCTAAAGCTGAGGTGGTATTGTATATGTACGACTTGCCGATTCGGAGCATCTTCTACAGTCCGGGTTGGTTCATGCAAAGCTTCAATCGGCACCTGGCTCCCAGGCAAAATGCCGACGGAACTTGGAGTATTGTTAACATCGTCACCCCACAAACCAGCCTACCTTTAATCAATCAGTTTGAGGAAACGGGTAAATTCCTTGCACCGGTGCTGGTGGGGCCAAAGAAATTTGCAGGACAGACTTTATCGTCCGCCGAGCGCTTCTATTCTTACCAAGGGATTGTCCAATCTATGAGCAACGTCTGGGGAGTAACTGTTGATTATCATGTGGTATCGAAGGAAGAATTTACAAGGAATGTGGGGCTGTATTCGGAGAGAGGCTAGTTGAAATGATGTTATACTTCGAAGAATACGGATATTATGGACCGCAGGGCAAGCAAGAGGTTGATTGAACGGCAAAGATCGCCACGGGCGACCTCACAACATTCGACGAATACTTAACTAGAAATCCTTTACGCTCCTGATGAGTACGAAATGAAATCATGCGGCAGATAGTTGCTGTTCAGAGCATGCAGAAGCAAAACCCACACAATCCACAGAATTTTCAGTTTCGGTTGATCTTGGGATCAAGTGTCTCCTACTGAGCGTAGAAAGCTAGTCGGTGAACATGCATCTGTCTATTCCATGGAAACAGCCCCGAAATCTTAAACCTCCATACGTCGTGGTACGCTAATGCAACCTGCTGACGCACACTGGCTTTTCGGGAAATAAGCATAGAACTGGAGGTGGAGGATGTGCCCCCACGAAATATTAATCTGTAGTTCTGATAAAAGTAACTAACCCCTACTAAGACGGTTATCACACTTGTCTGCTGGCTTGAACATGGCTGACACTGGGAGAGACAACAGCGGTATATAAACCAATAAGAGAGCGGATGAACACTCGTATTCAGCATAATTCTAGTGGCACCGTATCATCAATATCAGTATCAATGAAATTACAGCGTAATAACGATCTTCTTCGCCGACACCCCGGCTTTCTGAGCATCAAGCCCATTTTGGATATTTTCTAGTCCATGCCCAACTACCACTGGGTCAGGTTTGGCCTTCAACTGCCTAGTGGCCAGGGCATGGGGCACGAAGGCTCCCCAGATGGCCTCCCCAATCCTCCCATTTGGGGGATATGAGATCCCGTAGGAGGTTACTAAGACGTTACTTTACGTATATCAAGGACCGGGTAGAAAAGTGCACGTACCATACTTCGGGTGGAAAAATACGGTAGGTGTATAACACGGGTGCACGCTGACCGCTGGGATGCGCTTCTGAAGCCGCTCAGCTATAGCAGCAAGCCGAGTGAAGCTTTTATCCTCGCTGATAGCATCATATACACCACATAGATCCATGTGTCTTAGTCTCGTCACTATATCCATGACGACGGTCGGCGACTGATAATCGAATGCGTCAGCTGCCCCCAGAGACCTCACAAACTCATAGTTAGCGTGAGACGCGGTCGTAACGACGTGCAAGCCAGAGGCAGTCGCGAGCTGAATGACTGTTGCGCCTACAGAAGATGCACCACCCCAGACCAGTAGAGTCTTTCCCAGTGACTCTGGAGTATCCGATGGCAAGGGGAGGTTGAGATATTCCGGAAGATATAAGCCTGCGGCGCTGGTGGATATTGCTAGTGGCAGGACTGCGCCTTGTTCGAAGCTTATGTGGAATGGGATAGGTGCCGCGAGAGTCTGTGAAGCGAGGGAGAACAGCTGGTATGCTGCGTGAGCAGAATTGCCAGATTTGGGGCTATGTAGGTGTCTGTTAGTGTAAGTGATTAGATGCGCTTTGGTAATAATGTCAGTCCAAAGTTACACTTACGCGATCACCCGCTGGCCTCTGTGGAATTGGGTGACACCTTCACCAATGTCCACCACTATACCCGCTGCATCTCTTCCCAGAATAAAAGGAAATGTGTTCAGGTAGAGACCTGACTCTCTGTTCTCAGGTCAGGGCGAAATGTTAACGAACAGGCCAATGAAACTTACTGGATCTTCCAGTCTACAGGGTTCTTGCAGAGGTCACTACTTGTTAGCTGGAAACCGATCGGGTTAAACGGCATATTAAAACGGTCACTTACAACCGCGACAGCATGGTTTCTGATAAGAATCTCCCCCTTTCCGGGCTTATAGAGGGGGGCTTCGCCAATTGTGAAGGGTTTGGTTCTGGCAGCAATGATCCAGGCAGCACGATTCTGACTCATGTTGGGACCGAACAAGCTCTTGTAAGAGAATTAAGAATTCAAGGAAGCTCAACTCCTAGGGTCTTGACGGGAGAAGAGGACGGGGGACGTCAAAGACGGAGGAAGTCAGCAAGGAAATAGTATTTATTATGCTTGGGCGGGTCAGCTCGGATGCTCAGTTACCCGGCTGGCTCCGTCCCATTGTGTTCAATTGGCACATCTACTCCTTGAGTGCTGACCACTGCTAGCAGAGTAACGCCACAACTTTACAGGAAAACAGCAATACTGGTAGCGAGGCTTCCATGACAACTAATACAACGCTTTACCATACAGTGGAGTGATGATCTGCGACTAATCTAGCTACTACAGCAAAAGGGATCCTGCGTTGGTGCTAATACAGGCTCCCGTGGCGTTCGTGTCCTTCATCAGGTAGACATACGCTTCGGCGACTTCTTCGACCGTTCCAACCTTGCCCAAGGTGGTAGTATCTTTCACATTGTCTGGCACCCCTCCAGATCCCCAGAGAGGCGTAGCGATCACCCCTGGACTAACTAGATTGACCCGGAGTGGCTTAAGGTCCAAAGCGAGATTCCGCGTGATTCCATGAAGGCCAGTCAGATACCCTCCAACCAACGACCAATTGGGAAAAGGCTTTTCCGAACCAGCTCCCGTTGTCAACGTGAGAGACGACTTCGGACCGGCGTTGAGAAACCGCGGGGCTAGCTTGGCTAACAGGAGCGGGACGGCGAATCGAACATGGCCTGCCCGGCGGATAGCATGGAGATTGATAGTTTCCAGAGGTTGAATGGCAAGTTTGTCGCCTGCCGTGAAGACGATGTGGTCAAGTGAGCCAATAGTGGAAAACAAATGCTCCAGATTTTTTTCGACGTCTTCACCAGCAAGGTCACAGATATGTGCAGTAATTTCCGCACTGGGAAATTTTTGTTTCAAAGCGACCGCACTCTTGCCCACCCGAGACGCATTTGAAGATGCTATATGGACCTTTGCACCCTCCAAGAGGCACTTCTCCGCGACTCCATAACCAATTCCGGATGAGCCACCAATAACAAGTACCGTGCATTCTTTGATCGATGGCATGGTAGTAACCTTGAATGACCTGAGGCTGTTCAGGGAAATGAAACAATGTCAGTTAAGGCTGCCCAAGGGCGATCATAACCAGAACCGGGCCTATGATACATACTGCAAGCCGTAGTATGAAGGGCGTGTTATTCAAATTGACACAGAACTATTTAACATTCAATGATCGCTACTCCCCTTTATAATTTGATTAGAGTACACCCAGTCTCCCTGTACACGATTATTCATCAGCTATCACGCGGTTCGACCAGTTCCGATGGCCCCCTATGATCTCAGGGAATTACTTGGTAATCTCGTTGACCCATTCCAACGGGGATAACGGATTTAAAGCGGGGAACTCTAAGCTCATAATATCCATCAATTCCATTGGACTCCTGGAGCAAACCGGTGGATGGCGGATCGGTCAGCCTTCATTTTTGATTTCTCAGCAACCAACGGGGCCATCCACTTCATCTCAGAACCTTATTTATCTTAGGAGCCATAAAAAGGGAGGGGCCCACACCCTTACGGCGAGAAGTATAGAAACACTGACATCCTCCCCTGATTCGAAAAGTTTTTCGATCTGCCATATTTCTTCTTCATTATCCAACTGTCCCAAGTATCAATCTCTGATTGTACCAGTGTCCTCAAGATGACGGAGAACGCAGCAGCGTGGATTACTGCGCCAGCAGAATATCCGTTCAAAATCCAGAACGCTGCAAAGCCGAAACCAGGACCTGGAGAAGTGGTGATCAAGAATGTCGCCGTCGCTATTGTAATGCCTTCTCTTCCCTCTAGCAATCTATATATAACTGTCACTGACCCGTCCATAAGAATCCTGTTGATTGGAAAATACAGTCAGTAGTGGCTATTTGTCTCCATTCGTGATAAGGAACGTCTCCCTGATTCTGATCATTGTCCAGGAGCCTGGGGCGCTATCTAAATCAGTATCCTTTTGTTTTGGGACAGGATGCTGCTGGTTTTATCGAAGATGTTGGGAGTGGCGTAACTAGGTTCAAGAAGGGCCAGAGAGTGATTGCGTAAGGGTTCCACTGCGACCTAGATAATTCTAACGCTAACACCCTGCAGCCACTGCTACGGCCTCTTGACGCAGGATCCGGCGCACGGTGCATTTCAGTTGTATCCCGTTACAGCTGAGTCACTTGTGGCCGAGATTCCGGAATCGCTTACATTTGAACAGGCTGTTGTGCTTCCACTGGCCGTCTCAACCGCCAGTGCGGGTCTCTACCGCAAGGATTATCTCAACCTGCCCTTTCCTGAAGCGGATGACGTCAAATCTACAGACAAAGTACTCCTAGTCTGGGGTGGTGCATCTTCAGTTGGTGCATCCGCTATCCAGCTCGCAGTTGCATCAGGTCTGACTGTCTTCACTACTGCATCTGAGGCTAATAGAGAATTTGTCAAGTCACTTGGCGCGCATGCAGTCTTCGACTACAGGTCTTCCACTGTTGTGGAAGATATCTCACGTGCACTCAAAGGTTTAAATTTTGCAGGAGTTTATGATGCAATCGCTGAAGAGCCGAGTTTTGCAGCTATCTCCGAGATCTTTGACACGCTTGATACGAAGGTGCCTGTTGCCAGCGTGCTTCCATGCGACCGACCAACGGAGCGATTTATTCCCCAGTATGGTATGTATAAAAATCTTGAAGGGTTAATGCGTTTTTCCGAGTCATTGACGACCGCCTCATAGTCATCGCATACTCCATAATTCAAGAACCGCATAACGATATTGGTGACTGGATCTGGGGGAAGTACTTGCCTCGGGCTCTGGCAAACGGTGCTTTCCAGGCAAAGCCAGATCCTTATGTCGTAGGACATGGGCTCAAGACCATCCAGCACGGCCTCGACGTACAAAAGAAAGGTGTTTCGGCAAAGAAGGTGATTGTCACACTCTAGGGTCATTAATCAGACAGTTCGGGCTTTCTTGCAATGCTAGTTCAATTGACGGTTTTACGTCTTCGTGTTCTGCTGCTTTCCTCTACGTTACTAGTCCTATTGAAAATAGTCAACATAGCCAGATGCTGCACAAATCAAGAAACAATGAGGGCGAAAAGGCCTGCTCATGTGAAAATCGTACGACCCACTCGTACATCCGAGTATTGTCAGTCAACATGGACATTCGTTCAGCATGTGCGTTTTGCTGTTTGCGGCCGTAGTGAAGCGACTGAAGGTTAGCTTGAGCATAAACCGGGTAAGGGCTAATTCCGACAGCATCGGACTTCGGGGTTTTTTTAGCTTTCTTTTTTTTATTTCCAGAGAAATAATAAAGATTCAAGATCCCTATATCCGAGATCTTAGCTGAAGTGATGAATATAATGAACCGTCCCCTGTTTACAGAGATAAAGTGGGTAAACCAGTTATCCAGCGTGATGAAAAATTGGAGGTCGATTATGCAGTCACGCTAATGCAGCCTACTGACGGTCCCACAGAGCCAAGTAATTAGTGGCCAATAAAATTGCCGACGGATTTTAACTCCACATGCTAACTTCACGGCGCGTAGCCGAGTATTACTGACGTAACCAGTTAAAGAAAGAAGGAATGTTGCACCCGTGGGCGAGAGGTTCAGTAACGGTGCAGCGGGCTTTACACGGTACAATACAGATATTGCAGTGGAAAGAAGCTGGCGAGGTTTGGTAATACTTTTACACCCACCAACTCGGGGCACATCTAGCCATCTATTACTCCAAAAGCTTCCTATATCAACAAAAATCTGGGGACTCTATTAGCGTCCGATGGTCTTTTCAGTAACAGTTCGACACATACCATTGGACATACAACCAAAGGAGCGCAGCTGCACGAAGTCCTCGGCAATGGGAAGATCACTAGATCATCAATCTAGCCTTATTCAACTCGGATATAACCGGACTAGACGAGCATTAAGTCCGCGATTTCCGGTATCTCCATGACAAACCCATCTGCTACACAAGCCGTGATGTCGCAGGTATGTAGTTAACCGGAGCTTACTGGACCAAAGAGTCAACATATTATTGTAGCCGGCCTTACTTGCCAATCGGCGCCAGTACTTTCCGCTAGGACGGAAAGTTGGTAGTCCGCCACAGTGGGTCTTGTCAGTAGGTTGCATTAGCGTCACCGCCCACTCTTGGCGTCCTGGAAATAAGTCAGCAAGTAATACTAGTTCCGATCCTTCTATGAAGACTCTAAAGCCGATATACGGCGTGGAAGTTTTGATTCTCAGTTGGAACCAGGAACGACGTTTGATTATACAAAATGTTCTTGATTGCTCCTCCCTCCAAAATAGTATTTCAAGTCACCATGACCACGGCTGTCTAAACCTCAATCCTTACAACCGCACCACCTGTTACGAAGGTACCATTGATCGGAGTAACTACTCCTCCACCGGTAGTAACATAAAGCACATTGTTGTCCATCATTGTTCGGCTAAATGCTCCAGATGTCGGATTTGGGATCGAGCTGGAGTTCAAACTTCCAGCAATAACCTTGCTTTTTCCGTTGGACCAAACCTTCGTTATCTCATGCTGATATATAGTAGCCAGATATGCAATTCCGTTCGCAGTAACGGCAAAATCGACTGCCTCCACCGTATAAGTGATAATTTCGACGGAACTGGTCACACGACCAGAGACAGGGTCGAGTCGTACGCGGCAGAAGAGCTTCTTTGAAGTGTTCGTCTAGTACTCAGTATTCCCGAGCACTTTCAGTCCATTAATCCTTAGAACAAAGCCAAGTACCTGTTCTGGTTACATTATCTTGTCTTTAAAAACAGATTCATATACTCCAGTATTGATGTCGACACCCCAGATATAATATCTGATGGAATTAGTGACTATAATAATTTCCTGGACGGAGTTCAAGGTAGTCATTCTATTAAAAAGCTGTGCTTCAGGTATCATTATAATTAGAGATATTCAGAGCGAGTCGCTGTCCTCTCTGAAATTTAGTTTCTAGTCTATATATTTTTAAGAATTATTGGATATCGACAACTACATTTCTAATGAGGCTATCATACTATATCAAGATTAATTATTGAGAGATTAATATATTAGAAGTATGCAAAAAAATTTTAAAAAAAATTATGTATATTAAATATATGGATAATCCTAAAATATAAGTAAAATACCGGTATATTGTATTCACAGCTGTTTTATACGTATCTAAATAATAAAAAAAAAAAAAAAAAAAAAAAAAAAAAAAAAAAAAAAAAAATACATAATGATAACTTATTAGTACAATAGCCTAGATATATGAATTAAAGCCTCATACTCTTCAAATAGTTAAGCTATTTCAAATTAGAAAAGTGGTTTTTGCATGGCATTATTAGATAGGCCGCTCGACCGTATGGGCCGCGCGATCGTGGTTTACGTTATAGGACGGTAATGCTTATTCTCCTCTTGTTCTTTGTTTGCACGTCTCCATCCTTTAAGATCCTTTTTAACTCTCGTCTTACCGCTTGAAAATCTGTTACTTAGAAGAAATTATCAAAAATTCTTAGAAGGCTATACTATAATAAATAATAAATGCAGATGAAACAACACAAGTTATAGTATAGTAAGCATAATTATTACCTAAGCTTCCACCACTGCTATGCCAAACACTTCGGGAACACTAAAAATATTTGATCCAGTCACGAACATCACTTATAAACCGACGAGCAACACCCATGCTCACCTCCTCTTCAATGAATAAGTCCGGGTCCTTGTTCTCATAGACCTGCTTAAGATCAAGATTATCTGTCAAGGCGATATCACAGGCCTTTTCAATGTTCCTCCTTAAGTTTATCGCAACCTACTCTTGATTGCTGCCAACGACTGTACCCCCTAACAGTGGAAATCAGTGGCAGATTTGATGTCAAACCCAGCAGTTCGAGAGCCTGCTATATAGTGGGGGCATTCTTCAAGTGGTAAAGTGATAAGTTGTGCATGGTCGCGTAAGTATCTAGCCTTTATTTGTCAGCTAACACGTCCTTATCGTAGCTTATCATTCTGTCAGCCAATGGGATGTCAATCGAAGGGCGTTAACTAGTTAGTAGCCCAAAAGTTATGTCAATTAAAGGGCGTCAGACAACACTAGCTCTTATGTTCGGCTACTGCTGTCCACCATTTATTACTGCTTCATATGCCAATTCTCGAGCTCTATTCTACCAGATTCCCCTAATTGTAGTCTCACGCAACCATTCAAAACTCCTTCCCTCTGTTCACAGTCATTTGCCTCCCATTCCCAACACTCAAAATGACCACCTCGCCCCTCCCCACCCGCCTCGCAACCCCAACCGATGGCCCCCAAATTAGAGACCTAGTCGAATCCGCCTTCCGCGCCGCCGACACTCGCCCCAACTGGACGGGTGACCTCGCCCTCGGAGCGCGCTTCCACGTCGCGCTAGACGACATCCTCACCCGCATCACGGAAGAAGATAGTGCAATACTCATCGCCACCGCCGCCGACGTCGACTCCAATGATCCGCCCATTATCGCCTGCGTCAGCATGCGCAGGCACGGGCCCGGCCTCGCTCGACTCTCATACTTGGCGGTTAATCAAAGGTATCAGCAGGGGGGCCTCGGACGAATGATTCTGAGTCTTGCGGAGGGCCATTGCCGCGACGTCTGGGGGGTGAAGCGGGTGGGATTAAATGCGTTAGATACGCGGTTGGCGCTGATAGGGTGGTATGAGAGGTGCGGGTATTCGCCCACTGGGGAGGTGACGAGGTTTCAGTTGCCGCCGGATGTGCTGTCTTTTGTGGAGATGGAGAAGGGGGTGGAGGGGGTGGAGGGGGTTGTTAGGCTGAGTTGAATGGGTGGCTGGGTATGTAGGGTGCAGGATTGGGCTTGGGGCCGCTGCGAAGGCATTAAGTCAGGTCAGGCTCACGTCACTGCCGGATGGAACCTATGTTGTCGGTTATTAAGGTAGATTGAGAGTTTCAGGAAGAGTACTTACATGAACTTTGTTGCGAGTGCTTTGGCCTGTTTCTACTTCCTTTTTCCTCCTGGGGAGCTGGAAGGTGATGCCATTATCGCTGGTGTGCTCTATGACATAGGACAGCGTTTGCATAGTCTTCACGGTTGGCTAGGTAAGTATGTTCGGCAAAGCACCATGAAGAGATCTCGATCAACAGTTCTTTCAGTCTACATCAGGAACAATCATCATGATGAGAGGTCAGCACAGTATGTCGGATTCACCATTGGAGGATACCCTTCCTTTTGATGAGACAAGCATCGCCCATTTCACGCCGCATGGCTTTTTGAAAGCCCCAATAGATAAAGTTATGCGTGTTGGAAGATCTAGGCATTAGATCAGACCCCAGGTGTGTCGAAAAATGTATCGAGACGAGCTGAAAGGTCACCTGTCTTACCCGAGTTATCTGAGACACCTACAGTATAATGCCTACAATCTCAATCACAGCAATGTCGGCTACTACGGTTGAACAACCATTATTCTGCCACCTTTCCAGGCTTCCACCGGAGCTAATACTCATATGCATGAATGGAGATGTTCAGTCTTCAAGCTGTGTCGTGCGGATCTGCCATTTCTTTCGCAGTGTGCTGTGTAAAGAGTTCGAGGAGCATGCAGGCATCTATGCCGTGTATACACAACGCGTTGATTATCTGTCGTTCCGCGAGGATTCGTATACTTACTTTTCCTTTTGAAAATGGTGGTGCGCACGTACTATCATACGAATTTATGCACAGCCTTTCTATGACCGAGGCGATGCAGCTCATGCTCGAAGCGAGTGCTAATACTAACTATGCGTTGGGCCACAAGTGCGGCTTGATGCTCTAGGTCACTACCCTAAACCAACTATCCTGTGCCATCTGCTGGGATAGAATGTTGAACACTCGAAGAAGCGCTTTCAAGCCAGTCTATCAGCAAGATTACTAATCTACAGGGATTTTTATGATATCAACAGCTGAGGACATATACTGAAAGGATCTACGTGTGGGCTTGAAGGAGATACCACATATGTACATTAGAAGCTGGGTTGATAAATCAGTGATAGTTGCCCGTTCGGCTGAGCTGCCGGGCGTTAATAAATCGTGTGCGTGTGTGTGCGTGTGTGTGCGTGTGTGTGTGTGTGTGTGTGTGTGTGTGTGTGTGTGTGTGTGTGTGTGTGTGTGTGTGTGTGTGTGTGTGTGTGTGTGTGTGTGTGTGTTTGTTTCCAGATGACTGTTATTAGTAGCAAGGATCTTCTTGACTTGCTATATAATAACAAGGATTAGAAGTATATATTATAATTAGGATTATAAAAGATACCTACACGGCTTTACTAGCATGTCTAACTTTGAACAGTTATATAGAATCAGAAAAAATAAATGAAAATATTTAAAAATTAAATTTATTATTGAGAGAATTCTGATCATATCATATTCTAGATCTAGACAGAACCAGCTTTATTATAGTAGTTACTATTGCCATTATTTTGTCTAATAGACTGTTGACTAGAGGCAAACAGCCAGGTCAGGTCATGTTAACCAGAAAATTGATACCTGCCGTCAGGTTAACGGTCAGGTTAATAAAAATATATGTATCTGACTGTTAACTATACACTTACTAACTTACACTTATGAATGATTTAATTGATAAGCAGTACAGAGAAGTAAATAGATTTCTGTTTAAGCTAGTCAGATTTGGCCAGATAAATGCTTGATTTTTATCTGATTTCTACCTGATCAGGTTAGATAATCAACTGCGGTTAATACTTTGTAATTTTAATAGTTAATACTTAATAGAAATCTCTACCTTAAGCTGACCGCCAGTTAACGGTCAGGTTACGGGTAAGATATAATGGTCAGGTATAGCCACTCTACTGTTTACCACTACTGTTAGGTTATAGTTAAGCTCAGATTAACATATAAAAGTCAGGTATAACCACTCTAGTTGAAAAAAAAAAATTAATAAATAAAAAAAGAATTAATTATATACTCAAATACAAAATGCAGGAAAAATAAGATTAGAAAGCAACTATAAAATATATACTAAATTATCTCATAATAACAAAGTATAAAAATACTGAAATACATCTTTTTGATCTTTCCTCGGATAAAGAATATTCAGGTCTCTGAAAAATATCCATAGGATCTGGTAAAAGCAGCAAGATGCTCACGAGTAGTCTTGGGTGAGCACAGTCATACTAATGCTGTTATATATTTTGTGTTTCGTCCCTTGAAATGGAGGCATGTATGTGCATCGTTGGTGATACAGACCCCAAATGGTTGATTCTGAGATTTTCGTTATCCCGTTGGTACATATGACCAATCAAGCACGCTGAATGTATTTATGGGGCAGGTCTCTATTTACACAACTCCGATCTATCCTTGTGAAGACGTGTACTTGGGATAGGAAAGGCATCTAGTCAATGGGGCTGAGGCGTTGGTTCCCGCTTCGGTAGAACAAGAATGTTTGTGAGGTCACTCTAGCCCTAATATGTCTTATACTGATCATTCTATAAGCAATGAATATTAACATAATTGCCGCATTAATGCTCAAGATCTCAGACTAGAATTAGATCTAAAAGTTCCACTGATTCAGCCAATTGGCCATCTGAGCAGGTGACACCGAACTGAGTGATGCCATTGTTTTACTCCCCTTCTTCGACCGTTCGACGCTGATGTCCGCAGACAAGACATCCGCGTTTTCCGCCAGGCTATGGAAGAAGGCTAGGAGCTTCAGTGCGGGTTTGTCTTGCACGTCGCGATCGGATGGATCTTGGATGGTTTCGAGATCGGCGACCCAGTTGACGAGAGACACGGGCTGGACGGGGTATCGCTCTTGGATCGCAGGGACGAGAGAAGCCCAGGTGGTCCGGCATGGATTAACCAGATGGAAGACTGCGTTGCGGGTTTCCGCGAGCGAGACACGGCGGCCGAGGACGAGTTCGTTTACAATTTGCGCTAGGGTATCCTGGTTCAATTAGTCAGTGACATTCTCTACGGATGGGGTCAGACAGTAGAAGATAGAGCCAGGTGCGTACCACTGACACCCAGTCGATGGGGTACCCCCCGAGATCAGACGGCACTTTGCCCATCGCCTTTGATGTCTTAATCAATGAGGGGATCCACTCGTGCGGATTCCACACTCCCAATCGCGTGTCTGGACCCGCGATCTGTCCCACGCGCAGGATACTGGTCGGCACGCCGGCCGTCTTCGAAGCCTCCACGCAGATGCTCTCCCCGATATACTTGGACTCTCCGTATCCCTGCTCCAGCGCGGCGTCCGCCGTCTCCATCGGAACTTCGGGGACGGCCGTGACCTCATCGCTGGGCTTCCAGGCCCCAATCGTGCTGACTGAGGAGATGAAGGCAAGATGGGCCTGGTAGCGGCTCTCCTGGCTGAAGCGCACGAGCTCCCGGACACCCTTGAGATGCGGGTCCTCGAAGGACACGGGATGGTTAAAGTTGACCTTCCATGCATTGTGGATAATCACGTCAACCGTGTCGAGGAGCTCCTTGTATTGTCGGTCGGAGAGGCCAAATTGGGGTTCTCCGAAGCGGACATGCAGGAACTGGACCTTGTTGGGATCATCCAGAGGAGAAGTCTGCAGTCCTTTTTCCTGGAAGCCTTCCTTCTGGCGCGTCGGAGAATCTTCGCTTCGGTTGAAACAGTAGACCTTTGCTACCTGGGGATTGCGCAGTAGGTCGTCAAGAATATAGCTGCCCAACGATCCAGTGGATCCAGTGAGAATGACAGTGAATAAGGCCGGCAGTTGAGGAAGGATATCAGATTTTCGAGTTTGAAGATCATTCGTATACTTGGTAATTAACTGCGCAATCTTATAAGAACGAGATACAGTAGGGATTGGACTCGATGATTTCTCAAGGATCCCCAACAGCATATTAGTGAGTCCCTCTGCAGTTGGGTGCGCATAGATCTGCTGGACATTGAGATGCTCGGTGTTCAACTCCGGATTGTAGGAGAAGACCGAATTTGTCAGAATCTTGCTCAACTGAATTGCCTGGAGTGAGTCCAGGCCCATGCTGTAGAGGTCGTCATTGGGTTTGATGCTTTTCCTCCCAGTAAGCTTGCAGATAACGTTTTGTAGATACTCGTGGACAGTGTCCGGGGTGATCGCTGATGGCAGGCCTATCACCAGTTGCCTATCTTGGGTAGCGTAAATCTCCTCAATCTCCTCGGCATAATCCTTATTCACGGCATGTCGTTGTGTAGTACCTTTCGCGGTGAGTTTGAAGGGTTTCTCGCGAGATGAAAGGCGGATCATGGTTTTCACGATCTGGCCGTAATCAGGAACGGTCTTGTTAGCTGCCTGAACTATTGGCCAAATCATGTCGACAAACTCCTTCTCGTTGATAGGAGCGGCAACCTTCTCGATATCTGGCTCAATTAACAAGCATGTCTGGAATCTGCGTTGGCCGATAAGCAAAGCCCGATGAACCGAAGGATGGCCTTCCACGATCTTCTCCAACGAGATCGGGTTCAGCTTCTCTCCGTTGCTGAGCACAATCACATCGTCAAAGCGTCCATGATACTTCCAGAGCTTCGGGTTGGTTGGGTGCCGGGTGTAGAGATCTTTGGATCGATACTCTTTCAGATCCGGGAACGTGTGAAAGATTCCATGCATCACGAGAGAATGTTCCACCCGTGGTACGACCAACTCATATAGCCCGTCCCCGATCGGTTGCATATCAATCTGATAGGAGGGATTCCACTCGAAATACCCCCAGGCGTCCTCTTCTTCGGGGACCATGGAGCAGATGACCCCCATCTCGCTGGATCCAATGGCTGATCGTAACTGAGTGTATCGACCAAGCTTCTCGCCCACTTCTGGCGAAAGAGGAGCCCCACCGTAACAAACAAACTTCAGAGTGCTGAGGCATGTGAGAGCCTCCTCAGAATAACTCATGTCTTCAAGGATTGAAGGTGGAAGGATCGTGACTGTCGGTTTCGTGTGGCGAATTAGATCGGTCAGAAACCCCACGGAAAGCAACCTCTCAGGGCTCGCAACGAAGGGGATGTTGTGGAAGATAGACTCAAAGAACGAGACCAGCCCCATCAAGTGAAAATAGGGCGTGGACGAGAGAACAAGGTCCTTGGGATTGGGATCGTCGGAAACCAGGTCATTAAAGAAAGCGGAGGAGCGCCCCGGAGGCATAGGGATCGATGCGGCAAAATCCATCGTACCCAGAAAACCATGGGTAAGAGGAACAGGCTTAGGCATGCCTTACTGAAATTGTTAGCTCTACATCTCTTAAGCTGTTTGGGGATCAGTCGCTGCATACGTACCGGTTGTTCCAGAACTATGGATCATAAAAGCAATCTTGTCCACCACCTCATCATAGGTCTTGGAGAACTCAAAGTGACTCGCGTCACTTTCATTGCTGAAGATGTCCGCCACAGATGGCACCTCGTGGAATTGCATCTTCCAGTCCAATGTTTTCAATCTGAAAGCAATTGGAGACTTTTCTCGGCTGAAAAGCAGGTGCGTACACTTTGTTTCCTTGAAAATATGGTTATATGCGTTATCCGACAGCCGAGTGGAAGGTAGAAAGATCTAGAAGCGAATCCCAATATTGATGGTTAATTGCAACTCGTAAATTTGGCACCCGGGGAAACAAACCGTATAGCCTGTCTTATGACACGCAAGCATAAAGATGATGTAGCGCACATCGTTGTTCGCCAGATACGCGATCTTTTCTCCCGGTTGCGGCTTGCCCAGAGTGTCGTCGATCCACCAGGACATGGCATTGACTGCGCGGGAGAGATCCCGGAAAGTCACCTCCCGGAAGCCTTGGTCGACATCGGTGCCATTGGGGATCAGGCCAAATCTTCTATTAGGGAATTGCTTGGCAATAGTATCGACGTGGGTTACCAGAAGCCTTCCCGGGGCTTTGAACGCTTCTGAAGCTGAATTGGTGATACCGACCATGGTCGCTTGACACAGACGTCAAATAGATGGATACTTTGTGCTTGAATGTAGGCTGTGCTCAGATGCAGGAATGACAAAGGGAAATAATGGTTGGAAAATGTAGCATCGATGCTTGCACTTCTGCCTCTTTAAATAATCCGAGGGATAGGGCGCTATGTACAGGCGGGCGCGATGAGGCATTTTTCTCTTTTTCCCATCCTCTATGCTGATTTCATCGCTTACGTAGTATGCTGTCCATTATCGGCGCATCGATGTGACTCTCTAGTGCAGATCATGCTTGAATTCACATAGAGTCGGTAACTGAGACTTCAGATGAAGTGGTTATACATAGGATCGGGTGCATAAAAGTTCCATTGAGATAAGTGGGGCCGACTAATGCTGCCGAGCCGGGGTGCTTGAGATAGCTTGTACATCCAATGCAGTGCATATTTATGCTGGATGAACACTAGAATGCTGAGGAAAGGGGCTCATACGCCACGTCACAATGCCTCAAGATCAATGCCCAATACGGAATAACACTGCAGGAACAAGCCCTTGTGGAAAACAGTCTATATTTCACTGGAGATTTATGACTGATTGGTGCAGCAAGCGAGGACGGGTACGGCCGATGCTTGAGTTTCTTCATATACTTATCAATCAACATATGCCGAACAAGCAGAGAATGAGATCCGCACAAGACAACCACGAAGCAATATCTATCAACTAGCTAGCTTGTTCTCCATAACGGCGGCCCATTCGACCACATTTCTTCAGAACGACCAGATGCTTCCGATACTCGCCCAACCGATGACCGCCAAGCTAGTGAAGATCCACCGGGGTCCGATGGCACCGATATTTTACTCTTTTTCTTTAACTATTTAATATTGATATCTATAAACAAGACATCTGTATTACCTGCCAGGCTATGGAAGAATACCAGGAACTTTAATACAGATTTATCTTTTATATTATCTCTAATAGATGCTGTCTTCACAGTTTCCACCTAAACTCTGCTAAAGTATCAGACCCGGGTACTACGTAGGGACGTCTGCCCATGGCTTCAGTCTCGTAGTTAAGATGGGCAGGCAGCTACGCGCGAACTGCTGGGAAATTGACAATGTGGCCTAGTGCTTTCAGTTGCTTGCCATGATAATAATACGATTGCGATATCTACTTGTAACATTATCCACATTACAATATACATCGAATTGGCTGGCCAGAGGACCAATACACGACTTCACGTGCTATTGTGGGAGACCTCAGTAGAGACATCCGGGGTGTTCTTATTTCTCTGTACCAAACAAAAGTAGAGCAAAGTTCCTTACTTGGAATCGTTTTGCGTCTGAGCTATCTCGGCTCTTCTCTCCGCCAAGTGTCCCATCATCTCACTCAGCTTGAGCGTGTCTCCGGCCACAATGCACATGGACATGTAGCTCTTTTTCTTCAAGAACGCATCACCCTTGGCCAGGCAGAAGCCCGAGTAAGGCTTGTCATGCTTGCGCATGGTCTTGTGGAACAGCTCAACAGCCTCAAGCCACTCGGATTCTGTCCCCACGATGCCATGGCCACCCGGCAAGCCCATGCTGACGCGGGCATCAATGGTGCCAAGCCAGACAGCGTCGATCTCGGGCACTTCTGTCAGGCGCGTCGAGATTCTGAATACCCTCGAGTGATTCCACCTGGATCATAAAGCCTAACTGGCGGTTGAAGTTTTCCCACAACGGGTGGTCCTTATCGAGCGGCACGTCCGTTAGCCCATGCACGTAGCGGAAAGGCGGCGCAGAGCGGTGCCCGCCATTCTTTCGGCCAAACTTTACAGCTCCGCGGGCCTCTTTGGCCTGTTCCACCTTGTCAACTTGCGGCACCACGATGGATGCGCCTGCATCGAGGGCATACGCCATGGTGGCATGATCATGGCCGGGTACGCGTACCCAAGGGATCGTGCGGCCGTTGCTGAGGAAAACTGCTTCGTGTACCATCTGCGCGTGGATGCATTCAGCGGACAAACTTCCTATAAAGTTGCAAAAACAAGGGACAAATAACGAATGACGTTGCGCGGGCTAGAGAGGTGTGAGAATAGAAATGCTTCCAACGTACGGTTGTCATGGTCTCAATATTCATGGCGCTATGTTCCCAATCGATCCAGACATAGTCAAATCCCATGGGGGCTAGCCAGCGGGTGATCGGGACGGAGGCCAGCCCGGCGTAGTATCTCAGCAGGGTAGGGATCTTGCCCTGATGGGCGTCCCGGATGGCGTCCCGGGCTCGGTGCGGTTGGAATAACGTTTTGGCCATGTAATCCCTCATATCGCCAAAGCGCCCCGATCCATCCTTCGCCGTCGATGCCATTTGTGTCGATTGGGGGTGCTTCCTTTGGCGGCAGTATCAGAGTTTATTTTCTGATGGCCAAGAAGAGGCAAAAGTAAACAAGTGCTGTGGATAAACAGCTCTGTATCCTTTGTGATAATTTGGAATCAAGCAAACTGGCGCATTTGTGTGGGCAATAAATGGTGTTGTTATAGTCGGCCCAATATTCGCAGAGTAGCACGGTATACTATGCCCCTAAAATGACCGATATCCACGGTAACTCCTTTCCTCTTCGTTCTTTCGGCTTGATTCCTCATTATTATCATTCTGTTAGTTAAACGCTACTCCTGTAACCCCCGCCCGTGGTTACTGAACCAGCTTTATCCTAGCTGCAGCTACAACATCAACTACCAGTACAATACCGGGTTTCTCTAGGTTATCAGTACAGTAAATCCGCCAGCCTCCTCGGGTTCTTTCACCGTCTATGCCAGTGGTCCTACAGATTTAGAATTGTAAGCGGACGTTGCGATATCGAGATTAGTGAACCGTTTTCTCCGGCCGAGAGAAGGAACCTGTTACTTGACGCAGGTGGGGTTTTCGTGCGGTTCAGATAAAATTATGCGCCGAAACTGGCTAACTCCGTTCCACCGCAGCCAAGTGGCTGCCTATCCTCGATGGGCCGTTGGCCATTCCAGCTATTTAACTCCAAAATTCAATACCTTGTGCAAAAGAGAATATAATCATCTATCCCGGCATGCCACCACATATTTCTCATCTTCTCCAACCCCTAGATGTTCGGGCTTTTTGAACTGCTCAAACACCAATACAGGTAACTAGTGGAAGGGATGATAGTGGTCGAATCGGAAATAACCACATTAATAAGGGGATATCCCACATCTATAGCCTCCAGAATAAGACAAGAAGTTCAACGAAGTAGATAGTCGCAATGGCTTTGTAGAAGCTGGTCTAGATTTGATGAATAAAGAACAAGTCCTTCTAGCTTTATACACTAACACCGATTACACTGTTACTTATTGAAGGCTCTGTCTATTTCTGCTTCTCAAACTCCTCAGAACCCTTATTAGCTTGATTATAACATCGTCACATCCCTACTATATAGAGAAGCGTCTAATAAAGGAGGCTATCTAACAGTGTAACAGCTTCTATATGATATCTTGAAATGGCTGCCTAATTAGCATTAAATATAATCTTCTTTTCTAAGAAATAACCGAGGTTCTACATGCTGAAGTATGGTGGAGAATAAGGAGGAAAATCAAAAAGAAGAAAAGGAGACACAGCATGCTGTAATGGGGAGCCACTTCCTTTGGTTCATACAAGGGGGCCAACATTGCGTTAAGCAGCTTGTTACCCAGGGTAATAGCTGGCTAGTTTGATAGATCTACACCTACAACTCATTATCATGTCCTCCACGCTGCAATGAAGGTTGGCCTATTAGATATTGTGGAAGAGGGTAAACCAACGAATGGCCCTAAATTGAGATAGTATATGGACTAAGTAATGGTTCTAGTGGTTGAAAAGCTTCTGACATATTAGAGCTCACATTCGCTTCTCGGCTGCGAATTACCTTAGTTTTGATATAGCTGACCGCTTGCCTGATTGGGCCTGTCATGGACCTTCCTGATTTCGATTAGATAGATTACACTCCGTTTATGGCCGATGTTCGGTCCCTTACCCCTCTCTAGATCCCTGCATCCGGCGGTATAAAATCTAGCTAGTCATATGATACACTAGAAATTATTGTACCGTACGACTTTTATCATTCATCGGAGCACTAACTACTAGACTAAGAATAATATACTGCTTCTGGCTAGCGAGGTGATAGAGAGATATATATTCAAATACAGCCTCCTTCATCTAGAGACCATCACTTTCAGTCTCCAGATCCTGGTTTAGACAACTTCTCGAACTGGAATTGCATGAATCTAAGATCCAGCTTAATTATTCCCGAACTTAAATCTGTAATTTCTGATCTCTAGTTAGAATATTACATGTCAGTAAAAGCTGACCCGGCTAATAACCTGTCAAAGCGTTAACCCGTAGACTAAAAAAAATATACCACTTCTGGCTAGCCAGGCGACGGAGAGATTCGTGTTCCAATATCATTGGTAGGCAAACTACCAGTGATAGCAAATCCTCATACAGTTCTGGGATTTCCAACAAATAGCATATCTCCTAGCTGAGACATTTAAATACAGTCAACCGCTATATTGGCTTATATTGCTTCAGGAAATTCACGCTGCGAGGTGATAGCGCAGGGATTTGTGTCAGGAGCGAAATCACACTGTGGATTGCCAAGAACTGACAGAGGCGTATCTAATCAACAGTTGCATGTTGTGTAAAGTCCTCCCTTTCCGGAAGCCTCAACACAACTGTATTTCTTCGTTTGCTCTTAGCAACTCATTCAAACTGTGCGTGACGTACCCTGCCGCTCAAAATGAATGCATCAGGCCATGCAACGTACAATAGTCGCCGGCAATCGCGATCGTCAAATAAGTCATCGAAATCGTCATATTTTTGCAGTGGCAGCAGTCCACCCGAACTTCACGCGCTGCCAAATACTGACGAGTCGGGTGTGGAAGCCATTTTTCGGCACTTTAGCCAGGGCATGGCATTCTGGGAATGCCTCAAGACATGCCGACCTTGTTTGGAAGCCCACTCATACCGCGTACTCGACATGGTTGAGAATGTGATTGGGTTTCTGAGCAATAATGTCACTGCTACGGCGGCCAACTCGGTTGGAGGGACAGAAAAGCATAGCCGGAGCCGCAGCGGGATCAGCGGCAGCGGCATTCGGAGCGCGCCACAAACCTTCGTACAGCCCTGTGTGGCCGTTGTGGCTCCTACCAGTCCCTCTCTGGCTGCAGCTCTTGAGAATCTCCCTCCCATGGTTCTCGGATGGTTTACTCTTGACGATCAACAAGGAGCCACCCTGATACGCTTTATATATCGTCGAATGTTACGGCAGATAGCTTCAGTGTTGGATGAGATGCAGCAGATGGAACATGATCAGCATATCGCATGGGAAAGAGAGCTGGCAACCTACCTGATAACAGTATTGCAAATACTTGAGGGCTTTGAAAGATAGCGTGTTATTAAATGACGAAACGCAAATACTATCTAGAGATATGCGACAAAGAAAATCTATGATCCAACGTTTAGCTAATTTGATGTTGTCACTTGTTACAACTACGTCAATATATGGAAAAAGAAAAAGCTGCGCTTGTATATTTCCGCATAGGTACTAATCAGTCTACTGACAGATGGAATATAATGTTGACTCTAGAAGCTTAGGTGCCGAGGCACGTGAAAAAAAAGAATATTTGCCTGAAAATAGATTGGGTGCCCTATGTAGACACAAATAGCCTATATCATTGTTGATGAGACGACTAGAGTCCAGAAGGACCAAGTACGGTGCCATTTTTGAGAACCACAGGGTTGCTCGAGTACATAACACCAACCATACGGGCCCACTTGTCCTTGCTGAGGTTTCTCCAAGTGTGAGTGGTAGCGCGCTGGATGAGCATGTCACCCGGCTTCTGGATACGCTTCTCGCCTGATTCGAGCGTCACTTCGATCTCGCCTGCGACCTGGATAACAACGTCGAAGCTGACGGTGCGGTGAGCAGGACTGCCTTTACCAGGAGGGGTATCGATGTACCACATCATGCCACGACCGTCGGGGAGGGTGACGGGAGGAACGCTGGCAGTCTCCAGGTACTCAATGTAGTTCGTGAGATCGGTGCCATCGAGCGTGTTGGGGGTCTTGTCGGTGATGTATCCCAAACGGAACAAGGAACCTCCAAGATCCTGCTTGACCGCAAGGCTTTCATCCAGGGTCGTATTGAAGTGAGAGATGCCGGTCTCGGGATCGGTGTCGGTGATGACACGCTGGGGGTTTGGAAGTGGCTCTGGAGTAGACATGGCCGCAATACAACTGACTGCAAAGGAGGCAAATGGAATCAGATGTCTGAATTTCATCTTGGACATTATTTGATTTTCTTTGGTAGGGATTATAGAAATACGCAGGATATTGTTTCCGTGTGTGTCTTGGAACTTACAATCCGTCGTGTAATTATACCAGAACTCTTCCGCTGTAAGAATTCGATTTCGTTTGGCTAGACTGAGAATAAGCCAGATTAGCCAAGGGGAAGGTGTCGAAATAGTCTGGGACCAATACTAAAAAGAGAGCGAGGCTCAAGAGAGAAGCACAGCAAGACCAAGCCTCGTAAGAATGAAATTGGGAAGGAAGAAGTTGACGAAAGTGGCACGCGAGGGTGAGGATTAGAGACGTCAGGAGAGCAATGAAGGGCAATAACCCGAGCCAGATTTAATTGGCGGGGACCGATCTCTCTCACTGGGACGAGACAAAGTGTCGCAAAGCCTCGTTCGACAGAGAAACAGAAGGCATCTTAAAGGTTCGAAGGATTAGAGCGGGGCGGGCGCAGCGAGAACATTTACAGCGGCAACCCCCGCCGCCAAAAAGACGGGACGTAAAAACACTCATGCTCGATCCAATCAGAAACTAGCCATGGGTGGTCTTCATCCGGGTTTTATCCCTGCGTCTCGAGGTGAGTGGAGACTGATGCCACCAATTACCATGTCGAGGGTGGTTCATCAGGATCCAAAGACCCAGCCGGTGCAGGAAGGTCAAAACGAACCTGTGCAAGATGCCATCCCTCATGGGGATGATGCCCTCGACGGCAGTGTCGAGACAAATAATGCGAAAGAAGAGTATGGTGTTCAAGATGAAGCTGACTTCGAGGTCCGGTTCGAATCCGGTGATTCCACTAACCTCAAAGAATGGTCATCCTGGAGCCGTGCCCGGGCATTGTTCTGCATTGCTTTCTCCTCTTTTGTCGTGTCCCTTTACATACACATCAGGACTTTCCCAGCCTCGTGCACCTTCCCCTTTTTAGTTTACGCATTGCGCGATTATTACAGGTTGAAACGGTGCAAATGGAATATTTGAACGGAACTTTGTTTCATGTGTCAAAATTGCTTCTGAAACTTCCACGGCCCGCGATCATTGCACCGGGACAGGGCTGGATAGCTTGTTTAGGGGGGACCAGTCCGGCGACATAGGGCGAGGCTTTTATTTTGATTGAGACCGGGCCAATCACGGTGTCGGCATATTATGATGGAAGCATTTAATTTGCCATGACTCTCCTCGGCACGCACGGAAGGGAGCCAAATAAAACCCAGGCACCTCAAGTCGATGGACCCTTGCAGTCCCTCTTTTTATTCCTGCGCGGCAGGAGAACATGATAAGATGATAGTGCCGCGTTACACTGCAGATCCAGCCCGGGGTGCACGTCCTCCCCTGCCTACTTACTTGCCGGGGTCCGGCTCTGGCTGGCAAGTGTACTGGCTGGAGCTATCTCACATACCCCGCACGCCTCAGCCTCGAGGAGCGTTTTCTTCCCTTGTTTGGCGCTGGGAACACGTGTCCTCGTGCCATGGACTCAACTTAGGCTTGATGTAAGACTTGCAGCAATCTCCAAACAATATGCCTGGGCTGTAAAGCTTTTTTTTTTGTCTGCTCCGCTATCTAACCCGTGGAGGGCACATTCTGAACGTACCAAACGGTGGTCTGGGCGTGAAAATCATTTAGGGCTGGAAATAAGACGGGTCGGAGGCGATGATCAACGCGTGGCCCCCAAAGCCCTAAATGTTGTCTTCTGCCTGAAAAGTACAAAAGAGTTTGGGGTCAAACTAGGGCAACCTGCCTAAAGTTACTTGTCCACAGGTTGGTGGCGACAGGTGATTAGCCAACAGCCCTTTGGTCTCCATTCTTGACCGTCTTCACTCGCCAGTTGACCCCATTGGTGCTTTGGGCAAAGCAGGTCAGCAATTAGGTATGTCAAGCAATGAGGTTAGTCGACAACCTAATGCCCAGAGATGTGCCAGTTTCTTGGCGTCAGGCCCCGACTGCGAAACCCCAAGCTGAGTTGCGCAATTGGGGAACCACCTTGAAGACCATGTACTTTGGCTCCTCCATGACTCTTTGAAACGATCGATTGCCAGAACAGGGTGCAGGAGACAAAGTGGGAGTAGCTTCCATGAACCTGACAACACGGTCCGCATAAAGAATATAGTCCCGTCTGTGACTCAATAACTCGGGGCTCTACCAAGGAAGGTAGAGTAACATCGGCTATGCATTAACTTAGACCAAGAGCTGTAGCATAGCAATTTTTTCCAGGCTGAGTCGGCCAGGAAAATCGGCTCTGTACCCCCATTTCATAGGCCTTTGTCTTTCTCGAATAATCCAAGAATAATAATAGTTGGCTGTCTTATTTTTGATTTCGACCTATCGAAAAAAAGAAGAAAGCCTAAATTATTTGACCTCATCTGGGACTAGATTATTTTAGAAAAAACGGCTTTGATATAAGTGGCCTTACAGTACATTAATCTGACAGCGTAATGCAGACATTAATATGGTCTATTATTAGTTTCTCGGGATGTAAAAAGATACATTAAATAATCTATAGAGTGACTGACACACGCGGGATTCATGAAGCCCCCTCCGCCGTGGAGGCGTCGCGCATCCCAGGACATAGCTCACCTGGCCCACCTAACTTCTCGCCAGACCCACACTAATTGCTTTTGAATATTATACAACTTCTTAAAGTTACTCTGAGCAGTAACTTTTAATCCGATACTTTAATAGTATTAAACTAGAATATAAGTACCCTTATGGTATAGAACCCGCTTGTAATCTTGATAGCCAGTATAGCAGCTATCACTCGTGGCGCTGCTACCATCAGCAGGGGGGGCTACTACCATAAAGAGAACTTTACAGGTATGTCCAAAGCCCCAAGCCCTTTCTAGATTTTACACCGCACTTTGCACAAATAGCTGTGTACTGACTAGCCCCTGCTCATTTCCGTCGCCGACCCAATACAGCCTTCTTGGCTCCGCGGCGCTCTCATTAAACGCCCACAACTGCTCTCCGTTCAGCACTAAGAACCCATCATCCGAGACCCCCCAACCTGTCACCGTGTCGTCAGCCTCGGGCTCGGCCTGGAGTTGGATGATCCAAGCAACTGAGGTCTGATCGGCGAGCACGGCCAGTGCCTGACCGTAGGGCCCGTAGCCGATGGTACCGTCTCTGTAGGGAGATACTATATTTACCAGTTTTAAAAAGTGATTAATAGATGTACATAACGGACTAGAAGTTGGTGTAGGATGAACAAGTAGAAGCTTACACGTCAATGTAGTTCCTGTGGTGCTGTCGTAGATACCCCAACCATCGGTAGTCAGTACTGAGTTATCAAGTGTGGAGATTAGGGTGAAATTGGCAGGAAACGAGGTGGTTGTGGACGCTGCTGAGGCAATAATGCCGGAAATGGCTAGGAGGGGTTGGCTATATCTCATGTTTATAGCTGGAAGGAAGATTGTTTGTTTGAGTGGGGGGATGCTTGATAATGTTCGGAGTGTGGTGGAATAATAATCTGAGATGAAAGGGCGAAAAGGCTCTTTATACCCATCTTTGGCAAATTTCAATTCGTGCTATTGGATATCCCATAGCTAAAAATAGCTGTCCTGTAACATGTAAGGCCGACCACCGGCCCATCCAGTGCCTTCCTTAATTGGCGATGTGGGACGCCTAAGCTGACTGCTGAGCTTTTGATTCTCGCTGTTGGGTATCTGAGCATATATTTAGAATATCACATATCTTACAACAATCCTGCGCACCTAGTTGAGTTTGCTTACTTTTAGCAAAACTTGGCTATTTATAACTATCAGACATGGGAGCCTTAAGGAATCTTATTTCCGGCTGCCTACGGTCCCAGCTAAGGGGCCAAGAGCCAGGTGACTCTGATTAGCTAAACACCTTGACTTGGTGTTCGTAGCTTATCGTGAACACCAATCACCCGTGCCTAGTGCTTACCCGAGGCGAGCAATCCGGTAGCATGATTGGATAGAAAAGATAGCTAACCGTGAACTGGTACACCATACACTGCTGTTGCAGACTAATACCATCAAAATACTTCATTTCTGACCACCACTTTTTGTGCAGAGTTATCCGGAGCAAAGAGGACCCTTATATTTTATCATTATAGGACATAGGCTATAACGGGTTTTCACAGTCGTACTCGATCACCCCACTGCAGATACCTATTGGGCTCACTGTGTATCACGCCGCTGATACCCACCATAAAACCCAACAGAATAGCGTGAAAACTGGATTTCAGCTGGGTAGCTAGTGTCGCGGCTGCTCCTATGCCATATTCTCGACTGGATAAGCAAGTAATCACCACATCATGACTGCCAGTCTGTCCAAATACATATGCATTATAGTCATATTGTTTCACAGGCATTTCTTCGTGCCGCAAATCCAGCTTTGCTGCGGCTGCGACCACCTTTAATGGCAGAGCTCATGGTAATGCAATCGTGTAATCGTCAGACGACACAGGGGCTCTCTTCGCTATTACGTTCTCAGTTTTATTAAGGTTTATAAAGTGGTGGCAGCGGCACGTAACCTATGGCAAAGAGAGAGAGAGAGATCATGGGAATTTTGTTAGCAGAACAACATCCTTGTGGTCAAAGTCCAGATAAAGAGGTTCTCCACGTGACTAAGCACGGTGTACACAGTAACTATTTAGTGAGGCTGTGCGCGACAAGCCGAGCCAGCGCATAGTACGGGAAGGTATCAACTCCCAGGGAGCCTTATCGGCTGTATCTTTGACCTATAGCTGCTTCAGGGCTTACTCAATACGCTCATTGCTTCCTACGGACAAAACCTTCTAGATATGGATAGGAGAGGGCGTCTTTCGCCCTATGATGGGTATACACCGTCACAGGTGTATTACACATCTATTTAGATTGTTTACGTCAAACATCAACAACAATCCAAAAGTAATGGAGCCGATGTCCAGCCTTTATGGAATATTGAGTGACAACGCATCGCAGAACAAGAATGAGGCAGATACTGCACTCGCTTTTAGACAGCACATTGCAAACTAAATCCCAACCTCAATTCGCGGTGCTCTTCTTTGGTTTCCACTTGACACCGGTACTCGCTCCTGGAGCCCTTCGAGCATAATATGATTATGAGTATGGGTTTTATGAAGAGTGAGGATTTAGAGATTAATTCGGACTTTTTTTAAATTGGTACAGAACATGATTTATAATGTATAGTATCCATGATGAGGATATCTGTTATTGCTAAGGATAGTATGCTGTATAGACCAGCAATGCAGTGGTCATTGGAACAGATATATCATGATCTACAATTTCAAGCTCATTAAATCCACAAATCTGGTCAATTCTGACCGCGCAACCAAACATCTAAATCAGCGCATTTCCATAGAGCTGAAACACGACCATCAGCAGCAATGGCTTAATAATGCGGAATATTTGAATCCCCGAGATAGCAGCCATATTGGTTGACAGATCAAATGTCCACACAAGTATTGATTAAGAAACCTAAGATAAGAATAACTTTCAAAAACAGAGAATAAAATGACTCCATCACCCTCACCGGTAGGGTGCCATTTAGCCGACAGGCCAGCTAAAAAGCACCACCGCTCTTCATTGCACCGGGGAAATCATTCTGCATCACCTCCCAGAAGGGCTTGCCACCCATTTGCAGATCCTTCAACGCCGGACAAGTGACATTTAGCAAAGGCACGGAGAGTGCATTCGTGATAAATTCCAGCGGCTCTGCGAGGCTCTTGAAAAGTCCAGATAGCGCATTAGGACCAGCAAATTTCAGCACCTCGAACGCAAAGCACAGTAGATTGTTTCCCTCGAGAAGGTTGCCCAAGTTGAAGACACCGCCTGTCAAATTTCCGAGATCAACGCCAGCAAAACTATTCACGGTTCCTGTGTTGCCTCCAATGCTGGAATTGCATAACTGTCAAAAATTTAATCGGAAAAGATGGGAGCCAGCGAAGATTTCTCACCTTCCGAGCGCGGGGTACTTCGACAGCCAGTCAATTATATCCAGGTTCAATTGGACAAGGCCAAAGTTGACCGGAGTCTTGTACCAGTTGTCTGGGATTCGCTCCCATCCTTCCCTGTAGGTGAAGTTACCTTCCTCTCCATAGATTCCGTAGAAGTTCCGAATATGCTCCTTGGCTACAAATAGTTAGTCTGTTTACGCGTCGAACAATCCTCTCATCTACTTACTCAGAACGCCGTTAGGCTCCTCTTGAGAATAATTCCGGAACAACCGCGCGGGGAAGATATACCCTGCATTGCGCGCAATCAGGCCGGTCACAGGGCCGTAGTAGAAGTTCGGATTGCTTTGGACGGTCTCGTCGAAACGTAACTTTGCGCGCTTCGCCATGAGGTCCATGTCGAACGTCCCATCAGTGGACATGTTGTACCATGACATGAACTTGTCCATGTTCAGTTTATGGTTATTGCCCGTGACGTAAATGTCGTCGCGAGTGTTGGAGGAGTCCGACTCGATGAAGTTGTGAGAGCCGATGAGGCCCTGGGGATCGCCTGCAGTCATCCGAGTAAGGGGGATGCCATGAAAGGCCAGGGTACTTTAGAGGGTTCACGCACCCAGTAGTCCTCCTAGGTTTCCCAGCAAGTTGTTGACACCAATGTCGCGGCCTCCGATGGAGAAGCTTGGGTCTAGAGACAGCGGGTTCCCAGTCCAAACTGTGCCCATGAGAGCAAGGACAGTGGCAAGGTCAACGCCCATACCATACACTAAAAGCGTTAGCGGCTGATCTCATCCTGGATTGTGTGCTCTATGTCATACCTTCGTTAATGGCCGTTATCGCACCCCCGAACTGTCTCTTGTTAGCATGACGACTGGCGCGACTGAGCTACAATTTTCCCACCGAAACCACGCCGTTACGTGGGATATAGCCATGGTTTGCCAGCGCATTCAGGCCCGGGCAAGGACCTCTTTGGTCGCCAGTTTCGAAATCCGGAGGTTGAAATGCGTGCTCTCCAGTAACTAAGTAGTGCGATGTTAGTGAACCAGCTGTGGAGTAAGATTTCGAGGCCTACCATCAACGGGAGACTTCAGTAACTCCGCAAGAAGTCCGTTCTCCTCTCCTGACACGCCTTGTTGATGGCCATTGGCATATGGGCATCTCTTGTGCATAGCCGCATGCTTCGAATGGCTATGGTCTGTGAATCCTGCAACAAGAGGGGCAGCAGCCAGGGGCCAGATCCACAGTGGTGTAGTAGAAATACGCATGATGAATGAGTGACTTTGGTCGAGCAAATAGAAAAGAGAGAGAGGGAGAGAGAGAGAGAGAAAGATAGAAAGCTTTATATGCGAACCATAACTAGGAAAGTAAGAGTGGTATTAACCTCTACAAGCACCGAGGTAAATATGACTGGGAATAGAAACCGAGGGTCTGGGACTATTATTTAGAACTATGCTCTTTATACTCCACAAAATCTCCCCTTGCCCGCCGGAAATGGCTAGTTAACGTAATCAACGGTCGAGCGGGCCACACGGTCAAGCGGGCCAACCTTCTATCCCACATGAAAGATACCATTTGAATTCCGTTATATCTCAGCCAGTACAATCCTTAAGGTCTAACTATCTATATATATATAGGTATATATCAGATATATAAATATACTCCATAAGTTTCCCAGGTTTCTGCAAATGTTATTTTTTCCGTTTATATAATCAACAAAATCCTAATCGATACACATAAGATAGAGGTATTACATATCATTAACTATCATGTAGCTATGTGAGTTTTATACAGAATATTTATATTCTTTATATCATCTGAAATCCAGATACCAAGAATCAAGTCTTCTGGAGTTTTTATAGTTGAGATGCCTTGAATTTGATAAGGTATCTTTAATGTAGAATAGGGTGGTCCAGCTCACTGTGTGGCCTGCAGCGTGTTTGACTATTGATTATGTGCTGATTAATTGCTTCACAATGAGAGGATCGTCGGTCGATGGGCATCAGGGGCGTAAAGAGACCCAGCAGTCAATCGTCCTTAGTTCTTGCTATATTCCGAGAACTCGCAACTCGACCGTAAGTGAGAGCGCCAGATAGCTAATACTAGGGCCCGACCGCCAATGGTTTACGGGCTGGTGAATTACATGCCCCTTTTCGAGGTAGAACAATACCTGGATAGTGGTTGGGTTCTCTGGGAATCGTCTCCATTGGCGAACCCCCTGTCAAGACGGTAGTTGTCCACACCGGCATACTGTCAGGGGCAGTCCAGTGCCTGCTATCGCCAAGGTTTAACATCCTTAGTGCTGTGTAGCGCGCCTAGATGAAGTCGGAAATTTCAGGTTCTGCCGTTAGGCCTTGGCGTATCCACCGCACTGTGGATTTGTGTCCACTAGGCTGTCTCACCAACCCGAAGATGTCAAACCTTAAGCCTATCTGTACGACTGCCGGATTGCCAATGGGCTTAAAATGATAGATCACTTTCTCAATTTGGAAAGAAGCTGGCTCCGCTAACACACGGAGATATTATTCGAGACTAGGCCCGTTCACGTTGGGCTCATCATGCTCTAGTGGCGCTAGATGCTCTAATAGCCTCGAGGACGGAATTTCACCGAGCTACTCTGTCAGAATCAGGCAAAAAACGCTACGAAGAACTTATTCAGGGTCATATGCCGTCCGGGACCGGCTCCACCTCGACACTGGCACGAGTCACACCATGTGGCCTTTTTTTGAAATTGGCATGCTACGGCAGGGGGCAATTAAGAGCCTCCCGAAAAAAGAAGGTTTGAATATTCCTCAGTCCATCACACACGGCGTGGGGCACTTGGGGACAGCTGCAAGCCAATAAACAATATGGACTTCAATTATCCAGCTTGGGTATAAAGTACAGTGGATGGTAAGCTCATGCCTCAACGAAACTACCTACCCTTTGGGGATATGGCACGTACAGAAAGAGGAGCTGTTATCCTATGAAAATGGCCAAGGTGAACCTGATAATAACCCAAGAAAGGCATGGAATATCATTAAGATTTTATAGCCACATTTATAATAGCGCTAAAGCGGGATTAAGACACTCGAATTTTCAGCGCAGATAGGCCGGATGGGGCGAGGAAAAGGTCTTGAAAAGTTGTAAGACGTGAACGAACTGAGATGTAAATGAATATGTTGGCCACACTCGTGGCAGTCTATTATAGCGCTTAGTGCCCCACACGGAACTTAAACCGGATTACGTAGTCATAATGATGATAATTTACCTTGAGGATTAGAACGCCACTGGTCGAAATGCCGATTGCGGAGAGGACTCCCCCAACGTCTACCGGCACTGGGCCCTCTCGGGATATAAACTAGAGGCGTGGCGCCAACAGTAATTAGCGGGTCATTTGGTCTCAAGGTATTATTTCTAGGATCTGTTAGGGCTTGCGATGAACGGGAACCGGAAAGCTACCGCTGCAAAATGCACATCCTAATAGACACTCAGCCCAGTGATTCGAAAACGATGTCAGCGAGAGCCAGTGTAGTTCTTTTCCTAGTTCTGGACTTTCCAGATGTCGACTCACAACAACTGCTTTCAGAGAGGATTTGCAGACCAAATAGGAGATTTTCAGTATTGAGCAACCAATGTAAAAGGTGCGCCTGAACCTTCGATGCCGATTACGGGCGGATGATGGACTCTGCGAAGATTGGATCTTGATAATCTTAATCATTTTCAATTCTGCCTGCCACACACCAACAACTGCTGTGCTTCTTGCTCCTCACTACAGGCCCATCAAGATGCGTGTGTTGGGCGCAGTAGCGCTGGGCGTCGCCCTGCTATCAACGACTATAGCGGCTGCTAGTGTGAAAGAGCTGGGGGCATTGTTGCCCACATGTGCGGTAGGCGATATGATCACTACCCCGGGGTTGCGATACTGACCTTTTGTAGGTGAAATGCATGGCTGTCACTATACCGAAGACGTCCTGTACCCTCGCAGACCAGACATGCCAGTGTACGGATGAAACCTTCACCGCTCTTTTGCAGGAATGTGTGGTGTCTAGCTGTACCACCAAAGAGTCGTTGAGTATGTTGCAAGTACTTTCTTCTCCAAGGAGAGTCACTGATTCGATAGCTACGAAAAATGTCACATCCACTGCGTGCGGAGCTCCGGTACGAGATAGAACCAAGGCTGTTTCATATGCAGGAGTCATCGGTCTCGTCATAGCATGTATCGCATTTATTCTCCGGATAGTCGCGAGGTTTAAGTGCCTCGGTGGTACGTTCGGGATGGACGATTTGACGATGGGACTGACCATGGTACATACCCAGGACTCTCATAACTAATATTCTAATATACTGACAAATTACAGTGTCTGGTGATACCTCTTTCAGCACTATCAGTTGTTTGTATGAATCTCCGTGGGTTATAATATATATGTTGCATATGCCCTGACTACGTCATACAGTGGCCGACACGGGCTTAGGCAAAGACATGTGGACTCTTCCGTTTGAAAATGTTACCCGGATTCTATACGTTAGTTTCCCATGTTACCCCAGTGTCTGTGGTAAAGCTGACATTCTTGAACACTACAAGATTTACTTCTGGGATGAGTTGTTGTATCTCAGTATCCTGCCAATGACCAAGATCTCGATATGTTGTTTCTACCTTCGTATCTTCCCCGCCAGAAACTTCCGAAGTTTGACTTATATTGTCATCGGTCTCAACATTGCATATTTACTTGCCTTTGTCTTGGTTTCAATTTTCCAGTGTCGACCAATCCAAGGAGCATGGCTTCACTGGGACGGAGAGGGTAATTACAAGTGCAACCATATTAACGCGCAGGGGTGGGCATCGGCAATCATCAACATGCTCCTTGACCTCATTGTCATGATTCTCCCGCTGAAACAGCTTTACGAGCTCCAGCTTTCCATCAAGAAGAAGGCTTTTGTCATGTGCATGTTTAGCTTGGGTATCTTGTACGTGTTCTTGGAACCCACTCAACGGCTGATATCGCTAACTAGGAATCTTGAACAGTGTCACTGTCGTGAGTATTCTGCGCCTGGATTCGCTTATCAACTTTGCTTCCACCGACAATGTGACGTGTAAGTGCTGGTTGAATTATCCATCGTTGAAATTTGACTCACAATTCACTTATCAGGGGACTACGTCACAGTTGGATACTGGAGTACGATTGAATGCCATGTGGGCGTCATCTGTGCCTGTTTACCCGCCATTCGATCCTTGCTGCGCACAACGGCACCGAAGCTGTTTGGCGATACCAGCCTCAATAAATCCTCCGGAATGAACTCGACATCTCGGGGGACAGGATCTCGACTGGAGGGGGCGTTCCATGTCAGGAGCAAGCATGATGACCAAGATTTTCTACCGCTTGTAGACATGGACCACTCCAGTCAGATTGAGCTGCACCCGAAGGGGTAGATGAGAAAAAAGAGATTATTCATTGTTAAGGGGAAGGGGCACAACTGTCTATTTTCTTATTTTGTATTACTTGTATTTTTAATTTCTCTAAATAGCGACCGACGAGTTCTATCTATGAACTCTTGCAATCTTTATCCAGTTTCATTTGTTCAGAATTCATATTTCCCAAATGGAGTCAACAGAATCTTCATTTGAGTGAGTTATGTCGTGGTAATGCAAGGGTTTGAACTCCAGTCTACTATGCAAGGAGGGCTTGGAAGCTACTCTGGCGAATTCGACTGTGCTGGTACAGATGATGTGAGAAAGTTAGGCATTGGCATTGTGAAGAAAAGGGGTAAACCCAAATTTCGAATTTCTTTTTTTTATTTTATTTTATTTTTTTTTTCCGGGGTGAATTTAGATTAGAAAGAGCTTGCCCATACTTAGGTGTCAGAAGAAGAAAAGCCATCCCACTGGCTTGGATCATACGCCTCTGTCTCCAGACATACATACCCACACGGCAGGTAGAGAGTGCAAAACGTGCTTACGTTTTATTTTCTCCGCTCAAACCGCTAAGCTTTCCCATTTAGACTTGAAGACTAGTTAGAGGACGGGCCCGAATGAGCTCAGTTCATATTAGTTTTCAATTAGGTACTTGACAGCTGCATCCAGTTCTAATAGCTATATATTAAGTGCCGCATCGTAGAATGGCATCAACCGGCTAGTGTGTAACTGGCCTCTTTTGGAGCCATCGCCTTTGCTGATCAGGACTGGTAGGAAACATACAGACAAACCGTTATTATTTCTCCTCTAGGACGAGTTTTGACTCACCATTATTATTCTACCATCATTGGTCAAGGGTACTAACCTTGATTGAGCAATAAACGGCCCACTGAAGCCACTCCCGATTTGGAAAATGGAGATCTTTCGGAAAAGCACGTAGACAAGAATGTACTGCTGGCTGCGTGGGATGCTCCACATCGTGCCCAGCCGGTCCTTAACCGTGTCTCTGATCCCTTACGGGATTGATACACTTACCGCCATCCCCTGTAGGTTCGGTCGCAGTTCGGTCTCGATTGCACAGATTTTGATCTCCAATCCTTCCTCAATCCGCATTGTTTGCAGGATACGTCTCCGTCCGAGTAACATTCGAGTCAATGGACATGGGAATAGGGGTACAGAGTGTAATTTAACCATTTGTGACAAGATTTCATGTAACGATCTCTGGATTCATAAGGCATATAACATGCGATTCTAAATACAGCTTTACTAATTAGGCTATATTTTAGTCTACTTTAGCTCATGAACATTTGATATTAGAATCAGTGTTATCACGTGGCTATATAAAATCTAACGCTTTTTTTCGAATCAAATTATGCTTCTACTCTAATGGATAGAAATTTCCACATCCCATGAAGGGATATGCTCGTTCAATGTTCTCATCCCGAGAGCGGGTCATAATAGGATGTCTTATATCCCAGAAAGGAATCCACGGACTGACAACTTTGTGGCTCGCAATGATTTCCGTGTGGACCCCAAAGCGAAAATTAGTTTAGGGGACCCACTAGTAGGTGGATTCTCTGTCGGTATACGAGGCGCTGTATCCGCATAATGGGGTTCCCATGTCTTGGCTCCATTAGTGGTCTTGGACACACTTGGCCAGACAGATCGGCAGGGTCGGACTTCCTATTACTGTCTCTTCTCTGGGGAGACATGACTGATGGACCATTTGAGTTCCCCTAAATGTGGGCAAGGGCTTTTGGTCAATCATATGTGAAGTAACGACAGGCTCTCTGGCGAGCATCTTTGTCGATCACCGTTTTTCCATTCCCGGTCTGGGTTAACCCGGAAACATTCATAGGAATGCTCCTGGGGGCTGTTGAGAGGACCTTTATTAGAAGGGCACATAGTGGTACCTTCTCGTCTATATAGATGATGGGTTGTCTTGTTTAATACTCTTCTGTCCAGGTGAAAGTCGCTCTTTCTATGGTTCGCCTGTCTGCCTTGCGTGTTGTCTTTCAGTAATCATGCATCTCTATACGGTTCTTGGGTCACTGTCCGCTCTTTCTTTGGCTCTCGCATCGTATGTACAATGACCAATGATCTTCTGACCTTCGTCTTGTTATTACACAAGAGGCGACTAATCTAGGATGTAGCAGTCACGGTGCCGAACATGGACATAGTCATCTCCATAAACGCTCAGATGCGACTGAATATGACTATGTCGTAGTTGGATCTGGTGCTGGGGGTGGCCCCGTGGCAGCGCGGCTGGCTATTGCCGGACACAAGGTTCTTCTCCTGGACGCAGGAGATGACCAAGGCAATGCCACCGTGCAGCAGGTGCCCGCCCTCCAACTCCAATCCACCGAGTACGAGCCGATGAGATGGGATTATTTCGTCCGCCATTATTCGGACCTCTCCCGGCAGAAAGAGGACTCCAAGATGACCTACCGCACTCCTGCTGGAGACCTCCATGTTGGCCCCAATCCGCCGGGTGGCTCTGAACCCCTGGGTATCTTATACCCTCGAGCTGGCACCCTGGGAGGTTGCACCTCTCATAACGCCATGATGTGAGTTTTACCTCTGCCGTCCGCTTCAGCTAACCTGTTCGCTAATTAGTTCCTCAACAGCACTATTTATCCGTACGAACATGACTGGAATCATCTCGCCAGCATCACCGGTAATGACTCCTGGTCAGCCGATAACATGAGACAATATTTCGAGCGGCTGGAGAAGAATCGATATCTGCCCAGCAGCGTGACCGGCCATGGAATGGATGGCTGGCTCATGACGAGCTTGACAGACTTGAGACTGGTCATCGAGGATCAAAAGCTCCTCTCCTTGATCCTCGCGGCCGCGACAGCCGCGGGCAAATCCCTCCTGGAAAAGGTCATCACCACCGTCACCGGCCTGGGCGAGGTGCTCCTGCGTGATCTCAACAACCCTTCCCCGACCCGTGATTACGAGACTGGTCCATACCAGGTGCCTCTTGCTGTAGAACTTCCGGAACACAGACGAACGGGTCCTCGCGATTTCATTTTGGACACGGTCAACGCAGTGAACTCGGATGGATCGCGCAAGTACCACCTCGACGTCCAGTTGAACACGCTGGTGTCCAAGGTTCAGTTTGATACCTCCGCACCCGAGCCAAAGGCCACCGGAGTTGAGTATCTCACCGGTCAAAGCCTCTACCGTGCGGACCCTCGGGCCTCCCGCACGTCTTCCCTAGGCACACCAGGCAGCGTGAAGGCTTCCCGGGAAGTGATTCTGGCTGCTGGCTCATTCAACACCCCCCAGCTCCTGAAGCTCAGCGGAATTGGTCCCCAGGAAGAGCTCTCAAAGCATGGTATTAAAACACTGGTGAACCTGCCGGGTGTTGGCTCCAATCTGCAGGACCGTTACGAGACGGGCGTCATCGGCCAGTCGCCCACCGACTTCGTTCTCACGGAGAAGTGCACCTTCCTATACAGTAGCCCCGACCCTTGCCTGGAGCAATGGAAGAATGGTACCCTGTTCAAGGGCACTTACACGACTAATGGTATTGCTATTGCTGTCATCCGCAAGTCGTCCACCGCCGACGACACACCAGACCTCCTTGTCTCTGGCGCGCCTGTCAAATTCCCCGGCTATTACCCCAACTACTCGTACGAGGGCCTGAAAGAGTCCAACCACTGGACCTGGATCACCCTGAAGGCGCAGAGCCGTAACAACGCTGGGACTGTTGAGCTGCGCTCGACGAACCCTCGCGATACCCCAGTCATCACCTTCAACTACTTCGACACCGGAAATACAACGGACGGTGCTGACGAGAAGGACCTTCAGGCTGTCCACGACGCCATGGAATTCTCGCGCACGATTTTCCGCGATTTGGTGCCGCTGGATGGCGGGTTTACGGAAATCTGGCCGGGCTCTAATGTCACGGCTGGTTCTAAGCTCAAGGACTTTATCAAGCGGGAAGCCTGGGGCCACCATGCTTGCTGCACAGCGCCCATCGGCGACGACTCTGACCCCAAGGCGGTTCTTGACTCGGACTTCCGGGTCCGTGGTGTGAAGGGGCTGAGAGTCGTGGATGCGTCAGTCTTCCCTAAGATTCCGGGATACTATATTGCTCTACCTATTTACATTATCAGTGAGAAGGCCGCAGACGTGATAATTGCTGATGCTGCATAAGCACACGTCTGCTGGAACTGAGACTCCACCTTCTAATTTAGGTGATGTGGCACGTCGGGAAATTCACTGGTTGCTTTCACTTTGGGGCCCATGAGTGGCTCTATTTCTCTTCGTTGCCAATCTTGAGACTCTGTACATACCTTGTAAAATAGAAATGATTTGATTACTATTTATTCATTTGGCAAATTCCTAGACACGTTGAGTGAGAAATCGTCAAGTAAGGACCTGGTGTCTTGATAAACATCTAGTGAATCATGAGAACGAAAATATGTGCAAGTGGAGCTTCAAACAACGGCCCCTGTTTGGGGAAATCAGCTGGCAAGCTTCTCACACACTCAAACATCGCTCTTATGTAATGTATCGATGATTCTATCATGAATTTGACAATTGAGGAAATGACTGAAACACTGGTACTTTGAAGTCTTTCTGGCCCCATTTCTCTGTGACCTCTCTTCTGGATTTCCGAGCCTGAATAATCGGCTTGCGTGACTCCAGCTTACCACGGCCAAACAAGTTCCGAAATCGGTTTTCCAGGAGGTTTCCTTCGGGCTTGGGTAGTCGGAAGACGCAACGAGTCTTACAGCTCATCAGGTAGTACCACTTTTAGATGGATACTGGAGCCCCTAATCCACTGGCGTTATATTCTTTATAACAATTTCAATGATAAGATATTATTCAAAACAGATCTACACTCTTCTCAACTTATTAATAATATATATATATATGTAGCTATATATAAAGATCTTAGCTATATAATGATATAAATCATACTATGACCTCTTTTTTATCAAGTTATCATAATCATAGACCAGGTCACCAGGGGTTCCAGCAGCGCGTCTTAAGTTCATCTGTGACAGGATTTGTGTCTGAGTTTCTGGTGCAGTATGCTGCTCTCACAGCCATTCCCAGAACAGTCCACACAAGGCGTAGATTATGAAAGACGTAATAACAAGAGAGAAGCATAGGAACCTGGACGGCTTCAATGGAGCAATCTGTCAAAAGACCCAGCAAATAGACTTGTATCTTTGAAATCAAGCCGTCAAGTAGTAGTTGAGGGTCAATATTATGCACGCACCTCGGTCTCGGCGGTGCCATTGGTGGTTTGGGATGATTCTCTGGGCACAATTTCGAAATTCTGGCCCCACAAACAACAATATGAACCACTGCATCCGCTAGAAGTAGGCATCTATGAGCGTAATTTGATCCTCTGAAGGCGCCACATAAGGTCGCCAAGGGGATTAGAAGCAACCACATCTCCCGGAAGAGTGGCGTCCGTTAGAACGCGTCCAATTTCTTCCTCATTACAAATACGCTGAGCAAGATCGATGGAAAAGGTAGTTTCGCCCAGTTGTGTTCCTTCCGGGTAGATTACATTTAAGCGTGGCAGGGTAGAGCCATGTGAGATGTTGCACGCTTGTGCTGTCCCAGAGTTTTGAATCTCAATGCTAGAGACGCGCTGTGTGCGTAGTCCTGCCGACAGCGATAAACTTGCCGATCGGTGGTCTCCCATTTGCGACCAGCATGGCGGCAGCAGACACACGGCCAGGGCACTATCGTTCTGTAATCCCATCAATTAGTGAGACAATAAACAAAGCAGAAAGTAAGCAAGCCTTCAGTTTCTGTTCGTGGCACCGATCGCACGCCTTGAAAGTGTGTTGTCGCAAATGGCACGGCTGGGATTGTTCTGATTCGTGCATGGCCATCTGAGAAGATGTATGAACGCACGAGAAAACATGTTGGGGTCTGATGCACTCAAAACAAAGGAATTTATTGGAATTTATGTGGCATCGCGGAAGGTTGTAGCAGATACCCTTCGGGGCTTGAATTGTACCAGAAATACAATTATACTTCTCTGGACAACCACGACACCGGGGCGTATGGTACGCGTAGAGCTCGAATCTAAATCAATTCAATAGAGCCGCCGATTACAACGCGGTAATCGATCCTGTGAGTCCGATAATCTGCTGTTCCGTACCCGGGGGCAAATTCGACGACTAGATAACCTATCGTGCCGTTTTCGACGACCAAGGGCGCAGTACAAAGGGGAGCCGTTATTACCGTAGCGGCTGCAGGGATAGCGTGGAAGGCCCATCCGTGAATGAATAATTCATTTAATGTGTGTGTGGCTATTTTGGATACATCACGGTTTGATATGGACCCGATAGGATCCACACGTTTATTAAGATTCGGTTTCAATAAAACCAGATAGAACGCGTGCTAGTACTACTTAGGATAGGCAGACCCAAGTGGAGCACCGCCACATCAGACCCTACCATGCGTTAAGATGCAGCCGTGAGAGTGCTCAAGATATAGGTCTAGCATTAGTTATCATAAGACTCAATCGTCCTTACCTGCACAATTTCATAGAGTGTTCGAGGGCTTACATAGCAATATCCACTGAAATTGCATAGTGACTTGTTGTTAGAAAACAATGCGTCGGGATAACAACACTATCCGTAGCCTACCCGGTGCGACAGAGTTTTGTTGAGAAACGTGAAAGTACATCGTGTAACTGCAGATTTACCATAGTAAAAATGAACGGATGTCGGGCAAAAGGCTATTCCAATCCCAAAGCTTTTGTTTCGATGAATCTTAAGAAGGTTTATGATGACTATTACGTCAAAGTAAGGTATCAAAAGCCAAATATTCTGCAAAGGGGGGCATAATTTCGTCATATACTGTGTTGAGCAGTTTCAAAAGTCACCCTACTCAGTGTCAATGAACAAGTATCACTCAGTAGCCTTTCCAGAAGCCTGCTTGGCAAGAAAGATAAGTCTTTTGATCAGACAGACTGTGAAATAAAAGGGAGGATACTGTCCCCTCGTGCTTGCTGACTCCTTATGATCTAATTCAGCGAACATGTCCACTAAGCTCTGCAGGAGCTGTATATCGTTCTCATATGAAGACGCGGTAGGATAACTGATGATACACTTGAAAAGGGAGAAGACACCTGTCAGCAAGAACTGGGCATAGATCCTGAGGAAACAACATTAGCGACTTTCAACGAACACAAGGATTGAGAGGTACCAGAAAGTATGCCAGTTCAGAAACTCACGAACATGACGTATGTATATTAGAATAGACCGAGATTCCTGATGGAACAGCTCGGCACTAGATGGAAGAATGGACCAGCTGGAACTATTGCTATTACTCTTCAACGACGGACTGGCGTCGTGGATCTTGCCTAGTAAAAAGTAAAACTCCAGGTGCAGGCACACCCCACGCATACTCAGGTCATGGAAAGTGTAGTTGGGAGCGGACGGTGTTGCAAATAGGTCCGGCCAGCAACTAGCGGGGAATGTGCATTTCAGGTCGTTAAGCTCCTGATCTAATTCCCGGATATACTGAAGGCGACGGGCCTCAGGCAGGGCTCGAGCGTGGCGGGAGTAGAGAAGGTGGTACACTTTTGATTTGAGCAGTGAAAGTCGGACGTCAGAAGGAAAGAGTAGCTCATTGTTGGAAAGAGGCCTCGAGAAGAATTGATTGTCCGATGATGACAAGACATAATTGTCTGGTATTTGGAGGTCGCAGTCCTCGTCAGTGAAATGCGGTGATTGATTATACCGTGTGATCATGTTCTTATCAGCCCCGTAACAGAACCAGAACAGGGCCCGGAGATGCCTGCCTTCTGGCTGGCTGATTACAGACATTCGATGCGCACCAAGAGTGAGAATCATTCGAGTAGCTAGAGACAGTAGCAGTTGCCCGGGTTCAATTTTCCCACTGGGCATGACATAGGTCATCTGTGAAGTCAGCCACAATTCTTCGGGTCAAGGTGTAAGTGGCCATACGATCAGCACAACAGCTTCCAAGCTTCTAACAGTGGGCGTTTCCATCAACAGCCTAGGGAGGAGGCCCAGCGCCGCCTGTATGTAGGCATCTGGTTCAGCATTGACGAATTCCGGGCCGAGTCGATGCATCACACTCATCGTTGCAGTGAATGCAGACAAGCAGGCCAAGTTTGAAGCAGAGACAGTGTCATCTTGATGATCTAGTACACCCGCTTCAATCAATTGACTCAGCGCATCGGCGTTCGCAACCGGAAAGATGGAGTACAATCCGCTTCGGGAGTAATAATTGATTGAGTATTGTACCAAAGGCTTGGGGGGCCACGTTGGCGACAGCGAGCGATTCAAGCCCAACCTGCTCTGAGGCCCCCGGAATCCGAGCGATCGTGCAGCAGAAGCTAGGAAATGATCGAGATCAAGCTGAGCCCCCGTTTTCTGGTAGACTGTGGAGAAAAAGGACGCTCTTTTGGTGGAGCCAGGTTCTCCCACTCCACAATGGGCGATCTCTGCTTGAAACGTTGCAAGCGACGCGTCTATGCTGTGTGTGTTTGGAAGATAGTCCACAGCGAACAAAGGGAGCCGTGTAGTTGCCGATCGTTCGTTGGAAGTACCATGCTCTCTCTGGCCTGAATCAGGCGAGAGTTCCCGCACAGTCAGCTGGGTTTCTAGTTCTCTTATGCGTGCTCTGGCATCGAGGAGTTGACTAGTATTTCTGTCAGCGCACAAGTATGGGGCATGCACTGGTACTTACTCTCGGAGGCTTTTCCGCAGCAGGCTAGGGTGCTCTGTATAGGTGCATTGCACACCCCCAAAAGAGCATGTCTCACAGGCTGGTTGGGCGTTGTCACAGCGAATCTAGTATAGTTAGTTCTTTAGCATTAACAATTCATTTCCGTAGAACCTCATTTGCAGGAAGTAGAGGACACATTCATTTGGATGGGTTTACGTACCTTTTTGCGACGGCACAGGTCACACGCACTGCGAGCTCGGCCACCAGGGCGCTGGGCTGAAGGTTCACCATCCATGCTAGTGGGAGAAGATTTGGAGCGGGCCAGAACGCGAATAGACACACTGCAATACTCCTAACTCTGACGGTTCCTGGGGAAAAACTGCTCTGTCATCAGCTTCTCGATTCCACCTTGGCTGACACACGCAACAAGTCTTAGTCAGCGGCAACGATGGTGCCGGCGTTGGCCAGGGCTAGAAATGATGGTTGTTCCCGATAAGATGCAAGATGGAAGGAAAAAGTGTCGATCCTGGGGAAAAGGAGCCGAGACGCGGAAGCTGCCAAGAGCCAAGTGAACCCCGACTCCACTCAGTTCCAAGATGCTCCTTCAATCACATTTCTGCTTTTCATCAGCTACCTCTTCTTGATACTAGTGATAGATACATTGCAATCGATGTGCACCGCCTGTCCTCCTACCCCACCGACTTTGATACTCTTGAAGAGGCTTCTATACATCACCAGAGGTCAGCCAAGACGGTATACAATGACGATGACGCGTTTGCAGGCCTTGGAACGGTTTCCAGTGCCGCAGTGACAATATCGAGCAGAGAAAATTGCGTGGATATCGGAACTGCGTTCGGATGAGAGACATCCCGGGTCTGAGAGGTCCAACATATATAAAGCATGGCTTTGGTCACTCTCAAATACCGTCTCCAGTACACAGTGCATCTCATACTGAATCAGTTGTTTAACAAATCGTCTCTTCTTCTTCACTCCAAATATGCAAATCCTTCAGCTCAAGCAGGCAATCGTGCTCTCGCTGGCCGGCCTCGCTATTGCGCATCCTGGAGTTCATGAACCTAGTTCTTTTACCGAGGTTTCCAAGCGAGCTTTCCTCAACAACGCCCACCGAAGTCTGAGTCAGTGTGCTGGACAACTCAAGAGAAATGGCGTGCTTGAACGAGCTGCTTCTCGCCGCGCAGCCCTGTTTGAGACGTATAAGAAGCGCTCCTTGGGTCTCCGCGATACGGAGCAGGTGGTAAATACCTCCCACCATTCCTCCCTTCAGGTGACACCCAACACCCCGGAGTCAGAGCTTTTCTCGAAGGACCCTGTCTGCGTCCTAGCTCCGGAGGGTGAGGTCGGACCGTTCTGGGTGAAAGGCGAGCTTATCCGCCATGATGTCTCCGACGGTGAACCAGGTGTTCCCCTCTTCATGGACGGCCAATTTATCGACATCAACACCTGCCAACCCATCCAGGACCTCTACTGGGACGTTTGGAACTGCAATGCAACCGGAGTTTACTCCGGAGTCCAGAGCAGCATGAACGGCAACGGCAATGACTCTTCCAACCTTGACAAGACCTTTCTCCGTGGCATTCAAAAGACCGATTCGGATGGTGTTGCGGGCTTTAAGACAGTTTTCCCTGGACATTACTCGGGTCGCGCAACTCACGTCCATGTCATCGCGCACGTGGGCGCTCAGGTCCTCACAAACAATACGCTGACTGGAGGCCATATCCCTCACATCGGCCAGCTCTTCTTCGACCAAGACTTGATCTCACAGGTCGAGGCTACCTACCCTTACAACACCAACACCGTTTCCATCACTGAGAATGCCGATGATCATGTGGTTCAGGTTGAGACGGAGGACAGCAACTCTGACCCCTTCTTCGAGTATGCTTTGCTAGGTGACTCGATCGCGGATGGTGTTTTTGGTTGGATCACACTTGGAGTTAATGTGACTGCAAGCCATGACACCAGTGCTACTTGGGCTGCCACCCTTACTTCCTCCGGCGGAGTTACCAACGACGATTCTTCGAGTGGGGCTGAGATGTAAGGCCAACTGTGGTTTTGGGCTGTTGAGCCGGAGCTTCTATTATGATCTCTGAGCCCCTCGCCCCGTGATAGGCTCTAGATGTCGGAGCAGAAGCTCTGTTTTCCAATAGGAATAAACTGTACCAATGCTATAAACTATAAAACCCATCTGAAGAGCCTCAATCGCTAGCATAGACCGAAATCCGGAAATTGGCACCCCTGTGATGTAGACTCGCCTCGGTGCCATTTAAAACTAAGTATATATACATCACATATTATAATCTGAACTGCTAGGTTATGTTTAAAGTGATAGATCTATTTGTCCGGATGGAGGGCGCGTGATACTTTTCTCGACGTCCCTGGGTGCATTTAGCATGGTCACTCCTAATTATCTGTTGTACACAGCCAGCAAAGGAGCCATTGAGCAGATGACGCGTGTATTGGCGAAGGACCTCGGACAGCGCAAGATTACAGTGAACACGATTGCGCCCAGGCCGGTTGGGACGGATGCATACTTCGTCGGCAAGACGGAGCAGTTGGTCCAGATGCAGAGTAAAATTGCGCCTGCTGGGCGGCTGGGCAAGCCGGAGAAATTGCGAATATTGTTGCCTTTATTGCGAGAGATGAGAGTTTGTGGGTTAACGGGCAGACGGTGAGGATCAATGGGGGGATGACGGTGGGATAGGTTGTCAGTCAGTGTTTGGTTCCGTTATTTGATTAGAAGCTATAAGGAGTTACATAACTACGGTATATACTACTAAAACATCATGTCTCCTTATCATGTATATTAGACCAAGTTGTGGTACTCTTAGATACTGCAAGAAGTAGTTTTTATTTGAAAGAGAAAATATCGATGAAATAATCGAGCCTGGGTGCATGTGCCGAGACCCTGAAGCCATATTACCAGAGCCTTATCATATTCCACTGGCTGATTTAGCTATTAAACCATTTATAAATTCTCTCCAGCAGTCAAATCCTTATGTAATTATTAATCTATTCTTTTAATATATTGAATATCGGCCCTGCTATTTTATCTTTTACTTCCCTTGAAGCTGCGACCGGCACAATTGAGGCCCTGCGAGGACGTTCTAGGGCATGTCCTTAGTGCCATCCGGATCCCAAGAGAATTCCTCCTTCACATTCGCATAGGCCTTGCCGTGCTTAGGCCATAGCGCAGGTGGAATTTCAAATCGTTGGCATCCACCTCGTGCTTATTGGGCCTGCAATCGACAATTTACGAAAGGGGGATGAATGAGAAGTTATGAAATGGGTATGGTATCCTCGAATGACCTATCATCCAAAGCTTTGATGTATACTAAGCAAATTACCAAGTCCACGCGGTGGTGGATTCATTCCGGGTTCTCTGCAGCAGCTTCCTTCTCATATATCCACCACCCCGAAGCCGGCTGGATCATGTCGTGCCGGGCATCTGTATCTCCAACAGCAGCCATCGTCTGTCTACCACAGCTTGCATGAATGCCTACTACTCCGGCGACTAGTTCCGTTTCATATTCCGTGCCATTGTCATTAACCTTCATAGGGACTGAGGCGAACGCGCCGGGGATGTCCGTGAAGTCGACACGATGAAATTGGACACCATCCAATTCACATCCCGGCGTTCCCTTGTCCATGGGCTGACCTTTTTCATTCCAGTAGCAGAACGCGGTAATCCATCCCGAGAGGTAGGAGGGGCCGCTTCCGCCAGAGATTCGATCTGCGCATAAGCCCCAGAATTCCCGAACCGAGTCTGAAGTGGGCTTGTCAAAGGAGATAATGAATCTGTGCAGGACAGGTCGGAGAAGGCGAGCAAATTGAGCGGGCTCCGCACCCAAGTCGGGGAGCTTGTCCAGTTTGCTTAGCAGCTGTACCCAGTCTTCCCGCTCTCCCTCCAACGTCACACTGGGGATCCCACACATGAGATAGGCCGCATAGGAGAAGTATTGCTGCATGGCACCCATCATCAGGACAGCTGCTACAATCTGGTCACTGACGGTGGTGGTGCTGAATGCCGGCATGAGCCACGTCCGTAGTTCGGGATCCACGACCTTTTTCTGAATTTCTTCTGTCATCTGAACTGCCAATGCACCCAAGTCGACTGAATGAATTGTCCCGACTGCCCTGACAGAAAGTTCCTCCTTGCCTTCATGGGCCACGAAATGCGACCGCAAATCTTCGGCATGTTCGTTGATGTAGAAGCTCAGTTGGGAGAGGATGGCGAACCACACGTCCTCGGGTCGCAGGGTCAGATGGTGGTGGTGGCTATATGCCCGGTACACGGCATGGACAAGTCCATTTGAAGAGGAGCTGATGTGGTTTTCTGCGAGTTGTTGCGGGGTGAAAGAGCTCTGGAACAACTGTTTGCAGCGACGGGCATTTTCTGGACAGGACTCCTCCAAGAGAGATTCCGCCGTGTCTGCCTTGGCTCCACCCCACGCCTCTGGTTTGGAGCTGGAAGTAGTCAAAGTAACCGGCATCTTGACTTGTGGTGAGTATTCTGCTTGCTAGTTGGAGGGGAATATGAACACACTGCAGAAGAAAAAGGGACGATGATTCGGACGATCTGAATCTGCCTGGATTAGTGGGGCAAGTCCATCACTCGGGCGTGTGTGTCTCACTATGCTATCCAAAGACAGTATCGATCGGCGTCATCATTCGCACTTTCTAGCGTTAAGAGTAGACCATGCAGATGATTAACTACAGCTTTACCAACGATATGGGCTAGCGTCTGAAGAAACATTACTACTAGTAATACTACTAAGCCCTTATTTGGCCCAACGATTCGGGATACTTCAACGGATGCCTCGAGGCTGGTAGGGACATGGTGTGGTTAGCACTGCTAGCATTAATATATATATATCTTTTCGCAGTATCCACCCTGTGAAGGATGGCACAAAGAAAGGCTGTAGTAGGTCATATTTGACAGTATAATCTGTCAATACAAAATTTCACCACAAAAGTCACAAATCGGGCGAGAAGCTGGCTCCTGGAATCAACGTAGGCATGGAGTCTGCTAAACTCGCACATTGTAAACAGGCTTCATCGGACACGTTCCGACTAATTTATCGGTCGGGGCGCATGGACGGAACTTGGGCTCCTTCATGGCGGCCTCCGCACCCCCAGCGCGTTGCTCGACATCGCTAAAGGAGAAAGTCTTTTCTGGGAGCAGGTCATAGACGCCCTTGGCATACTCCGGTGCGACGCGGTACAACTGTGCCAGGTACTTGATCTGGATCAACGGATACTCTACGAGTCGAAGAAGCCGAGCAGTATTATCGTGCAGTTGCTTGCGAGCACGCTCATCCATCACTTGCTGATAGAGAGCCCGTGGCTGATCATATTCCGAAGCCTTCCCTTCGTGGTAGAAATGGGATTTGCGTCCGACATTGTTGTCCGCCAGCTGGTAAGGCGCCTCCGCAACGTCTGGTCGGAACTTGTTCACAAAGCTGTTTGGGACATACTGTGGGTTCATGCCGTGATTGGCGTCCACGCGCATTTGACCGTCGAAGTTAAGCGATGAATAGGACGACGCCATAAAAGGACAATTCACCGGGATCTGGTGGAGGTTGATGCCGATTCGGTGATACTGGGCATCGCGGTAGAAGAACATGCGAAATTGCAACAAAGGGTCAGGGCTGTCTTCAATGCCGGGGACCATGCTGCCCGGGGAGAACGCCGCCTGTTCAACATCGCGGTGGAAATTCTCGGGGTTCTTGTTGAGGACGAGTTTACCGAATTCATGAAGCTAGTCGAATAGATGAGTAACCCAGAAAGTCCAGAGGAGGCAGGGATGTTAAGACTTACCGGGAACTGCTTCTTCGGCCATACCTTGGTCACATCAAACGGATCAAAGCCCAGCTTGACAGGGTCTGCATCCTCGGGCTGCATGATCTGCACGTGTGCCGTGTAGGTAATCTCTTCGCCCTTCTCAATGGCCTGCCACAAATCGCGTTTGGACCAGTCGGGATCGGCCCCTCCGTGGTACTGAGCTTCATCGGCGGTGAATTGCCTCTGGCCATTGTCTGCCAAGAAATGATATTTGATATAGACGAATTTGCCCTCACCATTCACCCTATACGTGTTTAGTAGTGGCACGTCCAAATGCATGTCGGACGGCTTACCACTTGAATGTGTGACAGCCGTAGCCGTGGTTGTTTCTCCATCCTTTTGGTGTTCCATGGTTACTGAAAAACATCATGCCCGCATGATTTCTGTCTCTCGTCAGCCATATGGCACATAACCTTTCTCAGTGAGAGACCAGACATACCCCTCTGGTGTATTAGCCAACAGATCGAAGAGGGAGTTGTGGTCGAGGAGGAAGTTCTGGGGGTTGCGAGATTGCGACCGGATCACATCGGGGCCCTGAATAGGATCACGGCAGAAGAATACCGGCTGATCCGAGGGGGATTAGCGATGCGCCAGATGAACAGCGTGAACAGGAATGGCCAAATCACATACGAAATTCAGACCCACGATATCATAGTTCCCTTCTCCCGTGTAGAACTTGATGGCAAAGCCACGTGGGTTTCGGGCCAGATCGGGGAATTCCCGACCGAGAGTCACGGTAGAAAAGCGGACGAACACCGGAGTTTTGAGTCCGGATGACTTGAGAAAGTCAGCCTGTCCGGGTTAGCTTCATTCATTCTAGACCGAGTCATCTCATCAGAGGCCAGGGTAGATACACCTTTGTTAGATTGGAGACATCTCTGGTAGTTTCAAAATATCCGAAAGCTCCACTACCACCTGTGTGTGCATGGTTAGTTACCCGATCGACTCGCAGAGGAACCACCGACAAGGCAGTCCAGTACATACAGGGATGAACCATTCGCTCTAGATTCTTCGAGCGATTGAACTGCTGCTGCTTCTGCAGCAGAAAAGTGTCCGAGACCAGAGGCAGTCCACCCGCCGTCTTGCTGTGAGCAGGATCGGGGAAGGGGATGCCCTCGTTGTTGGTGAAGTAAGGTCCATCATCCTTCCGCTTGCCGCCCTGCTGGACCCCCGTCAACTTGGCTGCTGTCCGGGCGGGCCCGTCGTTGGCCCCCTGGAACAGCGAATTCAATTGCTTGATGCGCGGATCGGCGCCCGCGGCACCCACCGCTTCCCCCAACGCTTGTAAGGGATGCGCTGCCATTGTAGCTTGCTGTCTTGCCAAATCAATCAGTCTTAGTTACTACTGCCGTCTGCTTACCTCGTCGCTGTGCTGGCATCAAGTTATCCTCTTATACTCCAGACCTTTGCTTCCGGGCGGTTCCGGCCTCAGCCATGACGACCGACCGTGGACAGTTACCTCACGCAAAATAGAGTTACGGTTCCCTGCACTTCCACCCCAATTAGACTCTGGGAAGGCTGTCGTCGTGATGAGCAAATCGACAGGGTGGCTGTGGCCAGGCTGCATGCGTCAACGGGGCCGTCAAGTGTATCCCAGGGAATCTAGCGGTTAACAAGCCTGTTATTCAGTGCTCTTTTCGCATGGGAACGATGCCTTGCAACTACCATTGGCGGGACAGGCAGAACCACGATCCGCCGCAACTGGGACGTCTGCACTATGTCATTGTTCTATCATGCCAGCCACTACCAGGGTCTCTTTTGAGGCGCAAACAAACCATGATTAATTGCTGAACCATTGTTGGCTGGCTGGACTGTGGCCAGCGATCAATATTTGCTGTCCGCTTGTGTCATACTTTCGAGCTGGTCCAGAATGCGGAACTCAGGCATTATAAACCGGTTCTGCACTGTACCCCGCGAACTCAAGAACGATGTGACTGTGCACAAACCGTAATGCTTCCCCGTTTGAGCTGATTCCTACAAGCCATCCTATGAGCTGATCAGACAGCGAGAAAATGTCGTTTGCATTGTGTGCGAGAAGATCATTTAGAGGACCAGAGGCCTCCCTCTTCTCCAAAGCAGTTCGGACACCGAAGCGTGATTTCCGGATCACTGCCCCAGCCGCGATTCGCGTGTCTGAACTCATCAAGAACGACCATCAGGAACTGAGGGGTGCTTATCATCAAATTTTAAGTGCTCAAACGAATGATGACAGGGTCAGATGGCAGAACCAATTCACCTGGGAGCTGGCTCGCCACTCCATCGGCGAGGAGCTGGTCGTGTATCCCGAAATGGAGCTAAAGCTGAACAACGGGAAGTCCATGGCGCAGCATGACAGGGAGGAACACCAAGTGGTATGCTGTCGTTCGCTTTGTTGCGTTGTTATTTGAAACAAACTGAACAATTTGGCACTGCAGATTAAGGAGCTTCTGTATACCTTCCAAGGCCTTCAGCCGGATGATACCGAGTTCATCCCCACCCTCAAAAGCCTGTGGGCCAATTTGGAGCAGCACATCAAAGAGGAAGAAAGCCAAGATCTACCGGCTCTTGAAAGCGCTCTCGGTGACTCCGCCTCCGAAAGCATGGCGCGTTCTTTCGGTCGCACCAAGAATTTTATCCCGACTCGGAGCCATCCAGCGGCCCCTGATCAGCCACCGTACGAAACTGTTGTCGGTCTCATGTCTGCGCCTATTGATCGATTGGGTGATATGCTGAGAAAATTCCCCGACCAGAAGGCATGACATAAACATTGGCTTTTCTCACCCGGTTGTCTTTGATGCCGATCTGAGCTATGGTCGCAGCCTAAACAGTTTCCCTTTAGATGTTAAGTCCCGTTCCTTGTGTCCATATAGTATTGCACAGTGTATCCAAACAAAATCATATCTTCACGTACGCCTGGAAGCGAATCGGGATAGATATCATTCAGCTCTCCAATGCTTGGGGTAGCAAGTTTTAAAGAGTGTCTGCCGCAAATATCATGCACCTGCATTTTCTGGATAATGACTCTCTGTTTAAAAATTTCTCACAGGGTCGAGAAAGAGTAACATAGTAATAACCATGTCTAAGCAATACCGTTCTGGTAGTTCAACAAATCTGTGGCCCACAATCGAATCTACTCTGTATACTGAATATGCCAAGTCTGATGGGGGTGGAGTCCCCAATATGGAACCTTAATTGGCCTTCCTTACGATGTTCCTGGCCCCTTTGTTCATTAAGCCTTGAGAAGCGGACACAAAGAACACTGTTCGCATTTTTAAAACCGGTGGATGGGTTAGTAGAGGTGTAAGAAAGATGCATGAAGTCATCTGATGCTAAGCTACCTGGACAATTGAAAGTATACAGAACCCCGACAATAACCCTGTTTTTTTCTAGCTGTGGAAGTAGGAGAATCCGGTCGTGCAGCAAAGGCACTTGTGAAACCGAATTTGGCACGTAACAGATAAGGTAACGTTGCCGAAGACCAGGGACAAACTATTAGACTATTCCCCGTTGCGCAGCCGCTCTTTCCGGGGATGGGTGATCTATCTAGCGGTTAATAGCTGAAAATCACAGGTTCGATAGTTTCTGACTCCAACCATTAAAAAGATGGCCCAAGGTTCGGATCCCCTTTAGTGCCTTGGCAAGGTCTAACTACTTGTGTAAGCGTGCGCGGACATGTCTCACTATGAACCAATAGGCGATACTCAACCCATATCGGCCCCGTAACTGCTGCCTACGACCCAATCAAACGCATACAAACCTGGCCATCATCTGGAGAATTTTCAAGCCGCCTGTTGTGGCTTGCGCCCACCGTTATCACGTGGAAGCCGTGGAAGAAAAGGGAAAAAAAAGTAAAAAAAGGCGGCAAGATCTATCTATTGGCAGGAAATTAATTGAAACAGTCAACACAGCTCGCCCATCGTATTCATGCGGAAGCATGTATAGGCCAACGACCAAGTATGAATGGTGGCTATGCGGCGTGTTGCTGACACAGGCAGCTTTAACCATCATCTCCGAGGTGTACGCCCTTCCACTTCTGCAGATCCGAGCACACCTAACCAAGGAAAAACAGCTATATACTTATTGAATGGCAGCAATGGGTTACCCCAACAATCAATCAAGTGCCGGTGTCCTACTTGATACCGATTAACCTAGGCATTTTGATTTTCGCGTGCTTGTTTGAGTTCATTCTATCCTTGGATGCAATGCATCACAAGAATAACATTCTTCTGTTTGCAGTCTGCATCTGTAATGCGTGCAGTTTCGGCTATTCTGTGATGCAATTTATCGTGATGAGAGATACCACTGCGAGACTGTTCAAGACACGATTTGGGTATCCGACTTTGGTGGATACTACACGCAATGTCTGGCCTCGGGTTCAGCCTGCAGAGATCCTTGTATGTATCTTTACAGGGTTCTCTGCTCTGATTCTATGCCCAATTGCATATTTAATCCATAGGCATTATTCATGGGCCATCTACAAGTCTGTTCACGGCAGCTTGGATACTCGAATGCGTTACCTGGCTTATGAGGTAACGTTGACCCTTTCGTGTTCCACTCCCCATAAAGTATCCTGGAGGTCCTGCTAACGATAGGTGAGCTCAGATTTTCCTCGTACTAATAAAGCTCGACTTCTATTTTCTGATTGGTTTCATCATACAATACGACTTGGTATATGTGCATTTTAAGGAACCAGAATATACTCTTACAATGCTTATCATTCCCGCTGCCATCATTGCGATATTCCTTGGTGTCTGGTTTGTCCAGCGCGAACGAACCATTGGTGCGGTTGCTATCATTGTGAGCTTCTCTGCCTCTAATATGGTCCCATCGAGTTACTCCATCGCCTTCTAATCACTATATGACAGATGTGCTACCTTGCCTTAATCGCGTATCTTATTAGCCGGATTGTCATTCTCTCTTCGGCAAACACAGCTGGGAAGAGTATGATGCTGTTCTTTGCATCTTTGACCTTGGTCCTGACTGCCGGAACGGTTCTTTGCACTGCAATTTGCATCAAAAACTTCAATCGGGGTTTGACGACCATTAACCAGTCGAAGAATGCCAATGCTCGGGAATCCTACCTCTTATATAATAGGAGCCCTTCCGCGGAGCTGTCTCCTGGTTTTCCGCGTTCTTCCTCGCGTCTCACACTTGATTAAAGCAGGCAACGAGACCGCAAATGTGACTATACACTAAAGCTTTTGTGTAATTTGACTATATACAGCCGTCTGGCGTGCAAGCAAGATAATATTGTGAGCACATTTATAAAAAATCCACCAAGTGTGTACTTAAAGTGCAGTAGAGCCGTTACCGCTGCCAGTGCGCGGGCAATATTAGCCCAAGTTGCACCTACTGTGCTGGCCGCTTAAGTGTTAATATGCAACACCGGTCTACGCTAGAGGTGCCAATGTTTACTACATACAGAACCACGCATTGGCCAGCATTCCAAACTAGCTTTACAGCAGACGGAATCATCATTAGTTAACAAACATCATGGCTTTTAGGCTGTGTCACACATTAACAGGGAAATACAAAAGGTCAGGCAAGCACATCTCATCTTATGATCGCACTTGCTTGTGGAAGCGGCACCGCATCAAAATTCGAAATCAAAAACAGACACATTAGTGATAATTCAAATTGTCCGCTCATTGAATTCCAGCCTTCGATGTTCGAGGACATTCCGACCGATGGTGATTAAATCCAGCGCGATCTGGGCGAAGAAGAGAACAAAGGCAAACCAAAAGCTTAGAGCGCCGTTCCATGCATACGGCCCACGATGATAGAGGTGGATGGCTGTAGCTGAGGACAATGCCAAAGGTGCAATAAAGTTGAGGATGGCCAAGGACCTTGGAAAGGCAGGGTTTGAACTTCTATCCGAGAGAATTGCCCACGTTATGGTCCAGCATTGTATCCAGAATGGCGGCCACTGCATGACGATGGTGAACCAAAAAAGGTCACTGAGAAGTAAAGTCAATTCTGGGCCGTAATCCCGAAATGTCGCCAGTCCAAGGAATGTCGACGACATCATGAAGGAGACACTCCCTACCCCACAAGCCACGAGAGACAAGTCACACAGAATTGGGTCTACGTCTCGTATCATTCGAAGCTGCTTCGATATCACTGCCCCATAAGGGAGACATAACCCGGAGGAGATAAGTATCATTGCAGCTCCCGCCTGAATGCCCTTTCTGTGTCCGTGATAGTGACTGTATACCTTGTCGGCACCCCATGATGGGGGAAGAGGTGGTATGAAGCCGCATGCTATAAGTGCGAGAAAGAGGATTGTCACGAAAAGGAAACCGCTCGCAACAGATAACAATTGCCAGTTGGTTGGAGTAAAAAGTTGATACCTCTGGCATACTCTGTTTAGTGCTTTTTCACACTCAACAAGGGGACGACGCATAGCTGGAACAGAAAACGAACGGGACATGGTAGTTGTGATGGACAAACAACCGCATCATGGGGTCCTTTGTGAGACCTCGCATACTTAGAATACCTTTAATTATATATCTCGCAATTGGCAAGCCACTAGCTCACAAGAGTACATATCGCAGTATTACACATCATGCAGCTCGTAGTAACGGGAAGGCTGTAGGCATAATCTAGCGTGAGACTAAAGGATGTAAGGAGACGGTCAGATGAGTTGCAGACTTTTTCATGTTTTTAATCCATTTTAGAAATATTACGAAGCAGCGCATAACTCAAAGCACCGAAAAGGGGTGTTACCAGCAAATCGAACCCTTGCTTTTGACATTCCATGAAAGGGGACATTCGGCACATCAGCACGCCGCATTGGTTCACGAAGACCCTTCCTAAGAACCAACAAACGTGGGGCATCCCCTTCATCTGCTTCTCTTTCTGCCTTTCAGTCCCCTCCTGGTCTGCATGCATATGATCCGTGATATTGTCACGTTACTGAAGTCGTGATCGAAACCCCCAGGTATCTTTTACCTTAGCCTTCGCTATTCAAGCCAATTTCGAGCCTCTCAGGCAAGTAAGTGCGTTGGCGGCGAGTCCATAGTTCTACATACTTGGTCGACGCATCGGCACTTCCCTGAACCAGAAAGCGCATCCATCTCAGGCAGTCTTTAGAATACCAACTTTCGTGATGTTACGCTTGGACAATCTACTCTAGGTATTAAGTAGAGATAGAACTTCAATTCTAACATCTAGGTAATCTATATTAAGCACAAAAAGAGTGACTATTAGGAAGAAGGCATCATTTTATTCACTGTCCTGACCGCACATGACGTTACGGGAACATCACTGGCCATCGCTTTTACGTATTCGGCATATCTTGAGACTGAACAAATGTGGCAACCGAAGCATACCATTCAGGTTATTCATTATGTTTGCAAAGACAGTTTTCTATCTTTTAGTGCTGAATGGCATACTTTGCTAGGTACTCTTCTCTCAGACCCCATCCTAGCATCAAAGCTGCTGCCGGCCCGAAAACCAGAGTGACGAGCGTGCCCATTAGAATGAGACATGACCAGGACAGACTAATGACTTTCGCGAGTTTCATGTCTTTATACTCAAATAAAAGCCACGTGAGACCACACACATACCCCGTCATTCCATGGTGGTCGATGTGTATGGAGGAAGTTGCTTGGTACAGGACCTGTGATATCGGGAGTGATCCCGCACAAAGCGACCGAGATGCTAGAGCCCTCCATATAATTGACATAGCCCCGGATAGTAAACCGCATGTGTAGTAAGATATCCTCATGTAAGGCATGTCTGCATCTGGCGTTTTTATAAGCTCTTTCACTGTGGTTCTTCTCAAAAGGGAAGCTATCTGGACGTGGGACAATCGGAATAAAGTAGACAAAAGGACGAATTTCCATCCAAGGTGACTGTGTACCCCAGAGTCTTTATACAACATCCAAAATCCCGGAATGTAATAGCATAATATGAGACACGGGATCAAGGATCTCGTGTAAGATCCTTGTGTGCTGCGACGATCTGGTGCAGTAAATTTTGCTGCCGGTGACTGTATGGCGTACAATAAAAAGTATAATGGAACTACAATATTAGTTCCTTCAAAAATACCCATTATCCAGGAGAAAGTTAATGGACTATGAAACAGCTAGAAAGCCCAGGAATTTACTGGGTATCTACAGGAAACTTACAACGACATTAAAGTGGCAACGTTTCCTGTTCTGCAGCTTTCCAAGGCCCAAATGCCTAGGATCGCCCCGAGATCTGCAATTCGAGACATTGCTGCTAGAGCCTGGATACTCTGATAATTGATATCGTAACCGAGAAAATCGAATGCTTCTGCCTCATGCTCGTATGAGATAGACACGGGCTTAAGGATACGACTGTTCATAAAACCCCGCACAGTGGGCTGGACGGCAAAGATCAGGATAAAGGGGAGTAGTGCACGCAGCATTAACGACCTTACTCTTGGTGCAGCATGGATACCTTTTTCTGGGTCAAAAGGCATTGTCACATGTGCCGATTTCTCGGGAAGTGGGAGAAATGATAACTTCTCTGCGCCCACAGTCGTATCGCACAGAATGTCAGCAATCGCGTCCACTTGGTATTTACCAAGGTAGAGACCCAAAGCCTTATCTTTAAGCGTATGAAATGCTTCGAGTCTCGTGAAACTGTTACCCAAATCGCAAATGAGCTTCATCCGCCGCTGTCTAGATCTGGCCCACTCATCCAAAGAGGCCGAAATCTCAGGTACTGACAGGCTTTCAAGTTTGACGCTGTGAGCAATGGAAACGATGGTATTTGCAAGAGAAGCCGCGCTCTCTATCGCCCCGTTTCCGCCTTGGCCCAGGTTCGGTGTAGTCTGTGTTTGGAGATTAGAGCGGAACGCAGTAGTAGAATCGTCATTGTACCTTGTGTACTGAATCCCCAATGCATGCATACCTTCCCCACGCCCACTGGGTTAAGAAACCCTCTTCAATAGGCACATGCGCACATCGGACTCTGTTTTTGAAGATATCCTGGAATCTCACCCCCTCTGCAACGTACTTGTTGAGGAAGGGAGCAATGTCTTCCTCGATTTTGTTCTGATCGAAGCGAGGTATATCCTTTTCAGAATATACCTTTCCCATATCACGAAATAGGAACCAAAAGATCTGCCCTTTCCTGCCTACCGCATTGAAGAAAGAGAACCCATCGGCGAACGTTCTGTTGCAATGCCCGATCTTCATCCCAGGAGTTGGCCTAGAGAGGCCAAAGACGGCTGCATATTGAGCGGTGAACACTTTATTACTTATTAGCATTGGGCAATGTATAGGTGCCTGATGGAATACCTCGTCCTAGCTGCCCATGACTAATGTGCGATTGTGGGCAGTTGCTGATAATATCCCTTATCATCTTTCTGCGTGTAATGCTGTGTATTCCATCTGCTCCAACTATTATGTCCGCTTCGTAATTAGTGCCATCCAAGCATTTCACTATAGCTTGGTCGTCTGATGCAGTAATGTCTATGACTTTCTTTCCGAGAAGCACGCGTTTCGTGTCCGGCAGATGCTCAAAGAGAACCTGAAGAACTCGTTGTCTTTCAACGAAAATGACAGGATAGCCCTGTCTGACTTGGTCTTAGCGATGGTATTGTCGTAACTATCATAACAGCAAACAAATGAGGATCCCCACGTGTGAAGTAGGGGACTATGCTTTCGACGTACCGCACTGGTATTAAGGCCAAAGTTTCGGTGTGCCCCAGCAGCTGTCCATCATCTCGCCAGATGCGCTGAACAGAAATCGGTCCCCCATAAGCTTGGATATCCTCAAATATTCCCAACTGATCCAGAATACGTGCACCGCTGGATAGAATGCATAGCCCTGCACCATCGCATGGTGCAACTTCCGATCTACCTTCCAGGACAATGAAATCAATACCTTGTCGAGCAAGGGCATTAGCGAGAAGTAGACCCGCGATGGAACCTCCAACTATGACCACTTTCAAGTCCTTTGTAGGCATATTTGGACTATCGAGTCGTCTTTGACGAAGTAATAGTTACCTGTAGAGTTTCCTGGTGACTTCCACGAAAGTCTGTGTGCTTTCTAATCTCCTCTCATACAGTTCAGTTGAGGCAAGTGACTTGCACCGTAGTTAAATTACCTTGAACTGAATTGATATGAGAAAAAACGATTATATGGCCACTCCTCTTTCTTAAAGTGTGATTTGACCTCCACACAAGAGTGACAGCTCGCAAATGATGGACTCACATCGCCTTCCAGTTGAAGCAATGACGCCCTTTATTATGAGAGGTTTGTTGTTAGAACTGCGGAAGGCCAGTGGTGTGATGTCATTCATAATACCTCACGAGAATCCTTCCATGCCTGAAGCCCCTTGGAGTGTGTGATGCAATTGATCGGCTACATATTTTGAGTTCTAACCACATCGGATATCAGATGGATTATGCCATCTACGATGTTGACGAACTTTAACATACTCCTTCAACCAACTAACATGCTTTCGAGGCTTGAGCGGGTTCGTGGCTCTTGGAATACTAATAAGGATTGGCTCGGTCATAGGATGGGTCGGTTTACTATTATCGGCCTCTTACATGCGGCGAGGCAATATTGATGAAGGTGAGTGGTGCGGATGTATTAGCTGAAAGTCTGAATATGAATATCGAGCCTAATCTAGTCAATGTATACGTAACTTTGAATATCACCTCCGGTAAGGGCCTGACAAGCAGTCAATATTCACATCATTCATGGTAAGGTTCGACCTCTTGGCATTTTGACGATCTTTTCCAGGCAATTGTCATTTCAGGTAGTCCACCCGCAAGAGCGCGCTGCAAGTTACCTAGTGCGGGCCATTACTTTCTTGGGTTGAACGCCTTGCCGATCTGCAAGTCACTGGTTTTGGTAGGTCAGGGCTAATGCGCAAGGAACAACTTCTACTCCTATCACATCCAAAACCACTCACTACTGAAATCCTTGCTTGTTCTTTCAAATTGTGCGCTTGGAATTCCTGCTATATGTTCATCGCTTTCTTCGGTCAACCTTTACAAAGATGCATGTACTTCAAGTCTTATAAAAATTGCAACGTTGAATAGAGTTTAGAAAGCCAATGTCTCCAAGGCCTGAGGAAGCAGAAATTGCCATATTGAAAGTCACTGAACACTGTCAATGTCCAAAATAAACGACAGTAATCGCAGTGGCCATCTGCTGAGAGAAGTATAAGGTCTACATCAAGCGAGTTGTTGTAATCCAATTGTGTGACGCCTAAATATTGAGAGACCAAGGTGAAATTAATGGAATATACAGATTCTATATGCCGAAGAGATTTAATTCACTACGATAGCTGGTGCTTATATGTGCCTTGCATTCTACTGTCAATTTCCCGTGTGTAGAAGGTATTCCTATATTTTCATTCACAGGTGTAATGCAGTGCGTGGAACTTCTGCATTCTAGAATTTTTCCAACATATCAGTGTTCTCAAAACAATAATACCATGGCCCCTGTCTGATCTCTGGGCACGGTGGCGAGCTTATATCTTGGGGTAAGAAGGCTGTATCATAGAGTTATTTTTGGATTGATAATCTGGGCAAGGTTGCACAAACCTCCATTCGAGAAATCCTGTGCAATACCGGCGGCAAGACTCGACCAAGAACTTTGAATGAATTTGGTCACTACTTGCCAGAATATCAGCTTTGATGCGGTCCAAATCTGCAATGGAGTCTTGAAGTATCTGGATCGAAAGGTCGACTGCATTTTGCGGTGTTCTGTTTTGGTTGAGAAGAACGGGTACGAAGCTGTATACTTCTCCTTTATCCTACTCAAAGTCTAGGTCAGTGTATCTTTCTCTATACGGGTAAACTCCAGACTGACAATTTCCTTTTTGAGCGACAAGATGTCATTGGTACTATTGACTGATCAGCAGGAGGCATCAGAGTCGTATCGGGAGTGTACATACAGAGCGATTATCAGGTTCGTTTGATGCCAAACGTCCTTCACCAACGGGCCACGCGTTATCGAACGGGGAATTCGCCAATCCATGGAGAGCCTTTCAGATTCATATATTAACTTCTCATTAGCCACATATCAGTAATAGTGGCTTACTCTGTTGCAGCGCAGATCACGCCCATCAGATTTGTTCCAAGCCGATATGCAAGATATTGATCGGTTGAAGGTATGTCCATCCCAAGGCGATTTTCCTGTTCCACCTTGGACATGTGGATAACAAAAATGATCTCTTCCGTCAGCGTAAGCCTATGTTCTATGCAGTGTTAGCATCCCCGTACGTATGTCTGGTTTTTCCAAATACGCTCACCTACCCTCATCATATTCCTCTCGAATAAAATCTGCTATCGGACTAAACCCTCGAATGATAGCATTTTCGGTAACGTTGTTGGGATTTTCTGATTCCAATCCCAGACTAGCTTTGACAAACCGACGTGTTTCATCCCGAAATCGCTGACCCATATTCAGGTCGTACGCCGTAAACTGGGAGGCACCGTCCAGTTCATCGTCCCAGACAATCAACCATACAACTAGAAACGCCAACACACGCAGCTTTCTGAATGATGCATGGGGCCACCAAAGGCAGGCTAGTAGTGGGAAATCGGCACCTTTTACTTTTTGCGCCTTGGCTGGGTCTTCTGGTAAGAGGCTGAGGGACTCACTGGCATCAGCTTGACTGGGGGGTCAGGTTATCAGTGGGGGACGCTAGACACATACCTATCTATATAGTCATGAACGCATAGCGGTAACAAGGTTCGGTGTTTATTTATGCCCCCCGATTCACTCTTCATAAACGACCGTAGATCAGGTATAACGCACGTATGACCATATAACTTCTGAAGAATGACATCCTGCGTTGAAAGTTTGTTTTCCATTTTCGCAGATGATAATATGTAGCGGTTGTTGATGAAGATACAGTAATGCCTGGGTTTTATCTCATGAAACCGTCGGATCAGCCGTGGATTTTCATTCCATGTCTTGAACAGCTCAGCATTACTTATATTAAGATATATCAATCGGGAGTACAGGAATAGAAGTTAAAAATGTCAATGACCAATACGACATAGGTTGTGGGTTTTTGCGACCGGCCAAGCAGAAAAGACGCGGGAGAACCTGGCATGTGTGGGATGACAAGTGCGGGCTACCGCTGAGGGACAAAGCCACTGCAGTAATCCAAGAAAAATGCAAGTTTAACGTTTCCTTGCGTCATCTTGCTCGATCCTGCCACAATACCCCTTCTGATATGTACTATCCAAATCCAGTCTTTTGCAGGGAGCGGGAGTCTGACCCTTTCGCCTCCTGCATGTGTTGATATGCATGTGCCTCGATATAGCAGCAGCGAGCGCATGCGCCAGGTCCCATTGAGTAGTCGAACTTTCTTCACAGTAAATGTGAGAAGTCAAATCTGGAAGAGCCGACCTGCTGTTGTCGTTTTGCCAGGGTTGAGAGTCCAGAAGTTTATTATCATTGAATACATTACAATAATAGCATGCATATCTACTTCCACTTGAAGGTGGCTTTTGTTACATGTTCTTTACCGCATTACAGAGGATCCTGAAATGAACAACACTGTAGCCTTTACCTTCACCCCTTTCTCCCGGCGTCAACAATCCGCCCCATCATTGGGGAGGCAGCTAGTGTTTTTATCGGAAAAATTTACCGAGTGTAGAAGGCATTAGAAGCTATTTCGACGTTCATTACGCTTGTCTGCATGCCTGGCCCACTCGGCAAGGAGACTTGGAATTCGCAGTTGGATGTTGCTGGAAACCCTCATAGAGCATCCACCCATTAAGCTACACGATTAGATACATTGGCGGGCATATACCAAAAGAGGGCAAACGTCATCCAATATATCCCCACTTATACGAATGCGCGAGGGATCCCTTCACTGAGTAGGATGTTGCAGAGATTGGGTCCCATGAAATCAACTGTGGACGCGGGGGCGTCGGCAATGGCAGAGTAATATGGCACGAGATCACTAAGCTCAGTGTCCAGACCCGTGACGGAACTCTCTGTTACCGCAGGCTGACACTGCACACTTGAGTACGCTTCGCTACCATCCCGGTTCCACCCCGCTGATTCTGAAAGGTCCAGCTTACGGCTATAAGCAAAGTTTACTCTGCCTGCGCGAGCTCGGCGTTTCTGTCGGCACACTTGCCATTGTTGGCGCAAAGTGCCCAGGAAGACGCTGGTGCGTCGGGCATTCTCAAAGCAGCTGGCCATACGGTCAAGGGCCCTAAAGCAAGTACTGAGGTGGATCACCAGGTGTTGATCTTGAGACGTGGTTTTGGCGGGAATGGTGTTGAAAATCAATATTAGTGCGGCGGAGAATACGAACGAAACCATTTGTATACTTGACTTGTCAAATCCGTAGGATTTCTCATAGAGGTCCAGCAGTTGAACGATGGCCACTGCAGATTCGATGCACATTCTTCGAGCATGGCCTGAACCTGGGCCTTGAGGAGGCTGGGGCTGTATATGGCGTCGGGAGATGTAGGGTTTATGGCAATGAATCATGAATTGGTAGTATTGCATACTTATGTTTATTAGTCCTCACAAGGGAACGGGGTGAATTATTCTAGAATGACTCACTGCAGGGTAAGAACATGGGGCAGCGGTGATCGGACAGTAGTCCCTTCATCAGCCTTGAGCTCTGCTGGGAGGTTAAGATGCCATTGTTGCAGCTTCTCAACTGTTACCGAAGCCAGCTCCTGCAGGGAGTGAGTAGAGATCTCCGAACAACCATATCTTGGCAAGTAACCATTAGCTCTAGGGAGATTTCTTAATCAGAAGCGGTATCTTACAAGACATCCGTAAGCGGGAGCATGATTTCGTAAAGGGAGACCCATTCCTGGCACAAAGGGTTGAAGGGGATTTGCGGGAAACTGGTCCCGAGGTGATCGGGATATGGCTTCCAGCTGGAGGTAGGAACCGGGCTCGGAGACACGGGCTTCCGCACGGTGACAGCATCCATCCGACATTGGGCGGAGCGGCCTAAATAGAATCCCCAGAACCTGCTTCGTAAGCAGGTCAACCCATGACAAGAGGCAAGATATACTTACTGTTCGTTGAGATAGACACCCCAGAAGACCATGCGGCGCACCTCGGCATCTTGATGAGGAATGATACCCTTTTCCACATACGGACCCATCTCGAGATGAAGCCCCAGGTCCAATGTGAGACGCATGGCCATTCCTTACTTATTTAGTCTCAATTCGTCCCCGTGTCGGGAAAGGGCTATAACCTACCACTGTAAAGCCATCCCCGGGTATCCCGAGTGCAGGATGCTTCATGATTGCTGAGAATCACAAGGGCCTGGATGGTTGCAATCGACGGGTTATCCAATTCAAGTTCCACCAAAAGCTTCGCCCGATCGCCAAAAAATTCGGCCAGTGATCGGGGAAAGGTGACAAAGTCGGGATGATATTTCGGTCCATAGGCGGCCCCCAGAGCGCACATGGCGTCCGACAAGGCTCGAGATTAGTACGGCGTGGCGAGGCCCTCCTCACGGCTCTGCGCACGAGACCGCCAGAAGCTCTCAGCATCAATAACATGCAGACTAGGATCCTGCCAGGCAAAGAAGAGATCAATTAGGTGCTTTTCGAATGCTTCGTCAACTTCTTGGTTGAGCTTGGCATTCTCCAGCAACTCGGGTGCATCTCGGGGAATGGCGACGGGTGGAGTGACATCCACCAGCGCATCCAGGAGCGTTAGATTGGAGGTGGAGCCAAAATATCGAAGTTGACCATCGTGAGTTACTTGCAATCGTCCCAGTCGACAGGAGAGCTGGTCGGTGACTTCGTCATCACTGTCTCCTACTTCTTCTTCTTCCTCCCTGGGCGCTTCCGAAATAGTAGAGTCTTTCCACGCCACCCGTTCTTTGTCAAACGAGAGGTCAAGAGGCTCCAGACAAACTGACGGCTGGTGAGACGGCCCTACGCTGTCAGTCTCATTCGGCTGGGTGGGAGGAGCGCTGCTGTTGACGGACACAGGCGTGGTGGGCAGGATATTAGCCTGCCCTGTTCGGCTGCTGGTGTCGTTGGGATCTGCAACCACGTCCTCGCATCGCAGCTCCAGGGCATCCAAAACATTCTTCAGGATGCGATGGTCCTCCTCATCGATGGGTGGAACTGGTAGGCCACACTCTCGGATATGGTGAACAAGGCTGTCCACCCGGCGTGCCAGCACGGCCACGGCCGGGCGCACGGGGACTTTCCGTTTGTCATCGCTTTGCCGGTAGCGACAGGTCTTGCCTCGAATGGCGCAGTTTCTACAAGTTGGGGTCCCCCCACCACACTGTTGCAGAGAATATCAGTCGCGCAGATAGTTAGATGAGGGGGTGGGGAGTTAGTTACCTTAACTTTCCCATCACGACAGGGGATGCAGGCCGTGGTAACATGCTTCCGAAGGGATCGTTGATTTCTGGATGTGGCGGGCATGGTCTGAACATGAGGTCCTCCGCTGTTCCCCTGATGGAGCCGAGAGACATTATAGATGAAGAACTCTTGAGTCAGGACGGCAAAGGGGAATGTCAATCCGAAATGAAAGAAAACTGCGCGAGTCTGGGATGGAGGATTGATGGCACAAACCCCCTCTCCGCCCGGAAATCATATCCCGAACGGACGGAGGGGGGAGGGTGGCCGCCGGTCGGAAATCCACCGTGTGCCCTGGAACATCGATTTCATTATGTACAAGCTGTCTGGATATATTGCAAAATACTTCGAATGCTTCCTCGTCGCCTCCCTGGGAACGGGGCAGGTGTTAGATGGACATGTCTTCAACCTGTCGATGAAGACTATATGCATGAATGGTGGCAGAAAGCATACCAATTTGGGTGCCACAGAATCTCAGATTCATACTGTCACATATGTTCTGGCTGTATCTGGCTGGGTATATTGTAAACCTCTGACGAACTGGGTCAATCTTTCTCGCAAGACTAACAATCGCATCCGAGCCACACATGGAGCTGCAACGATGAGGCTTTCGGACGCGGCATCCCGTACGCCCGCTCGAGTCGCCATATAAAGCCCATGCCGAATCCTGGATCACTGCTTGTCATCGCCAGTGACTCAACTGTGTCAGAATCCCTTGTGGCTAATATTTCATGTATACCATCACAACCAGCGTGGAGATCGCAGCCCCTCCCGGGGTGGTACGAGACAAGGTGCGGCCCATCCCGGCACCCCCAAATGTGCCCGAGCAAACTGACCTCGTCCTCGAATCAGTTCCTGGATTTCGCAGCTTTGCCCACTTACTCTCCATCTGGCTTTATTCGACACATCTCTTCTGTCACTGACAAGCCCCCCACGCAGCTCCAAGCCGGAGACCGATTGAACTGTACAGTCAACTACGGCAAGACGCATTTCACGCCCATCGTCCAAGCCAATACCCCGGCCCTCTTCAGCTGGGTGGGCTCAATTCCGGGAATTTTCACCGGCGAACACCGCTTCAACTTTGAATATATTGACGCAGATCAGCCTGGCAAACCGTACCGGACGCGCCTCGTCCACGAAGAGCGATTCACTGGACTGCTCAGTTTTCTCATGGGTCAAGGAATGCTAGCCAACGCAGCGGGGTGGAGAGAGAACACCCGCCAGGGGTTCGACACGTTCAACCGAGATTTCAAAGCTTGGGTGGAGGCCTCCAGGAGATGATTCATAGACACAATCTGTGGCCGAACAGGGGAGGAGCGTCATGTTGTGCCTTGTAGGGGCGACCAGAATCATGCCCTACTCAAGATTAAGTTATTAACGTAATCAACGGTTGGGCGGCCCATCTCGTTATCCCATATAAACGATGTCTTTTTGATTCCATTATATCTCGATTAATACTATATCTGATTAGTTATAACTTCACCTATAGGTTATATACATGAAAATAAATGATATATAATTTTTTTCTGATTTCTTAAAAATTTTCGTGTATAAAATATATCAATATATCCCATAGTATTACATATAAAATATATATATATCGTAGTATGATGAGATACTATCTATATTTACATAGATTTTTGGAAAGTATGAAGTAGTTATTTATATTACCTATAATCTATTTATGCAATATTGAGTTGTCTAGACATATAATAGTTGAGATATCTTGGGTTTAAAACAGAGTCCTTGGTATAGTGTTACCAGATGGGCCGTCCAACCGTTGATTACGTTAGTACGACAATAGCAACCAGTGAATAATCCTTCGACGAACTGTTCTACTGATTAGAAAGCTGAGGATAGATTTCACATCATCGCCAAGTAAAATCAGCAAGCCTGCCGCCCATCGCACCTGGATGAGGTGAGATTCGCTTGACTTCAGGCGGATCGGAGAATCGGTCACCGTATCTCCCGGGGTCGCAGGATCGCAGGATCGCAGGCTGGTGTCCACTCATCCATGGCCTGCTTCTTCCTGGGGAACCTTCGCGTGACATATCTCCGGGGGATCGGAGAGAAGGTTAGTTGCTGATTCATCTAACTCCGGGCGACGTATTGACGCCGAGACAATGGCGGAGATAACGCCTCTAATCCCCGATCGCTCGTACGGCGAGGAATCCCTCAAAAGTATATATTCACCTACTACTTGCTGCTACAACAGCATCAGATACGGACTCCACTCAATACTATATTCAAACAACAGGAAATCATCTGTGTCTTTCGTCATGACTGGCGAATACGTCAAGGATCAACCCGCTGGGTTCAGCAACCGTATTCAGCGCATTGCCATCGTCGGGGTAAGCCCCCTGTGCCCATCTGTGCCATCCACATCACTAACCACAAGTCTGATTGCCAGGCTGGGGGCACCGTCGGAAGGCCCATCGCCGAGGAACTGCTGCGGACTGGACAGCATAGCGTGACAGCCCTGACCCGCATCGGCAGTACGAGCCAGGTGCCTTCCGGCGTCCAGTCCATTGCCGTGGACTACGACGACGAGGCCAGTCTAGTACGCGCTCTACAGGGCCACGACTGCCTGATCATCAGCCTGTCAGTGCAGACCCCTCGCGATACTCAGCCAAAGCTGCTGCAGGCTGCCTCTCAGGCTGGTATCCGGCATGTGATGCCAAATGTCTGGGGCTGTGATGTCATGCACCCGCCGTTAGCCGACAGTGGCCTGAACTGGGGAGGGTTCCGCGAACTCGTGGCCGGCATCGAGGCCAAGGGCATGGGGTGGACCGCGCTGATCTGTGGATTCTGGTATGAGCACAGCCTGGTACTGGGACCGAGTGCATTCGGCTTCGATCTTCCCGCCAAGAAGCTCATCCTGAACGACGACGGCAACACCAAGATCAATATCAGCACCCTAGCCCAGTGTGGCCGAGCCGTGTCCACCCTTCTGAGCCTTCCGGTGCTCCCGGAAGATGAACAAGATGACCAGCTGACCCTGAATCGGTGGCGGAACAAGCCGGTGTATATTTCCAGTTTCCTGCTCAGTCAGCGAGACATGCTAGCAAGTTGGCTCCGAGTGACGGGCGAGACGGCGGACAGTTGGACGATTGAGCAGGAATCATCTCAGGGTCGGTACGAGCGCGGATTGGAGTTGATGAAGAAGGGAGATCATGCGGGATTGGTGCTGGCCATGTACTCGCGGGTCTTTTTCCCCAACGGCGATGGCAACCACGAGCAGCGTCGGGGGCTAGACAATGACTTGCTGCGACTTCCCACGGAGGATTTGGATGAACACACGCGCCAGGCCAAGGCCATGTCTGACCGGGGATACAATTATATGACAAACCGCAATTGACTGGTGTGGATGGTCGGGAATGTGCTGTTCCTGTGAGAATGTTTCTAGCGTGATGGGGTCCACTACTACTACCTCGCATGCAGCTTGTCAGTACTACTAGATAGTTAACCAGAGAGGGAATGCAACCCACCATTAACACGATGGTTAATAACTCCCATTGGTAGCCGAAACCAACCAGTCCCAAACAGGAGTGTCAGTCCATCGCCGACGGACTCCCGACCGAGAGTGATCGACAGACGGGAATAGCCTCGGTTCGTCTCTCCCCGAATGGCCTCTCCTCCCGAGCAGTGACAGCCGCGGCCGATCCCACGTGCGGCACTAACCCCTTCATCCAAGCTTCTCACTCGTTCTCTGTCTCCGTCGCCCGTCAAACTTGCAGAAATCAAATTAAATGAGGCGGAGATGAACAGCAGCCCCTCTCTTGCTGCTCGCGTTCCAAGCAGAAGTGCGGGCCGGCGCACGTTGCCTGCCAAATAACCCTATTCTGCAGCGTCCCCCGAAAAGCTCTCCTGACGCGATGCATTCCTTGCATTCACTGCTCCGCATCTATCTTATCCCCTCCCACGTGTTAGTCCTGAGACGCATTTTCTGGTCATGCGGCCGCCCACTGAAGTAGCATATATATACCCTTGCGACCGTCATCCTTGAAATGGCTTTTAAGGAATGTCTTCCACGGGCGTCAATCAAATTTACATTCGCCCTGATCATTCGCCAGCATGTCCAAGCTTCTCGCCTTGACCAAGGTGCTGCCTGTCCTCGCGGTGGGTTCCTTGGCCGTCGACTACCCTACCATCCCCAAGGACAAGACCACCCCTTACCAACAGCGACTGGCAATCTATGGACCCAACGGTGAGGAACCCAGCTGTCCGTCTTCAGCACACCAGAACCACCGCTGACGTTCAGGACCAAATGATTCAGCTGTCTCCGTCGCATGGAACACCTATGAGCAGCTGAACCAGAGCTGTGTCGAGTATGGCACCTCAAGCAGCAACCTGGACTCCAAGGCCTGCTCGACCAAGTCGACCACCTACTCAACCTCGAGGACCTGGTCTAACGTCGCCTACCTGACCGACCTCACCCCGGCCACCACCTACTACTACAAGATCGTGTCCGACAACTCCACCGTGGGGCAATTCCTCAGCCCGCGCACACCCGGTGACACGACCCCTTTCAGCATGGACGTCATTATTGACCTGGGTGTCTACGGCACCGATGGTTACACGCTCTCCTCGCGCAAGGCAAAGAAGTCCGACATTCCCCAGGTCGAGCCCGATCTGAACCACACCACCATTGGCCGCCTGGCTGATACCATCGACGACTACGAGCTGGTCATTCATCCCGGTGATTTTGCGTATGCCGATGACTGGTATGAGGATGTTGGGAACTGGCTGGACGGCTCCGATGCCTACCAGTCCATTCTGGAGCGCTTCTATGACCAGCTGGCTCCCATCTCCGGTAGCCGACTGTACATGCCGGGACCAGGCAACCACGAGGCCGACTGCAGCGAGATTCCCTATCTTAACGCCCTCTGCCCTGAGGGTCAGAAGAATTTTACCGACTTCCTGCACCGCTTCGATGCCACCGTTCCTAGCGCTTTCGCTTCTCAGTCCACCAACACCACCGCCCAGGCACTCGCCGAGAAGGCGCGCAGTCTGGCCGTCCCACCCTTCTGGTACTCTTTCGAGTATGGCATGGTTCACGTCACCATGATCGACACCGAGACTGACTTCAAGGAGGCTCCCGACGGCACTGATGGCTCGGCAGACCTTGACTCGGGCCCGTTCGGCTTCAAGAACGAGCAGCTGGAATTTCTCGAAGCCGACCTGGCCAGCGTCGACCGCACCGTTACCCCCTGGGTGGTGGTGGCCGGTCATCGCCCCTGGTACACCACCGGCAGCGGCAACGCCTGCGATGTCTGCCAGGAGGCCTTTGAGGACATCTTCTACAAGTACGGCGTTGACCTAGGCGTTTTTGGTCACGTCCACAACTCGCAGCGCTTCCAGCCCGTGGTCAATGACACTGCTGACCCGAATGGCCTGAACAACCCCAAGGCGCCCATGTACATTGTCGCAGGCGGGGCCGGCAACATTGAGGGCCTGAGTTCCGTGGGTACAGAGCCTTCATACACGGCCTTTGCCTACGCCGACGACTACAGCTACAGTACTCTGCGCTTCCTCAACTCGACAGCGCTGCAGGTTGACTTTATCCGCTCCACTACGGGCGAGACACTGGACTCCAGTGTGCTGTACAAAGATCATTCCACTCAATTTGTTGTGCAGTAGGTGTATTTGGCAGGATGGAAAAATTATGAAAGGGAGGATGAAGTTGTAGATATGTGTATATATAATGAGGATTGACATGGCTCCTGAGCCCGGGAAGTTGATCGTGACTATAATCTATATATTCAACAATCTCACTGGAAGGCGCGACCCACTGTCTCGAGATACTTACTATTAATACTGTCTTCCTTCCTGCACAGTGCTTTAGAATACCTTGTGAATCTGAATGGCCGGTATTTAACGTGAGTCAGATATCGCCGCATTTGTGTATTCTTCTAGATAGCTGTGGGAAGCCAACCATCTTCCTCACTCAAAGTCGCCTGGATAGGGGGTATTTGCCGGTCACATATGGGCAAAGGTTGATGATCATTGTCTCATTATATTTTTGAAGCATACGCTTTGGTCTAATTAAGACCAGGACCAGTGGCTCAGCATTGGTCTCTTCCAGGATACAAAGCCAGACAAACACCTATAATCATCCCAATATCGGTTTAATATCATTTAAGAATCTAAATGACTTGTTAATTGTTGCTATAGGATAGGCTTTCAGGCGGTGATTCTGGCCCGTATTTCCTCTCTCTCCCGTCCCAGATGCATCCCTGTGCGACTGCAGCTTGCGCCATAAGACGGGACACTAAGATTGAGATCACCCCGTCCTTTTGAAAGCCGGTGTTTCTCCAGCGTGCGACGACTCTGACTGCTACATCCCAGGCCCGATCAGTCAGCATTGTCTGTGGTCCAATGCCAATCTGCTTAAGGACAAAGATGGCAGCATGCCATTGCGGGTATCCCTGGAAGAGCCATGACCACTGCTTGGTGCGAGGGTCGGTCTCGAGCAAATACGAAAACTCCAATATTCCAATGGCTGTCACGAAGAGCTGTTCCCACTTGAGTTCTCCCACGTCTGAGGGGGCTATCAACGACCCTGCTCAGCCGCGGACATGCCTTCAGGGAGGTGGGCAATCAACCATGATCGAGCAAGAGCCAGGCGGATGACTGTGGCTGTCACCCACTGCAATGGAATTGAGACGTCGCAGAACCCCAGGCACTGCCTCCGCATTCGATTGTGTATTTCTTTCAGCCCATGAAGCCTTTTCGCCACGTTCAGTGAGCCGCTTTCATCGTAGTTGCTGCTGCTACAACGCAGATCGTATGCGAATAGACATTTGCCTGTCTCAGTCGAAGATAAACACTTCAAAATCCAGTTAACATCATGCTCCGGATGGACAGGATGTTATGTAAGCAAAGATGCCCCCATGGCTCGGCATTGAAATGAAGCCCGAGAGTGGCACGGTTAGTCAATCATGGAAGATCATTCATCATTTGGACTTCGGGGCCAACATAGACGTCACATTAATAATATAACTCAGACAAATCGGGTTTATTAAGTCAGATGACGATCATTATAATATAGACAAGGGTATGCTCGTCCCTTTCATTTCGCGCCCTTGGAACAGCCATCATTGAAACAACATGGCGCACTCTTCCACCAATACTGCAATCCCCAGAGGCTCTTGGATTTTAGTCACCGGCGTTAATGGCTATGTGGCCTCTCACACGGCGCGCCAACTCCTACGGGAAGGCTACCGAGTCCGTGGAACTGTACGGAACCCATCCAAGAGCCAATGGGTCGAAGACCTGTTCCATGAGAAGTATGGTGCCGACCATTTTGAGTTGGTCAAGGTTGAGGACATAACTGTGCCTGGTGCTTTTGACGACGCGGTCAAAGGTGGGTCTTGCCTCTATTGCGAACTGTGGGAAGTCCAGTATGGTTCTCAGAAGAACTAATCGACAGCCACAGGCGTTTCTGGCGTGGCCCACGTCGCAACCATCCTGGGCCACACACCCGACTTAATCACGGGTGTTATCAGTACCAATCGGAACCTCCTTGTTAGCGCGGCGAGGGAAGATACCATAAAGCGATTCGTGTACACCTCCTCCTCCGAGGCAGCAACCTTCTCATCCTTCTTGGAGCACCAAGCGGGGCCAAGCATGCCTATATCTGTGGATACGTGGAATGAAGAGGCAATCCGGAGAAGCCAGGCTAATGCGATGGGTCCGAAGGGAGGCTTTGACATGTATGCCGCCAGCAAGACGCTAGGCGAGCAGGAGATCTGGAAGTGGGCTGAAGAGAATCGCCCGGGAATTGTTATAAACACCGGTAGGTCAAACGCACTCTATGAAGTGCCCTAAAACCCGACTAAACTCATGGTATGCAGTTTTGCCTTCCGTATGCTTCGGGGCCTCCATCGATGCGAACTTCCAGGGCCATGCGTCATCCTCTGCTTGGCCAGCAGCTATCTTCCGTAACCAATTTGATCAAGTCTGGCCGTTCCTGAAGCACGTCATACCTACAGGTACTATAATTCTGATTCACAAAAATCGGGCGTTCAAGCTGATGTGGATTGACAGGAGCCTACTGCGTTGATGCGGAGGATGTCGCACTTCTTCATGTGGCGGGTCTCACACTCCCAGACGTGAATAATGAGCGAATCTTCGCTTTTGGGAACCCTTTTACATGGAACGAAGTCGTATCCATCTTTCGAAATGCTTTCCCCGATCGCGAATATCCAAGCGAACTACCAGGTGCAGACAAAAGGATTCATTATGACATCGGTCCGGATGCCCGCGCCCAGGATTTACTGAGGGTAATGGGAAAGCCTGGGTGGTCTACCTTGGAGGACACTTTGATGGCGAATGTGTCAGACATACTGTAGAATGAGTTCTAGTACTTTTACTTTGGTAAATGCACAGACGTGGAGAAGCCTCCGAAACTACCAGGAATCCGTTCATTCCTTCGAGAGGCTCGTCTTGCTCTGGAGTCAAAACACGTCCCAGCACGGTGTTTCTGTGCGGCTACTTACTGAACCGTACAATGAGATCTCGATCTAGATGTCTTGGAATCTTGTAGAAGTAGATTGGCCGCCTCGGATTGCTTCCTATGAAAACTGTACCTGTTTGGGGCATCGTCTCTTTCTGGTTTTCAGTTAACCTCCACTTTCGGAGTTGCCTCGAATGTGACAAGAGCATTCTTGCCAAGCACGCCAAAACAATATATTGCAGGCTACCAAGCAGATGATGTGACTCAAGTGTCTCAACATGATGAACTTGGAAGAGTTCCAAGTGGGGCGGAAGCGGATACCATAGGTTCCAAGTCCAGGCTGCAGCTGGAGGCCTAAATAACACCCAGTATTTTAAGCGAATTTTACCTTCCAGGGTCTCCTTGCCTCTTTCCAGTCATTGTCACCTCTTTTCATTTCGCAGTAATTATGTCAACGAACGCTCCGAACAGCACCAACCCGTCGTCCCTCGACGCGGACGAAATCATGCGGCAGGCAGTTGATCGGTTCCGCACGCGCATGGCGGCCGCCAACCAAAAGTTCGTCCAGGACCGCATCGATGAGATTGACGCCCGCGGACTCGCGACTGAGAAAGAGAAAATCCGCAAGTTGCAGGATTGGCGCCATTTCGACGACTTAGACCGAGACGAACCGGACGGTCACAACAGCCCCGACGCCCGCCGCATAAGCGACCAGTTCCGGCAGACGCGAGAGTTGGCGGCAGTGCCGGCGCTGCTGGCCAAGGAGACACGCCCCCTGTTCGCCATGGACGGGGTCCACCCGCCGCGGCTCCGCACGCCAGAAGCCCGGGAAATGTTTCTCGACACCCTGCAGGAAGTATTCCACCGGCAGGCGGAGGAGTGGGCGGCCGCCGAGGAGGAGGATTTAGATTTAGCCTCGGAGCCGATCCCGCGCTGTGAGGAGCTGGGCCGGCTTTTAACATATGCCCACGAGGTGGAAGACCCGGACTTTCGCCACTCGGGCGTCGCCCCCTTCGAGGCAGCGTTATTAGTGCAAAGCCGGTATGGAAGCTTCCCCTGTCTGGACACGCAGGAGCAGCGGGACCAGTACCATGCGCGTGTACGCCAGGAATGTGCGCGGCTGCGGGAGTGGCTGGAGGGGGAGAACTCGGACTTGATCAATAAGGCCAAGATTGTGGCCGGTCCGGATGAAGATCTGGAGGTCCGAGCGGGCGTGGTCACGGGCAGCGGCTACGTGGGGGAGTATCCGAAGTGGTACAGCGCGTACCTGTACTGCCGGAAGCGTCTAGAGGAGGATATGGATGGGATCGAATTCCGCGATGATGGTATCCTGGACGCCCCCAATATCCAGGAGTGGGGGTGGCGCGTGGTGTTTATGGAGGCCGAGGCGTCTCCCGTCTTCGAGCCGCAGATACTCTACGGACGGAAGCCGCGCTTTGACTCGATCCCAGAGTTTTTGGACTGGTACGCGAGCTGGGCGGACAACTTGGATGCCCGCGGGGTGCTCAGTCTCCGCCGGCATCTGAGAAATTGTGATACTGATTGCGAGTCCGATTATGAGGAGCACTGCTTATAAGAACCATGTCCCCATGTGTGAGGGAGGGAATAACACGTTGAGAAGAAACAATTGGGCCATCGCTCGGTGCTGCTTGCACGATTTCCGGAACTGACTTAAACAAAGCTCATTTTCAATGCAAAACATCATATACAAGCAGAGAAATTTCGAAGGAAGAAGACAAATGTGGGCAAGCTGGGGCACAAATGAGAGAACAAGCCTCGCAGTAGTGATCCTCGCGATCCTCTGCTCTATATCTCGAAAGTAGGTACAGTAGTTGAAAGGCATTTCTGACAGTTAATTGCATTGGCTTCTATCTTTCGTAAGGACTGCTTAGTGTTACATCCATCCTTATAACAAGCGGTCGGCTTGGACACTCATCTCAGTAGCTACAGGCAGCCTTGATGTACCCTTTAATCTGTGATCTCTGAGATGTAGTTATTATAGGACAGAACAGGAGATCTTTCAAATCATTATGCCCTTAGGATGTATTTGGTTGACATCCAGTGCGAGCTAGTCTTGTTTGGGTACGGACCCTTATGGATTGGGACCCACTTGGTTCAGGCACGATGGGCTTTAGCTCCGATTCTGCCTGGCCACCTCCTTCCCTATAAATGAGGCTAAGCACCCGCCAGCCGTAGTGAGAAAAATTTAAAAAATAGTAAAAATTCGTTCATCCGTAATATGATCTTCTCGCAACTCATTCTGGCCCTGCTGTGGTGGTGCGTCTCCACTGCGGCTGGGGCAGAAGAGACCTGCGACAATGCTCCTCCCAACGACCCCATCGGCATCGACCTCGGCCATCGTCTTGTCTCCGCCTCCTACGCCAATTCCGTAGACAATTTCACCCTGCTAGGGGTGGTCAATCATGAGGAGTACCAGCGGCAGATTGGGGAACTGTCCTGGGACCACTTTCAGCAATCCGGCCTTGCGAGACCGGGAAGGGGATCTAGGTCGACACCGCTGGCGCTCCTAGGCAGCGTCCTGTGGAGCTTGTTCGAAGCGATCGATGCGAAAGTCCCCATTAGCAGCAACTCATATGTCAAATGGACTCAAGACTCAATCCGCTCCATATCTGACAGTGTCTACGGCACCATTCCTGTCTCGGTTCGAGAAAGGATCAAGTCCTTCCTCGTCTCGCGTGGCCTGATCAAGAAGAAGTTGTCTCTGTCCGACGTCACCGAAACACTCACAGAAGTATTCGCCGAGCTCAAGGCAACCGCCCTCGCAGCCCACAGTGTCAACATGACCTGGGCCGTGGTCGGCGTGCCGGACTTCTTCAACGACACGCTGAGAGACACTGTGATTCAAGCTGGGCAGCAGGTGGGAATCACGATCCTCGGGGGCGCCGTGCCCCCGCGCTCCTTCTGCACTCACTACCTCAATCCGGCGGTTGACCAGGATGATCGTGTACTGGTTGTTCACCAGGGACAATTCCATTGTGGCGTTCAGCTGTACGACGGGTCACAGCAGCGCCGCCGCCACCGCAGGTCGGGGTACCCGTATCTCCCATTGGTTCCGTGGAGTGGCCAGCGGATCCAACTCCAACTTGTGAATGAGCTTGTTAGTGGTGATGCTCAGTTACAAACGCTGGTTGATGAGGGTGGTGATAAGGGATTTCTGACACAGGCGGTGCTGAAGACAAGGTTGACATTGAAGGGGTACGATCCGGCAGTGGAGCTGTTGCTAGGGCTTGAGCCGTTGCTGGGAGATCAGGGCGGCAGTAACGGAGTTTATGAAGATGAGGAAACGCTTGACGAACTTCCGATAAATCTAGACTCCTGGTGGGCGCATGGGAGCGTTCCCGACCTGGTTCTCACGCGTAGCCAGATCACGGCAGCTGAGGACGGCTACGTGGAAGTTTTGGCAAACAATATTCAAGCTTACTTGGAAGCTACCGCAGGTATGTCTTCTGAACCACATATCCCGGCATCAATATTAGTGCTGACCTAGCGCTAACAATCTGCAGAGCCACAAAAAACGAGAAAAGCATCGAATCCGGTGAGAGTGGACTACGTGATTGTCTTGACCGATTACTTCGATGGAGAGCTTGTGCATCGCGCCGTGTGGAAGGCTCTCGGGCACGAAGTTCCTATTTTTGGTTCGTTAAAGGAAATCACTATGGTGGCAGAGGGTGCCGCGAGGTTGGCGTGGAAGCGGAGGGAGAATCTGCTGCTGCTGAGGCGGGAGAGTCTAGAGGATAGACATGATGAGCTTTGATGGGAATACCGAACTTCTCAGGACGGTTGAAAGATGTACGATATGCGTCACAGGAACCATTGTAGAAATCATTATATGTGCCCGAATATCCCTTTCGCAAAATAGTTCCACCACTGTAAACGTGTAAGGCAATTCTGTGAGCCGCTATTTTGCAACTATTTCTATTGAATTTATTCTAATAGCTAGATTATTATACACTATACTATACTTTACACAACATCTCTCTCCACAAATTCAGCTATTTTTTAAACTCACTCTCCTTCTTCAACCAGGTGGCAAAGTCCATCATCTCGGGATGGATCTCCCTCAACTTCGGAATATCAGCCTTATATCCCTCATTTCGGAACCACTGGAACATATATCCCATATCCTTCATCATGGCCATAAATAACGAGCATACCGGGCGGAACGTCATAGGCAGTGGCCGTCCAGTCTTCTGTTCAAAGATTAACCCCATCCCCTCAAAGGTCAGTTCATCACCAGCCAGTGAAAGCGCTCTGCCCTTGTACTTTTCCGGATTGAGAAATGCTTCAGCGCCAAAGTATCCAATGTCGCTTGTGGCGACGAGCTGCAGCGGCTTACCCGCCAATGCCATCTTGAAGCATGTGGTGAAAACCTTGCCGAAGAAATCCGGAGTCAGATTTTCGAAGAAGGCGGCCGGGCGCAGAATCACCCAGCCCATGTTGCCATCTTTGCTGTGGTTGACCAGATGGTGTTCGATGTTATGTTTTTTGATGAAATGAGGTATCTTGGTGGGATTTCGGAACGAGTGCTCCTCACCGCCGCGGTCAACTGAACTGTAGACGAAGAACTTGACCTTTTGACGGATGGATTCGTCTATCAACGCTTTTCCTTGCATTTCTTCGGCCTTGTTTCCAATTGCGGCCTGACGAGATACAGTCAATATGGGCGAATTATATCAAGAATTAATCTAAACACATACCTGCACACTATATACCCCCCAGATGGGAGATGTCGTCAGGCGTTGAGCATTCCGAAAGATGGCACCCGGGTCATCCAGGTCGCCTTCCACTAGTTTAATTTTCGTAGATAGACTAGCCAGCTTCTGGGCAGATGAGGAGGATGGGTTCCTGGTGACGGCGAGGATCTCGAAGGGGGCCTTTCGAAGTAGGAGATTCCTGATGAGGGCACCCCCTTGTTTGCCGGTTGCACCCGTGATAAGAACGGCAGTCATGGTGACAGGTAAGAGGAGTTAGATGTGAAATTAATCCATCTACCTAGGAACCCTTTTATAGATTGTGTATCACAGATGCAGATTTGGTTTATCAGCAATAAAGTTTCGGCCTCATGAAACTTACCCGTATTATTAACGTACGGTAGATTACATCACCCCTTACTTCTCGGGGTTTATTTCAGGCCCGAGATTATCGACACCCCGAATTCAAGATCCCTCGCAGTTCACTTGTGCCCCGTCGCTGTAGACTTTTCATCCTACTCTCTTCCAGGTAAACTTGCAACAGTTCGTATTCCATCATGCCTTCAAATTCCCTGCGCGATAACGTCTCCCGCCGCAAGGATGCCTCTCCCCTCGGCAGAGGCATCTTCATCGGGCTTCGTGCCCTAGATGTCTGGTGGCAACACCATCTACTCACCCGCGGATGGGCTACACGAGCCATCGAAACGCTTGGGGGTCAAGCAGTCTCAACAAGCCATATTATATCTTCTACAAACTTTACGGGCCTTCAACCTTACTATGGTCTCGTGAACCTGCTCTCCCTTGGCAGCAGCATCAAGCAGATTGCGACCATGATCTTCATTTCCGAGCAAGAGACCCCCGTGGCCTCCGCCATCATTGTCGCCGCATTCAACACTATCATCAACTCCGTGAACACTCTTCTGTCTGTTTGGGCCGTGACCTCCCAAGTGCCCAGCACCCTATCTTCCAACAACTCTTCCAACTTCTTACTCGCAAATCCTCTTGTTGCCGTGGGCGCAGGCGCATACCTCATCGGCATCCTAACTGAAGCAGTCTCCGAATTCCAACGGACAGCTTTCAAAAAAGACCCCGCCAACAAAGGCAAGCCTTATGGCGGTGGACTGTTCTCCCTCGCCACAAACATCAACTACGGTGGATATACTATTTGGCGTACTGGCTATGCCCTGGTCACTGGCGGCCTGCCTCTGGCGGCTATAAACTTTTCTTTCTTCTTCTACGACTTTGCGGCCCGTGGGGTCCCGGTGTTAGACGCGTATTTGACAGACAGGGTAAGACTTCTTTAACATTGGCTAAAAGGAGAAGAATGGCTAATGGTCGTTATCTAGTACGGTGACGAGTACAAGGAGATTAAGTCGCGCGTGAAATATCGTCTCATTCCGGGGATTTATTAAACTTGTCCATAGCAAAGGATTATTGTAGTGCTTTGTTCCAATATAATTATGTTTGAGTAGCTTCTCTTTATTCTACTAGTTCATTCTAGTAGATGTTGGGTGTTTTGAATTACGTTGCCTAACCTTCCCTATGTGGTTTTCAGGTCACGAGCAAGAGAGATGCAGTTCAGTCTGGTCAAGAACAATTGCAGGTGCTCCCCATGCAAACGGTTATCAAATATACGCATCACCCAGGCACAATCAACATTTTCTAGTAAGCATAGAAACTATTGGAAGTAAGAATATGCCATGTGGGTACCAAGGTACCGGATCCACCCAAGTTTGAAGATTGACTTTGTAATCCAAGCCCGCAACAAATGAATCAGCTCGGGGTTGTTATAGTCGCCGGGGGCGCCAGCTTTAAAGACCAGGACCACCAGTAGGCCATATAAAGATCTCCATTAGACTCTGGAGTATACCCACATAATTTAACATTTTCTCCTCGTACACTTCACAGAATCCATATTATCAACAACATTAAAGAATTATCGAGATGAAGGTCGGAATTGCAGGAATCACGGGCAAATTTGCCCGCCGCCTTCTCACCCACCTCCTTGACGCTGGTGACGACTCCCTGACTATCAGAGGGTACTGCCGCAGCCCTTCGAAGCTCCCAGACTTCGTGAAATTGTCTCCCAAGCTTGAGATAATTGAGGGCGCCGCGTTTGACCAGAACACAATTGCCACCTTTGTCCAAGGCTGCGACGTTGTTGTCTGCTGCTACCTCGGCGATGACAAGCTCATGGTGGACGGCCAGAAGCTCCTCATCGACGCTTGTGAGTCGGCTAACGTTCCGCGCTACGTGGCCAGTGACTGGGCACTGGATTACACCAAATTGAAACTGGGCGAGTTGTTCCCTAAGGATCCCATGATCCACGTCAAGAACTACCTCGATACGGAGAAGAAGAAGATTGCCGGAGTGCACATTCTCATTGGTGGCTTCATGGAGCCCATCTTCAGTCCCTTCTTCAACATTGTGGATACGCAGACCAATACTTTCTGGTACTGGGGTGATGGTAATGAGATCATGGAGGGAACGACCTACGATGATGCCGCCAAGTACACGGCAAAGGTGGTCTTGGATCCAGAGGCAAAGGGTGTGTTGAAATGTAAGTCGGGCTTGATTCCGATATTCCTCACTTACGTATAAATGAGTTTCTTAAATGGGTCAGTTGTTGGAGGCCGCGCTACCATCCAGGAAATTGCCAAGTCGTATGAGAAGGTCTACGGTACCCCGGTGATACTGGAGAAACGCGGGTCTCTCGAAGACTTGTACAAGACCATGCATGACAAGCGAATGAAGAGCCCTCAGGATATCTATAGCTACATGTCTTTGTACGTCTACATCACAAGTCCCTCTTTCAATAAATCGGTCATGACTAATTTAGTATTCCTTCCATAGGTTCTTCTACTATTACTGGATCAACGGGCAGACCTTTGTTGGGCCGGAGTTGGACAATGCCCGTTATCCGGATGTCCAGGCAGTCGACTGGGAGGGCTTCATGAAGAGCTGGTCTCAGGAGCAGATTGGGACATCTTACTTTGCGTTGAATATGTAGGATGTACTGTTATAGTTTTCTGATTAGCATATGGCCTTGAGATAACAACCTGGCAGTCCAGGTACAACATTCCCATTTTGACCGTCTATCTGGATCGTCCGTAATCTGAATACAAGGGAAACACTATAAGATACCCGTGGGTGATTTACACTTCTAGCGAGCAGATTAACCAGATCCTTGAGGCCAGCATGATCAAGAGACACATATTAAGTTCCAAAGCAATCGGATCAAGTTCAGGACCATGAACGGGGAGTTTATTGCACCCTGCGTATGTATCGGTATCTGCTTGGACAGTAAACCCCATTATTCCAGATAGCATCTAATTCAATAAAAGCTCAGTTGCCAACTCCAGAAGCATCCAGCCACCGAGCCAGTTGCCTGGCCCGACCAGCCGCGTCTTCCAACGAGACATAACCTTCGCGGTTGCCCTTGGCAAAGTCGATCAGGGTCCGTTGAACAGAGCGGGCCTTGACCGGCACTTCCAACTGCTCCTCTGACCACGCCCATTCCACCGCTTCCACCGTGTCCGTGGCATGTTGGTGGATCGAAATGGTCGCCGGGTTCTGGTACGCATCCGCCTGCAGTGAAATCCCCGCGGGCGCCGACAAGCGAATGGCTCCCGCTTCACAGTTCAGCGTCCACGAGAGCGACGGGTCTCCCGGAAAAGGTTGACCTCGCGCAAAGTATGCCACTAGGCTGGCCCCGGGAACTGTATAAGGAGATTCTGGCAGGGACCCTGTGGTCTGTCAGTGCACCGTGCAGCATTTATATCGTGGCCCTGCAGGCTCCTGGTCATACCATGCACACTCAGTAAATCTGGCACGTCCGAGTCAACCTCTTCCACGATCTTCTGCGTCTGGGGATCACGAATGCGGATGCGGGGCCGCTGGATCTGAGTACGCGCTTCATCGGTGCCAGCAACTACATCTCCTACGACGGATTGGACATAATCAATCACTATGCTCAGGTCAGTGTCAATCAGCTGCTGCATTGACCTCACCGCAGTGAGCCAGAGGAAGGCACGGATCAGGACGAACTATGGCCAAAACCAATGACGATGGGATTGCCGCCGACCTCCTTCTGCGAGAAATACTTCAGGCCCGGAGGCAAAAACTCTCGATCGAGGGTACCGCCAAACCCGCGGACCTCCGTGCTCAGCAGACGACCCAGCTGGCCGGAGCGCAAGATCTCCTTGACTTTGAGCACGGCGGGGGCAAAGCGGCCCTGGAGGCCCACGGCCACCGACGCCCCACTGGCACCCGCCACGGTGAGCAGCTCGTCGACATGGGTCAGCGAACTGGCAATGGGCCACTCAATATAGACGGACTTGCCGGCGCGAATACTGGCTAGCACCGTCTCAAAATGCTTGTCGACGCGAGTATTGCAGATGACGAGGTCGACGGCGGGATCGGCAGCCAGCTCATCCGGGTTGCCATAGGCTTTGACGGTGGCCGGGTCCAGCTGGTAGGTGCGGATGGCGGATTCTGCAGCGGCCACACTGCTGTTGCAAAGAGCCGTGATCTGGTAGTGAGAGCGACCGGTGGTGCTCTGGAGTGCTGGCAGATGGGCATCGGCCGCCCAGGAGGTGATGGCGGAGGATGACAGGCCAATTAGAGCTGTGCGAAGGGGCGTAGTGGGCATATTGGCAAAGACAGAAACTAAAACTAGTAGTAGTACTTAGATGAACTCTGTGTAATTTCTCAACATCGCGGAGTGTCCCTTTCCCTGCTCGTGATGCATGATATATAGTTGACGATGAAGTCGGGGGTTTACTAATACATCATGTGTCTTACGCTTATGCAGGGTGAGATGATTAGAAATCAACAATGGCGCCATCCCTCGAGCACGAGATGGCCCATGCAAGATAACTTTAGTACTATTGCAATGGAAGATGTGGTCTAGCAGTGCAGTCGTACTTGATAGTAGTAGTGAGTGATCTGCCTGACGTACAAGTCCGTTCGGGAAGTATCGGAAGAGAAAACACATTTCCGCTGGAGCGCGGACTCACCAGCGCGGGCGGGATGTGGACTGGGTCTTTGTTTTGTTTGTGTTGACGGCTGACTGGAGCGGAGGGAACTTACAAAGCAAACGACTAGTTAAGTAAGTAGTAACTAACACATTCCGCTCGGCCTTGTCATTGTTTACCCGATCAAGTGACATCAGTTGCTGCTCCAACGGCGACTCTTCCTCCGCCCGGTTGGGTCGATCGAACTCTGAGATTTTGAGTTAAACTCGCACGAGGCGGGTTCCACCCACCAAGTTGCATATCCGATCGAACACGATTCGATCGGGGGGAGAGACATAGAGCAGATCGATAGTTGATCGGAGGAGCTTATCGAGATCCTGATCGGCAGGCATATCTAACAGCCTGCGCCAGGTCCGTCTTATATACCCGATGCAGGCAGAGTATTCCGTATATATGCCAGGGAATGAATCGCCATGACTGCACCTTGCATGGGTCGAGGGTCCAATCGGCCACCGCCCGATTGATCGGGTGCCTGACTCCGAAGCGACCTGCTGCCTCAGGCCGGTATCGGTTAGAAGCCCGGGACGTCAGGCGGCAGATGAGTCAGCCGTGGCCCAACGGCGTCCAGGCTGGATTGGGACTAGCGCCAGGCCGACGGGGGTCTGGCCCGGCGGGGAGAGCGGGGCGGGCCGCCAATGAGCAAGGCAGGCGGGCGGCGCAAAAGCCGGTTTTGGCGGCTGGGAGATTCTCAGCGGCGGGTTCCCTCGCCGGCCAGTCACACGTCGCTTAGTTTCAACTTCCTGCTCAGTACTAACTTATCTCCAGTAAGTAGTAGGAGGAGGAGGAGGAGTAGGAGTAGGAGGAGGAGAGTGGTACAGTAGCAGTAAGTATCTAGTAACTACTAGCGACTAGTAGTCGACCATCTCCAATTTCCCTATCCTTGTGTGTGTGTGCGTGCGTGTGTCTCTTTCTCACCATCTCTCCATTCCATTCCACACCCCCTCCCCTCTCTCTTTCGCTTTCTTTCTTCTTTTCTCTCTTGTCCCCCCTTCCCTTCTTCCTTACTCCTCCTATTCCCCTCTAGGACTACTATCCTCCTTTTCCCGCTAATTCCCCACATTCCTTCGTTTGCCCACCACCATCTCTTGCCGTCGTCCGCCTCTCTTTTCCTCTGCTTCCCTCGCTTTCTTTTTCCGACTGTGGCTTCTGCCTTCCTCGGGTTTTTTTTCCCCCTCTCCAATTCGTTTTCGCTCTTCCTCCTTTGCCTTAGTTTCCTTCTTATCTTCCATCCCTCTTCCCTCCTACGATATGCCAGCAGCGTCCCGTGAGTGATGGCGGCTTCCTTTCAGCACCCTGAGGCTGAGCGGGAGAGAATTCGTGACTTGTCCCGGTATGTCATAATAACTCTCCGCCTTTTCCCCGAGAGGATCAGAGCAGATCAGATCCTCCCTGCAATGTCGATCCCCACCTTCTCCCCCTTCCTCTGAATACATACTATCATAACGACGACAAAACTCTGACCAGCATTGCGCTCGCATCGTCTCTCTCACAGGTACTATTGCACCGTTGATCGTCCCGCCCTCCGTCTGGAAGCGGCCGCAGAAGAGACTCACTCTGCCGCCGATGGGGATGCCTCCACCACTCCCGACGTCCGGCTGTCGTCCGACATCACTCTCACGGCACTGGCCCAGCTGGCTGTCTTTCGCTTTGCCTGCAATCGCGCTTTCATCTCCATTATCGACGGCTCCAACCAATACCTGATTGCCGAAGCCACCAAATCCATCTCCTTGCGCGATAAGGATCAGCATGACCCCGACGATGGCATCTACCTGGGGGTCCGCACCCTCGACCTAGTCTGGGGGGTCTGTCCCCATTCCATTGCCCTGTTTACCGGTCAGGATCCGTCCAAGCTCGTCGACTCTATCAACGTGACCGCCAATACCTCCCGTTTCGTCGTTCGGGACTTCACCCAGGAGGACTTCTTCAAAGATCGGCCCTATGTCACCGGATGGCCCTATTTCCGCTTCTACGCTGAGGTCCCGCTGTACAGTCCCGCCGGTCATGTTCTCGGCTCCTTTTGCGTCATCGACGACAAGCCGCGCTCCGTCTTTGGGGATCGGGAAATTGCCTCCCTGCGTGAGGTGGCCGATGCCGTCACCCAGCACCTCGAACACGTTCGCATCGCCCATTCGCATCGCCGCGCCGAGAGCCTCGTCAAGGGTCTGACCAGCTTCGTGAAAGACCATCCCGCCTTCGACCCGACCGACATGCCGGGCCCCAGCCAGGGGGCGACGTTGGTGCCGACCACCGAGCCTGCACCCCCGCAGCCCCTGTCGTTAACCGACGACCCGCTGCGAACTCCTCCCACACAGCTCCAGTCCGCCTCCTCGGAAATGACGGGGGAGTTGGCCTCGTTATTCTCTGCGGTCACTTGCTCCGAGCTCACCGCCACCTCGACCTCCGTGAACGTGCCGGGTCCACGCCCCTTCCCGGTCGCGGTCCCGGACGAGGCCCTTCCGCCCGACGGATCGGAGACGCACGATTCCAGCGTGGTGGTGTCCGACCACACCGAGTATCCGGTCGTGTCAGTCATCGAACGCGAGGCCCGCTCTGAAAGCCTGTCGCGCATCTTCACCCGCGCCAGCCTCACCCTGCGCGACTCCATGGACCTGGATGGGGTGATGTTTCTGGACGCCTGTCGGTGTAATGCCGGAGTGTGAGTACCGTGTCCCGCCTACCGATCGCAGAGGCGTATTAACGAAATCAAGCAGTGTTCGCCCCGGCCACCCCGGGTCCTGGGAGCCTCTCCCTACCACCGCTAACCCCGAGTTTCTCGCCGATCCCTACCCCAGCCCCGTCGACTTGCCCGGGGTGGGCTCCCTTTCCAACATATCGGAGAAGCCGTGTGAAGTACTAGGGAGCGCACAACAAGATGAGGTCTGCGCCAGTCAATCCATCACGGAGGCCCTTCTCAATCAAATGATTGCCGCCTTCCCTCACGGCCAGTTCTTTAATCTGCAGGACTGGATTGACGAGGAGGGTGGTCAATCCCTGTCGCCCTCGTTAGAGGAGCGGTCGGAAGGAGATCATACCATGTCCAACATCTGCCGTCGACTTCGCCAGCATCTACCAGATGCCTACTGTGTGCTCTTCTACCCATTATGGGACTGGAATCAATCGCGCTGGCTGGCGGGCACCCTGGTCTGGACCCAGGCCAGCAATCGCGCGCTGGGCGTGGATGAGCTGCATTACTTCAAGGTGTTTGGGGACTCGATCATCTCCGAGGTGGCCCGCGTGGATTGGGCCAGCACCCAGCAGTCCAAGTCGGATTTCATCTCCTCCGTCAGCCATGAGCTGCGGTCGCCACTGCATGGCATCCTGGCCAGCGCAGAACTGCTGCAGACGACCCCACTGCATTCGAGTCAGGCTCACTGGATGAACATGGTCAAGAGTTGTGGATTGACTCTGCTGGATACCTTGAACCACCTGTAAGTAGTGTCTTGCCCATTGATGGTTTCCCGCACCACCTCCGGCTAATTGCAAAACAGCTTGGACTTCGCCAAGATCAACAACTTGACGACGACGGAGGAGGCCAGCCCCGACCAGTCCAAGCCCAGCGTGACCAATCTTTTAACCGTATTCGACCTCGACGACCTCATCGAAGAGGTCACCGATGTCCAGTATACGGGCCAGCGATTGGCCCAGGCGGTGGCTCCCTTGACGGGACGCCCGGCGCAGCCGACCTCTACGCCGCCGGATGGAGAAATCACAGTCGTGGTGCGTGTCCAGGAGCGGAGCATGTGGAAGATCCAGTCTGTCGCTGGTGCCTGGCGACGCATCGTCATGAACCTGCTGGGCAATTCGTTGAAGTGGACCAAGGCCGGTTTTGTCGAGGTTTCGCTCTCCAAGGCCCGCCGCGAGTCCAATCCCCACACCGTCTTGGCGCATCTGTCCGTCACTGACACGGGTTCGGGCATTAGTCCGGACTTCCTCCGGCACAAGCTCTTCTCTCCCTTTACGCAGGAAGATGCATTGTCGGAGGGTCTTGGGTTGGGATTCAGCATTGTGCGCCAGCTGGTGGCCTCGTTAGAAGGCCACATCGACGTGCGCAGCGAGGTCGGCGTGGGGACGCAGGTCGACATCTACATCCCCGTGCACCCCAGCGCGGCGCATGCGTCCCGTCGCGGCAGCCCGGACGAATTCGCCACGCCACCGCCGCTCATGGCCGCCTGCCTGATCGGATTTGACGGTTATCCCAATCCGCGAGAAATCCCTACGGGCATCCTGCCGGCGGAAGCCAAACGCAAGCTGGCCATTCGGAGCTCGCTGACTTCGGTGCTCGCTCAGCAACCAGGCTGGACGCTGGCACTGGCCGAGTCCTTGGACCGCGCACAGGGCGACGTAGCCGTGGTAGAGCAGGGTGATTTGCTTCCGACGCCAGACAAACCATCTCCCCTCGATTTGATGATGCAGCGCGGATTCAGATACTTCATCGTACTGGATAGCAACAAGCCATTGCCGCAAGTCGAAGCGCTGGCACCGAATGTGGTTCGAGTATCTCAGCCGTATGTGGACCTTACAACCTACCCCCTTTCGTGATCTGTTCCCCATGCTAACAGTCGGATAGCTTCGGACCACAAAAATTTGACGACGCCATCCGGCGAGTGCAGACTTTGGCCCGTGAAGCTGCGCTGAATCGCCCGCCGTCGCGACCGGCACCAGTGCCACTGCAGCCCTCCCTGTCCGCATCGCCCGCTCTGACGCCGCCGAGTGGCCCAGATTCGGCCATTGATTTCGGATCCCCCTGTACGCCCTTGGAGCCCGCCCACTCTCATCCGCCCAGTAAGGCTCCCAAGGATATACATGTTCTCATCGTAGACGACAACGACATCAATCTCAAGGTTCGTCGAACACACCCCCCATGTTCTTGCATGGCATGGACTGATTCTGGTGCATAGATTCTGGCGACGTTCATTCGAAAGATCGGCTGCAGCTACGACACTGCGTCCAATGGACTTCTTGCTTTGAACACGTACAAGGAGGCCACTCGGCGCCACGATCTCATCTTAATGGGTAAGACTCCTGTCCCTGTTTTGGCACCCGCAGTGAAATTGACCGTGCGGAATAGACATTTCAATGCCCGTCATGGACGGCATCGTTGCGACGGACCACATCCGACGCTACGAAAAGAAGAACGGCCTCATTCCCTCGCGCATCATCGCGGTGACCGGACTGGGGTCGGCGGACCGGCAGCAACAAGCGCTGTCGGCTGGGGTGGATGAGTATTTGGTCAAGCCCGTGTCCCTACACGGGCTGAAGAAAGTGATGCGGATTTCATGATGACGACTCTTGCACGATACCTCTTCTCCTCATCGTTTGTACAAAAGCATACCCCCTGGCGGGGGCCTTGGGGTGCCCCTTGGTGTGATATATCTTCCAGTAGACAAATGTATATACGAAGTTTTGCCTGGACGGCTGGGATAGTAAAGTGATGCTGCTGCTGGTGTGTCGAGCGCTCCGAAGATCTGGTCTCCGTGTGGATCACCCGGTCAGAAGTACCAAGCCAGCGCGGAACTCAGTCCATACAGAAGTCCGGCGGGATCTCGAGACCCGGACAGGACTGGAGGGTTCTATGCAACCAGCGAAACCGCGGGCGGGTGCCTGGCGAATCGGGCAAACTGTCAACAGCCATCTTTCTGTTCTTATAATGCTATCCTGGAATGGGGCTGCTTGCTGCAGGCTGAAAGAGCTAAGTAGCGCAATACAAATGATTCTACTTATCATAATCTTAAGTTTGTCGGCATTGTTAAAACCAAGGCAAATCTCTAGGGTGAAAGTTAATATACGATGATCCTTGTTTCAAGCTTCCGAGCTATATTCTATGCCTCTTAAGGAGTAACATTTACTTCAACTCTTGATAACTGTAATGCTTCCCAAGCTGGGACTCGGGAAATGATCTCCATTGTATGCTCTTATTTTTGGTGGCTTTGACTGTGAATATATATTTTCTGAACATAGCTTTTCTCTTCTTGGTGAATGCTTCTTGTCTCTAGCTCAATCTTAAACTGGCATAATTTGTTTTTTTGGTTATGCTGATTTGGATATTGAAGCAATAGAGAATAAATATTTGTCTCATATACTATTTATAACTGAGTAGAAGATGATGCTCAACAATCGGGTCTCAGCTAAGGATATGGAAGAAGACCGCGATTCAGCACCCAGTTCATACTGGTAGCGGATTAAGCAGAAGGCTGAACGCGTGCTGCGTCAGAGTAAAAATCATAACCTGTATATAAAGTCAGACGATACCTCGGTCGTGGTTCCTGTTAATGACCGCTCACAGCGTGATCTTACAAAATGTTTAGAGAAATCTGACATTGATTGGACTACTTTAAATAGACAGGTTAGTACATGACAAGATCTTCTTTGTCTGTCAAAGAAGCCTGCAGTCTTTATATTTATTAATTATATCAAGGACACTGACCCTCGTCAAGAAAGCCTGACAAAAGAGGAACCTCCTCAGTAATCAACAGAATGCTTCGTGAATGGGATGGTGAGATTGACGCCGGAATCTGCTCCGATAGCATCAGCGGCTCTCGAAACAAATTAGTATGCCACTCGCTTTTCGGACAGGATAATGTTTTCTTTCTGTGTTCTGACAGTGAGTTGACGACAGACGCAACGTTAAGCGCTGGGGGTGAAACGAAACGGTATAAAAGTACGGCCCAGTGAGCTGTGGGAGAACAGTGTACAGAAATTAGATTCTATTATGCTATGGCTTAATGTGATCCAGAACGTCCGTTTTATGATCCACTGTTAACTATGTTAAACGACGCAAAATTTAGTATCTGTGTGGCTGAATAACAGAGATGATCCAGTTTTGTGGACAGTTTTGGGATTGCTCTGCGAGTGCAGGCGCTTGTAGGCTGTGTCTAGTAATGCTGACCCTGCAGATCGAGTCACATATGACCACGTCATCATGTGGCTGCGAGGCTAGGATTTTGTCAGCCCGACTAGATGCCTAACGAGTCAACGAAGAATGATATAACAAGTACTGGGTCAGATTATTACAAGTTCAACAAGCTTAGTGCGAAGCAATTCATTTCTCATCGGTCAAATGGCGCAAGCTTTCGCCTATTCTCCTTTAGATCCGTCCTCTAAATGCATTAGGCTTCTCGAATTGCTGCCATCTGCAGCGCATGAATCGGTTCGCTGCAGACTACATGTTGTCGACGAAAAATGCCGTCCGTCTTACGTTGCTTTATCATACACCTGGGGTTCTCCGCAAAGCAGGCTATCGATTGAGTTGGACGATGCGGAGTTCTACGTGCAAGAAAATCTTTGGAATTTTCTGAGCACTATGAACTCTTGCAGGAGATGGCAGCTTTTCTGGATTGACGCTATATGTATCGATCAGTCCAGTATTTCGGAGCGGAATCACCAAGTCAACATGATGAGGGATATATATGCCGGAGCAACACTCACGGTGGTATGGTTAGGCCAAGGCTTTGATTCCAGTGACCTCGCCATTAGATATATCGCAAATCCAGGTTTACCAGCCAAAGGAACCACATCATCCTTGGAGAAAGCGTTACAAAGTCTACTGGAGCAGCCGTATTGGAGTCGCATATGGATCGTCCAAGAGCTCATGCTCGCAAAAGACGTCATATTTTACTGCGGCACAAATAGCTTTACTTGGCATCAATTGGCATCTCTTCGCCAGAAGATAAAAACCCATGTCGCCCGTCATGATTCATTCGGTATCTCGAAGTGTATAGGTTCGGTAATGGTCGCGCAGAAAACGCTATGGGATAACCTTCCCCAAGATGACCCGCACTTACCCCTCTCGGAATTGCTAATTACGTATGGAAGACATAAAAGTTCAGATGTAAGGGATAGAGTGTATGCACTGCTTGGTCTTTCTTCGGAAAACTCAATCCAGGCGGACTACAACCTATCTGTGGAAGACATATATATCGAGGTACTGGAAGCAATCTGCAAAGAGAGAAACCCCAGACACCAGCTCTCTACCATCGAACATACGTTACAGGAAATGTTGGGCCTCAGGAGACCACGGACCTCAAGTGGCCATCCTACACCTAGAGATGCCTTTGCGATCAGGGTACTGGAACTACGGCGACAGAACCTTGGCAATACGCACCCCCACGTTCTTGAAGGAGTGGCCAGTCTCGCACAGCTATACAATGAGCAGGGCCAATCAAAGTTAGCTGAGCAAACCGGAATTGAGGTACTGCAAATGCAGAGAGAAATACTTGGTCATAAACATCCTAGCACTCTTCAAACCATGGCGAACCTTGTGTCAATTTACCTCCGGCAAGGCAGGCTTGACAAGGCCGAGAAAATGGGGAGTGAAGTATTGCAGCTGCAAAAAGAAGTACTTGGTGAGAAATCTCCTGATACTCTTCGAAATATGACAAACCTTGTGTCAATATACCGTCAGCAAGGCAAGCTTAAGGAGGCCGAGAAAATGGGGAACAAACTATTGCAGCTGGAAAGAAAAATACTCATTGACAAATATTCTGATATTCTTAAAAGCACGCGGAATCTTATGTTGAGATACCACGAGCAAGGCAAGCTTAAGGAGACTGAGAAAATTTGGGATGAAGTGTTTCAATGCATGGCAAACCTTGTGTCTATATACCGCGAGCAAGGCAAGCTTGAGGAGGCTGAGGAATGGGGGGGCGAAGTGCTTCAAAGCATGGCAAAGCTTGTGCCAATATGCGAGCATGGCAGGCTTGGGGAGGCCGAGAAAGTGGTTGACATAGTGTTGCAATGCATGGCAAACATTATGTCAATATACCGTGAGCAAGGCAAGCTTAAGGAGGCCGAGGAGGTAGGATCCGAAGTGTTTCGACATATAAGCATGCTTGTGTTGAAATGGAATATGCAAGGCAAGCTTAAGGGGGCTGAGAAAATAGGAGAGAGAGTATTGCAGCTGCAAAGAGAAGTATTTGGTGAGCAACATTTTTATTCTCGTCAAAGTATGCGAAATCTTAGTCTCACATATTCTCAACAAGGCAGGTCTGAGAAGGCTACAGAAATGAGGAATAGATTGTCCCAAGCAGAGCAAGTCATGAGTGAATAGATCTTGAGCAAGACAAGCTTAAGAAGACTGAGAAAATAAAGAACGAAGTATTGCAGCTCTAAAGAAAAGTACTTAGTACTAAGAAATATCCTGATCCTCTTTGAAGTATGGCAAACCTAATCCACTGGGGGCGAGGCATTGTATACGTATTTTCATTAGAATTCCCACAGTTTATATAGGGCCGATTTCTTCATATAAAGTATAAGTGATGGGCGGGAGAAGGAATATGGCGCAATTACTATCTCAAAGAACTTCCACTATATATTAGTAGAGTTCCACCCGATAGATCAACACAGGTTCACTTGAACTTATGAAATTGGATCCACCCAATGCCAGATTGCAGTTGCTTGATAACTACTAGTAGTAATAACCTTGGATTGGCAACGTCAAAGGTCCAACCATACATGATTATCTATATACTGGAATGTGGTTCATGCCGGAGGTTGTAGGTCTGACTGACAAGTCGTCAAAGTCGCCAATATGGAGGTTTGGTATTCTTGATCCAACCAGAAGATGAATTTTAATGACTGCAAATATTGTATTTCTTCAGGCAGGTTGTGCTAGTGCTTTGATGAAAAGAAAGAACAATGTTAAGTACCTGGCAGCAGTCCAATTGCTGGATACCAGGAATTGTCTTTATGTAGTCGCATCACTGGGACGCTATCTAGAAACAAGGTTGCAAACCTTGCATAGACTATGACACGGATCTTACAGACCAAGGGTTGGATACATCCTACGTCCTCCACGGTCCTGCTCTACGTTAAGTTGTCTCCAGACCCGGCACCAAAGGTGCACACTAATTTTGTCGGGCATTAGTGGCGCAAGAGACCGGCCAAGACATGCCGCGAATATGCAGATCAAATTTCAGTCAAGAGGGCCTGTACCGGTAAAAATCGAAGAGATGGCGTCGTCCCAGGTAGACCTCGAATGCATCTTCACGCAGGGACGAGCCCACTGGAGACCTAGTCTAGATGGCTTGATCGCCCGCACGTAGTCGGCCTGCGTATGATTATCGGGTTTGAACTTTTGAGGGGTAGACGCCGGTCACGGCCCTTATCAATGAGTTGAGAATGCGAAGAGTAGTTCTACCCAACCATCTAGGCGTTTGAGAACCACCCACACAGTGGCAGACGGTAGTTAAAGGCTATGACATCTGCGAAATGACATCTGAGACGGTCAGGAACCCCCTTCGGAATATACGGACCGATCCTTGGGTAGGACGGCATCTCGCAACATGGCCTGGTACAAGGGGTCCAGCCCCCAGTCCCCCGACCAGTCCGCCATGCGCCGTCCGTTCTTGAAGTGCTCCGCCAGATGATCTGCGCGTGCTGCCCACGTCGACAAGACTACTTGGCAAAATCCACACCGGCTTTGCACATCGTTCGTGACAACGCGACAGGCCTCAACGCGTAGGGCGGGGACCGTCGTGCAGTGATGAAATTTGCGAAAGTGCTGGATCAAGTGGTCTTTGCGTCGGAAGGAACGTTCCGATAGCGGACGATCCGCGCACACATCGAACTCATGGGTCGAGAAATGTGATTCAGTAAGTGGAGAGTAATCGCAGAAATCGCATCGTAATACCTCCGAGCCGGCCAGATCCAGAACGCCCGATCCCACGCTACATATCCACGACTCCAACGACAGGTGTACGCTCTTTTCATGACGGACCCAATCATGCTTTTTCTTGAAACCGTCCACACAGAAGGTACACTGGTATGGGCTCGCCGCTGCCGACTGGCGTCTGGGCCGTCTGCGACGGGACTGGGATCGCGGCCGCCCATCCGACAGTGGGAACGGCACATAGCTCTCGGACTGATGACTCCAGGCGGATGAGAAACTCTCAGACGAAGCCAGCGACGTTTCGCTATCGATGCTCGAGATGGAGGATGCGAAATGGTGAGAGCTGGGACTTGCATTGCCAGAGGTGCTGGGGTGATTCCAGGGAGCATCCGTGTCGGCAGCGGCAATAGCTTGCTGAATAACCGACTCGGATACAGGCTCTTGGTCCGGCGGGGATCGCTGCCAGCGTTCCATTGGAGTCAAGGCCGCCGACCGAGCGATGGGCATTGGGGAGCCACTCCGGAAGATCTGACTCGGTCGGGAGGTGCGGTGGACCATCCGGTGGCGCCGCCGGGCATTGGCGAACCAAGTAGATATCTGCTTCTCAGTGAGGCCGGTCTGCTGGGCAAATGCAGCTTTCTGTTCGTCTGTGGGATACGGAGCGTGTTGATTGCGATACAGCCAATCCCGCAATATCTTGGCTCCTTTTCGAGAGAACCGCGGCTTCTGCTGTACGTCCTCTTCTGTTCTTTCCTGGCCATGCGCTGATTGCACCTGGTCATTTGATGAGGCCGACACTGGAAATGCGTGCGGAGTGGGGAACAGCTCCTCCTCGGTCCACTCGGTTACGCCATGTAGATGATTGAACACGGGGGAAACGGTCTCGAAGCCTGCAGGGTGACGCTTCTCGCCACGGGCGAGGCTACATTCGCGGAAGAGCGCGACGCAACTGGAACAGGCGGTGACGTGGTTCGGATTGGCCGGGGTGGTGCGAATGACAAGGCACTGCAGTCGGTGTTGTTGACAGTAGGTGCAGGGGACAGGAGGCCGATAGGCGCCAGCGAGCCACTGGGAGACATTGACATAGTCATCGGGCGGGGGGATGATCGTCGTGTCGTCAGTTGGATCCGGCTGCGAGGTCCCGAAGTTATCGGGGGAAAGCATGTCCAGCGAGCCGCAATCATTCTGCGAGTAAGAAGGAGACAGAAATGAGAGCGCCTCCGCGTTTACCAAGCCTGGGACAGCATCTGGGTATGCGGAGGGCAGCCAGGGCGCCCAGTGGTCGTCGTCGGTGGATGGCGGGGGAGGGGGATGGGAGGATTCGGCCATGACGTGGGAAAAGGTAGTCAGTTATAGGGTGACAGACCACCGAAAGCAGATTTCTAGGACGAGTGAACTATGGGAGATGCCATGGTGAAGAGGATGGAAGACAGTCCACAAGAGAAGGGAAGAGAGAAGTTCGACATGAAAGGTAGACGAGGAGGAGAATTGGAAAAGAACAAGGGAAGAGCTGCTACATTTGGGAAGGCGGGCAGACACTCCGGGCCCCTTCCCCCCCTCCACCGCCTGCTGGTTTCGCAGAGCCGTCGGCGAATTCAGCCCGTGATTGGCCTGAGGGGTTGAGGCTTGAGTCACCGCATGACTAATCGCCATGAACTTCGCCGATCGGGCACATCACATCACATGAATAGTACTAGCGATTGCGAAAGGTGTTCCAATTCTGCATTTTTTTGCTCTTCTACATCGCCTGTCCCATATATGCATAGTGTCTGTCTCTATCATCTGTCTCTATCATCTCTATTTACAGAACTGCTGGATGAATTGCCCCAGAATCTCCCGGAGCTGCCGCACACTATCCACCTCCACCCATTCTTCGCGCGAGTGCAAGCCTGCCCCCGATGGGCCAAACACCACACTCGGGGTCCCTGCCTCGGTGAGCAATGCAGCATCGCACCAGAACGGAGCACTTTGGACTGGGGGAGGTTTCTCGAGAACACCCGCACCCAACTGGACCAATTGCTGCACCACAGGATGATCCTTGGGAACATGCTGGCTAGGGCGCCAGAGCGTGGTGCGCGGCTCTCGGTACTGGAAGTCGGGATGCTCTTGACTCAGTCGCTGTAAGATGGCACCCAGCTCGGCCAGAATCTTCTCGTTGGTCTGCACCGGCACAGTACGGTACTCCAGAGTCAGTGTGCAGCTGGCGGGATACGAGGACACTTCCTCTCCGCCCTGGATGACTCCACAGTGCAATGACCCCGGTCCCAGCACCGGGTCAACCGGCAGTTGTGCCTGGTACTCGCGCAATGCCTGGAGCAGGTGGCCCATATTCAAGATGGCGTCCACCCCATCCGCCGGCTGGGAGCCGTGGGCCGCTCGGCCTAGAATCTCCACTTCTACCCACACAAAGCCCTTGTGCGCGTGCGCGATGGCCATGTTAGTCGGCTCGAGGACTATCCCCGCATCAGCCCGCCAGCCAGCTGCAATCACGTCCTGGGTGCCCTGCGAAGCATCCTCCTCGTCTGCTACTGCTGCTACCATTACATCCCCGGCCAGTCGCTGCTCCCGGGCCACGAGAAGGGCCGAGAGCCCGGCTGCCAGACCGCCCTTCATATCCAACGTGCCGCGGCCAAACACGGCCTCCTTCCCATCCTTTACCCCCAGATGTCCTGTGAGCGCATCGCCGTCATAGGTGGTCAAACTGACTGTGTCGACATGTCCGTTCAGCATAACCGACGCTCCGCCGCCGGTGCCACGGACGATGCCCACCACAGAAGGCCGTCCGGGGGCCGTCTCGATGCGGTGGTGCTCGATGGCACGATGAGCGAACCAGGCACAGAGGTAGTTGGTGATGCCCGATTCCCCGGCACCCTGCGTCTTGGACAGAGTGGGATTGGAGGAGTTGATCCGCGTGAGCAACTGCGTCAGTGCCACCGGCTCATCCATGGAGACATCCATTGGCACCTCATAGGGGCGAGAGCCCTCGGTGCTGAGCAGCAGAATGACAGAATCCGGCGAAAAGAAGGCCGAGGGAGATGTAGCCTCCGCCTTGAGCCGACGGATGGCCGCCAGCGAAGCGGCACCACAGGGGCCGGCGTCGATTGACTGGGCAGCCAGGTCCTGCACGGCGCAGTGGCTCTCCCAGTCCGAGACTGTGAGGCTGACGTCGACCAGCTGTTGCAGTAGGAGCCAGGCGGCGGACGACACGGTGCCACAGTTCATGCCGGCCATGATGCTGGGACTGGTGACGACGGAGGTTGGGTGGCCTTGTTGCAAGCTGTGAGTCAGACAAGGTGCGGTATCCGGCTCCACGGCCACCACGGTGGCAGGCGTGTCGCGCGACTTATAGTAGGTGGCCACGGCTTGGGCGAAGGAGCCCACGCCCACCGGAGCCACAACGAGACTGTTCTGCAGGCCCAGGGCGTGCAGCTGGGTGTCGGCTTCCTGGAGCAAGGTGGCATAGCCCTCCACCACCCAGGCCGGAATCTCTTCGTAGCCTTCCAACGCCGTGTCCTGCACCAGGATGCTCTGGGACAGTTGGTTGGCGGCCGTGGCAGCTGTCTCGACGGCGTGGTCGTAGTCCCCATCCACCACCACCACTTCGGCTCCCTCGGAGCGGATCTTTTCCTGGGTATAGGTGTGCATCGTGCACGGAACGTAGATGCGGCATTGGAGCGACATCTGCTGGGCGACGCGGGCCACTGCACGGCCATGGTTGCCCTCAGTGGCCGCAAGAAGGGTAATAGGGGCGGGCTGGGCGCGCACCCGCTCGATCAAGGTGTCAAGTGGTGTGCCCTCTGGTAACTCTACAAAGGAGCGGATGGCCTGGTAGATGGCCCAGGAGGCGCCCAGGACTTTAAAGGAGGGTAGACCGAAGCGGTTGCTCTCCTGCTTAAGGTAAACAGCGCGCACGCCCAGTTCCTCGGCCACGGCGGGCAGCGCTACCAGTGGACTCGGCGCATAGCCGGGGAACTGTTGGTGGAAGGCCAGCGCCCCGGGGGATCCCGCCGGTGAGGTCGTGGACGAGCTGGGATTCACGTAGATGGGCCTGCGGAAAGCTGACATGACTATGGGATATCGTCTTGGTTGTTATTCATCCCACTGACCGAGTGGTGCAATTCCTTATATAACGGCCGGGAAAAAGACCTTCATTCCCGGTTGCCGAGAGGGATGCGCCCTCTCGCGACAAACCCTCCCTTCAACTTGTCTCCAGAAGGCGCAGAGGCAAACCCGAAAACTCAATCCCTCCCACGTTTTCTAATACATGTATATCCAATGACTGGGTATAAATCTCCAGTCAGACGGAAAAAATCCTGTAGAGTTCAGTAATCACAGCTGCACATCTCCCATCCGACCATGTTTGGCCGTACACTCACCCGCCAGTTATCGCGCCCGGCCTCGCGCCGCTGGCTGTCCACCGCGTCGGGTTCAGGTCTCCGCATCAACCCGGATCGTCTCATGGAGACTCTTCATCAAACGTGTGAATGGGGAGCTGCTCATCGCTACGGCGAGTAAGTGATGCGCCCGATAGAAACTTTCCCTGTTTTTGCTGGGATGGAACATTCAGTCTGACGGGGTTGAACGGCAGGGGACCGACAGAGACTGGCATGGCCCGACTCTGCCTGACCGATGATGATGCCAAAGTGCGCCATTGGCTGCGAGAGGAAGTTGAGAAGCTCGATTGCACCGTCACGGTGGACCAGATGGGCAACATGTTTGCCAGACAGCGAGGGTCTCTGGGATCCCCCGCGCCCATGACGGCCATGGGCAGCCATCTAGACACTCAGCCCAGGGGTGGTCGCTATGACGGGATTCTGGGTGTGCTCGCGGCCCTGGAGGTCTTGCGCACCATGAAGGAGAATGGATTCCGTACCAACTTCGACATTGGACTGGTTAACTGGACTAAGTACGTCTTTCCCCACCGTTGTTCGTTCTCTTGCTACACCATCATTCTTATGACTGAGTCTATTACAGTGAGGAAGGTGCTCGATTCCCCAAGTCCATGTGCTCCTCAGGTGTCTGGGCAGGAGAAATCCCCCTCGAGAAAGCCTGGGGATTGACAGACATCTTCAACCCGGCCGTGACCCTGCGCTCGGAGTTGGAGCGTCACGGCTTCCTCGGTTCGGTGGCCTGCTCCCATGACCCAGCTACTGGATATCCGCTGGGAGCTCACTTCGAACTGCACATCGAGCAGGGTCCGATTCTCGAAGAGGCGGGCAAATCGGTGGGTGTCGTGCGTGGAGCGCAGGGATACCGGTGGTTCACCATCACTGTGGGTGGTCGTGATGCCCACACCGGCACGACACCACTGGCAGCGCGTCGGGATCCGGTTCTCGCTGCATCCAAAATGATTGTGGTCTCTAATGCCATTGCCAAACGGCATGGGGCACTCGCCTCCACAGGCGTGATGAAGCTGCCGCGCAGTTCATCCACCAACACGATCGCCTCCGAGGTGACCTTCACCCTGGACATCCGCCATCCCCTGGATGCTGTGGTGAACACGGTGCAGGACGAATGTCTGCAGGCGTTTGCTGAGATTGCACTGGAGGACGGCAAGGGCGTCTCGCTGGACTGGACGCTGGACACGGACTCTGCTGCGGTGAAGTTTGACGAGCACTGCATCACCGCTATCCAGGACGCAGCTACGCAGCTGGTCGGCAAGGACCAGTGGATGCCATTGACTAGCGGAGCGGGCCACGATAGTGTGTATACCAGTCGGCACTGTCCCACGGCGATGATCTTTGTGCCGTGCAAGGAGGGTGTCAGCCATCATCCTGAGGAGTATTGTAGTCCGGCTGATTGGTAAGTGCGCATCGCTTGTCGTGCTTGATACTTTTGCTGATCTTTCTGTGTAGTGCTCTCGGTACCCAGACGCTGCTGGAAGCTGTGGTCAACTATGACCGCATGAGAGGAGAGCTTTCCAAGGCCTGAAGAGACGGCCAATAGTCATGCACCATCCTTGCGTTAAAAGAATTCAATAACTGCTGCATGGGTTGTGTTGTTGTTTACTTTCCATATACGATATATTACTGAATGTTTCTCGTCCGTTTGGGATTAGAGGGTCTTGTTGTATTCGCCATAGCTAGTCCTGTTTGGCGCTTGATATTATTCCTTGAGCTTATATGTAATCATAGTGTCAATCGCTAAATAGAATCCTTCACGCACACGGGTCGATTGCTCATCCTACGATGTCTATACCATTCAGACCCGGTCCAGATGCTCCAAGATCCAATCCACCTCCTCTTTTGCAGCGGTGAGAGCATGCTCGGCTTTGTATTGCGGCTGCCAGCCAATCTGCCGTCCATGCTGGGCATCCAGCACACATCTATCGACGTCAGTAAATGGTCACACTCAACAGAGCCTCTGGATAAACTCACCCTCCGCCCAATTCCACAGGCACAAAGTCCTTGGGACGACTCAGCGCCTCGCCTATCTTCTCCAAGACAGCATCATTGGCATCTGCCACCGTAGCATCCTCAATCGCTCCCCTTTCCGCCAGCCTTTGCGCCATAGCACTATACAGATCATCCCACGCCACCGTGCCCGAGGCAGCCAAATAGTACCCCCGCCTTCCAGAATCCAGCGCTTCCTCGAGAAGCATTTTCCGCAGCAGATCCAGATACAGGCTGACGGTATCTTGGATATGAGCGACGGGCCACACCTGTCCCCCATTAGCCTTGCTATCACATAACTAACAAACAAAGAGTCAATCAATATACATACCGGCCGTCCCGAATCCACCCGATACACACGCTTCGCTTTCAGAGCCGCCTTGACAATCGCGACCGTCTGGATGGAGATGCGGTTCCCGAACCCTTCTCCCGGTCCGTAGACCACACACGGAATGAAGATGTAGCTGCGCACTCCATGTGCTTTTGCTGTGTCGATCACGGTATTATTCGCCTCCAGGGCCTAAATGCTAGTAAGTAATTAATCCACTAGTGAAGGCAGAGAAAGGGGAAGCAAATGGCACACACCGGCCCAAGCCACGGATGCGACGGCTTCGCAGTCCTCTGCAATTCATACAGCCCTGGATCAGCATCCGCGAATGCATGATCGGTCGGATGTCCCGCGTGGCTACTAAATAGCTTAGCACCAGAAGTATGCAAGAAATGGACGGTCTTTCCGGTGCGCTCGCGCACTTGGCCCAGAGCCTGGATCATGGGGACTTGGGTGCGGGCGCTGGCGGCGTCGATGAGGAAGTAAATGATGGAGATTTCATGGTCAATGATGGTCTTGATAATGTTCTGGTCGTCTTCGAGGTTGATGTATAAAGGAGTAGCGCCGCATTGCTGCACGGCCTGGCTCTGTTGCTCGGTTCGCACGAGAGCATACAGGGTGCCGTGGGAAGGTAGTTGGGCTGCTTGCCAGCGGGAGAGGAGCGTTCCTCCCAGGTAGCCTGAGGCTCCGGTGATTAGGATGTTGTGGGGATGGCTGGTAGTCATGTTGTTGTACTTGGAAGTATGCGTTGATTAATAGGTGATTGTAGTTGGGTTGCTGCTCATTTTATACTATTTGGGAGTTGGGGATGGAAATCATGCTTGGTAAGAGGTTCCGACAACTGAGTAATCCTCCATCAACATGAGCCAACATGAGTCACCCTGAGTCGGCCTTAATAAAACCAACGACCTGAATAGAACTCTAGAGAATTAGAACAATTACACACATAACAACAAGCAATTAATTCTGAATTTTATGCCTCTATGTGCATTATGTAGCCTATCACGCACCAACATTACAAAGTTGACACATCAACAACACAAGACAACAAGCCAACAGCTGTGCTCGCAACACCTTCAAGTACGTCCTTGTCTAACCTCACATCATCCAATTGTCAGATTTGCAACCCTGTTTTCCAAGTCGTTCGCACGCGTAACGCCGTCGACCGTTTGATGGCCCCGGCCCCCAACCTGAGCACCACACTCGGGACACGTCGAGACTTGCATCGCACCTCCACACTCGCCGATCGTAAAGGGGTGTCCGTTTGGACAATAGTACCAATGTCCGGTGCCTCTGAATTCGCGGTTCATGGCCGTAATTACCGCCATGCGTTCTTCGTTGGAGACGGCGCTATAGAAAGTCGAGCCTCTCAGCATGGCCTTGGCGCTCTCAATCTCTTCCGATAACCCCTGAGTTTGGCCTGGATACTGCTTACAAAGTTGCTCGGCAGCATCCAGGGCATCCCGTCCTTCAACCAACCGACTCTCCGCATCCGCTATCTCTTTTATGTGTGATCGCTGCAGCGCGCACAGTTGTGCAAGGAAGACGTACCCCTCGACTTGATGGGCGACTCGATGCAGCTCGCTGGCAAGCTGAATCAGGCCGTGGCAGTCATCCATATTTTTCTGAAGATTGACGAATAGTTCGCACCGGGTCGCCAGTGGAGTTGCGGCGTTGTAAAGCGAGAGAAAGTCGCCGAGCAGTGCAATGTCCAGTCGGATGAGAAGCGCGCTCGCCAGCAAAACACCCTTCGTTTGCAGCACACTTTCGTTGAACTTGAACGTCCCTTGGGCCTCTTTCACTCGCCGTGCATGCTCCACCAGGTACTGGACGCGACTGAACGGTTGCTCTTCCACTTGGACCCGGGAATAGTACTTCACCATGCGTTTCCTCAGTCGGACCAGTTCATCCCAGCGACTGATTTTGTTCTTTTTCATGAGATCCCCCAAGTGTTTGATTTGTTGGCTACCGGAGCCTTCGATCCGTATGGCTTCGCCAATTTGGAACATTGCCGAGGACCCAGCCGAATTCTTGGCTTCAGGTAGCCCGATAATCAGCTTTGGCAGTTCCTGAGCCATGGGCACATATTCATTGTTAAGATACAGAATAAACTTCTTTGTGGCCTCATCCAACATGGCCCGACGTACCAGCCGACCGTACCGAGAAATATCCCGTAAAGATCCTCGGCAGGTGGCACATCTTTTGACGTCCTCGACGGAAAATGGCTTTGATGACGCGGTGATCGCAACCGGCTTACCGTCTGCATCCAGCTCGTATTGTTCTTTCATGTCCATCTGGCCATCCATACTCTCCATAGTCAAGAAATGTCCGCATCGAGGAAAGATGCAGGGGTTTTCGTTGAGATCTATCTCATGATAGGCCTCACCGAGGATAAAGTCAACAACGCGGTCTTTGACCTCCGGGGCAGCACATATCTGACAGAACGAAGATTGGGGGCATATCTCGCCACAAATAGAGGGACATTGGTGGCCACAAGCCAGAAGTTTCTCGCAGCGCTTGGAACAAGGAACGTTGTCACAAGGAGCCGCACAGGGCAGCGTACATGCACCGTGAGGGCACGACGATGGACATCGTGTCTCGGCACAGGGGACGCAGGGCTCACAGCATTTGTTGGGGCACTGGGAGTGGCCACAATGAACATCGCAGGGGGACTCACATGGCGGACAGGGCTCCGGCTCGTGACAGATTCGAGTACAGCTATGTGCACATGCCGAGTATTTGCGACCGCACGGCTGTTCGCACCGCCCGTGGGTGGTGACTTGGACCTTATCCTCTGCCTCATACCGAGTGCACTGCCAGCATTTGCGTCGGCAAGGGTGCCCGCAGGCAAGAATGGCTCCACACACCGCTGGACAATTGAACGTGTAAATCCCGACATCGACATGACAGGGCACTGTCACCGTGTGATTGCACCTTCGCACCTGCTTCGCCACGGGCATTGGACACTTGACCTCTGAAAGATCCTGCGCCTGCCAACATGGAAGCTCCGCCGCAGCATGTCCACAGGGAAGGTGCCGGTTGGCGTCGAAGACGGTCACCTGGCATCGCTGAGGACACTTATCGCCACAGTGCTTCGGGCAAGCATGATCGCATCCCTTCAAAGGTCGTGGACAGGGTTCCTGGCAATAGACTGCATTGTGAAGCAGTGTCGAATGGCATTTCTGCTTACAGGCATGACCGCATTTCAATCGGTTGACACAACGCTGATTGCAACCGCCCTCTGGAGAAAATTGCACGAAGTGGTCCGGCTCCGAAACTGCAATAGGGGAATCTGGATGGCGTGGACATTGCAATTTGAGCTGAGCTCCAAAGTTGTCTTTGCTCTTCAAGATTTCCACGACTTGCCGCCACATCGGCACATCCATGGACGTAGCAGCGTTACCTATGATATACATGCCGTGCTTTGCGCGGGACAGCAGGACGTTGATACGGTTTGAGGTTCGCAGAAACCCGCAGCGTCTCTGGGCATTGCTTCTGACCAACGATATCACCACAACCTTGGCTTCCTCACCCTGGAAGTTATCAATGGTGGCTGCACGAACGGTCTGTAGTGCAGTTGACTGAGACACCGGAGCATGTGTATCTGCGTCTGATTCATTCAACCCCGCTGCCTCCAGATCGTCCTGGTCACGATCGCCGAGGACGATGGAAAACGACTCGCTGAGCCGGCGTCGGAGCCGATGGAGTTGTCCCAGGTAAGGGGTCAATACAGCAATTTCCCCCGCCCTATAGCAGCCTTGTCGGATCAAGTGAGCGACTAGTGCGGTGGTCATCTCAACCTCAAACGCGTTCCAGTGTGAGGTGTTCACGGCATCTGTACTGGAATTGCCGGCTTCGGGGTGTTGATGATCAAACCAGAACAGCCTCTGGCGCATCCCGCATACCTCCGGGTATTCCAAAACCGATGGAGCATCTTCTAAGCGAGGGTACAAGGTGTCCCTGACCAGCTGTGCGATAGAGGGATGCATTCTGCGCTGCGTTTCCAACGTGCTAAACGGCATTCGCACCCCTGACCCGTCCTCGCCAGGATCCACCAGTCGCTCAAACAACGATTGATCCAGAGAATACTGCTCACCACCTCGGTAGTTCTCCCGAGAAAGATTGTAGTCTTGGATCTGCGGGCGGAGTTGCTGGTGGTCCCCAATGAGAATGGCGTGCTCGACGGAAGGCAGAAGGGCTGTTAGGAGATGAGCCTCCAATACTTCTCCAGCCTCTTCGCACAGCACAACCTTGGACTGAAGGCGACGAAGCATTTTGAGGTTCCGAGCGAGGCCACTGGTCGTAACCCCGATAACCTGTGCCTGCCGGAGACATCGCAGATCAACCTCGTGTCGAACATCATTCATCTCTTCCTTGCTCCTTCGTTGTTCCTGGACCAGTATCTTAGCTTTGTCGTGCTTCTGACGTCTATTCTCCGTGAGCCAGTGTTCGTAGACCATTTGCCGTTCTCTGACACTCATGTGTTCAAGATTTATATTTTCAAGGACACCGATAGATCGGGGCTTCTCCGTCGACTCGAATCCTCTGTTTATCCACTGGTGGAATGCGTTATTACCCTTCTTTGACTTGGGCCTTATCCATCCCTGCTCATCGGTGCTGAAAAGCTGGCGATAGTGCTTGGGGTTGTAGCGCTCAAGAAACCACTTCAAGTTCCCCTCAGACCCTTCGAAATGTAATCGTAGGCCATCAAATTCCCTTTGGCACTCCTCGAGCTGGACATGGAGGTGATAGATCGAACTCTTCTCGACTTTGGTCTGCGGAGGCTTGTGGACTAGTTTGTTCAAGGTATGTTGCTCCACACGTTCCGACTTGCAGCGCGATCCAATTCGAACAATCTGTGTGGTAATCTTCCTTTCTAGCAGCTCTTCTAGGAGCTGGTCGAGGGCATGATTTGTATAACAGACACAGATGATTGGGCCAATATTGGCTTTGGCTTTGGCCGCATTGGCTAGTAGCACCTTGATGAGGGCAACTCCGGTATAACTCTTCCCTGTGCCGGGAGGGCCCTGGATAAGCCCTATTTGGTGTTGGAGGGTGTTTATAAGGCCGACGGCTTGAGCTGGGTCCAAGATGGACTTATCTTTGAACGTCTCCATGTCAAAAGCCTGGCCGGGACGGAGATGCAGCTCGGTCGCGTCAGTCATCAAGCAGCTAAGATCGAATTTGAATCCGGGCTTGAGAGCATACGCCGGCGGATGCACTTCTGTCACTTGGTCCCAATTCTCGGAGGACGCTGGAGCTAACAGATTCGCAAACGGCAGGTCTTCACTGCGCTTCATCTTCTGAAGCGCGCGTAATGTTGGGGCAAAAGCTGGTAGCAGAATGCCGGGAAACTCCACCAGGGTGACCGGTGAGACGGTGCCACGCGGACGATAACGATCCAGAACAAACTGCACATGATGGTTTGTAGGGTCGATGAATTCCAATGCGACTGTTGCGACATCCTTCTCCTTCCAGAGAGAAGGGGGGTCCTTGGGCTTGGGGGTGCCAGGCGGCAACCTGGGCGGCTCAGCCACCGTACAGAAGAGAACGTCTCCTCCACGCTGATCAAATAGGCATACAAGGGCACCACTCTGTAGGCGCTTAGATTGGTTCCACCATTCCTCACGCTGTTTGACACCCAGCCCCTGCACCTGCGCCAGCTGACGGAACCGGATCACAAATTGCAGCCCCGCGTGTCGATCAAAAGACAAGGAAGCTACTTTGACGTTCGAATATGCGTAGGTCCGGAGTTGGTTACTACGTCCTGGGTGCGCTGTAGTTGTGGGGTGAAGCTGATTGTGGATGGCGTCTCTCAACTGCCCGACCGTGTCTTCACGGAGCAATCGGAAGTTGCGATCCAGGAGTCCAGCGACACCGCCGATATGCCACTGTCGAGGGTCCTTCACGGGCAGATATTCGGTATGAGGGGATAGAATCTCTTCAGACGTGGGCAGGATCTGAATGTCGCAGATGTCTGCCGAATCATTATCGTGGCGTCCTCCCGGCGGAGTACGGTGGACGATGAATGATGAGGGTAGCTTGTCGCCTTGGGCGGCTGGCTGTTCAGAGGAGGCTACGCTCGGGAGTGCAGCGCCAATACTGAGTCGATGCAGGATCCGTTGCATGTAGACCTTGACCTTGAACAGGGCGCTCTGCATGTGCAAGTCTTCATACTCTTTCACGATGGACTGGAACCTGTTGGCCAACAGCTTGAGGCCCTCATGGATGTATGCCTCTGAATTCAGCTCAAGTATGTGCCAGAAAGTCACAAGCGACATTTCGAGGTAGTCGATCTGAGTCTCCTTGACCTGGTGCTTGTCGGATGATAGGATGTCTGCCAGGAAGCCTAGCAGGTCCAGTGCCCGTCTGCCCGCCACACCGTAGAGAAACGCATAAATCGTTCCAACAGCCTGTTCGAGGACCAGGGAGTCCCGCACACCAGGGTGAGTTACGATGCTTAGAAAAGGCAACACCTGCTGCGTGAAGATGGCCGACTTCTGTGTAGGCGACCGGGTTGTCAGGATGTTTTCGTCAATCAACTCCTTCATACGCTTCAAGCCGCCTTCCCCAGCCAGGGCGCGGATTACTTCTTGCTGCACCCCGACATCTTGATCGATCAGGCGTTGTGCTTCCTGCAGAAAGGTCCCCAGCCGATGGCCCAAGGGATAGTCCCGGTTGGGGTCCCACAGGTGTCGTCTCCAGGCGCGAAAGTCGCTCTCGCTGGGAGCTGGTGGCTCGGCTCTCTTCGTCTTTTGGTGAGGCGCATGCCGGTTGTTGTCGCGGGGAATATCGTGCGAAAACTTGCAGGGTCGAAACCTGCATTTTCCATCTCGAGCGAAATTGCGACAGATCCTGGAGCCGGTAAGTCAGTGATTGATCTGTATAGATTGTCTGCGAGTGACTTGCACTCACTTCTGGTTGGCCATAACGGTGTATATGCAAATCTGTATCTCTCTTTTCGTTTTAGATGAACAAAACAGGGATCTTTCAGAACCAGGAAATAGGCCAAATAGATGAACGAGTAGATGTCAAGTGCAGAATATGCAAAGGGAGATATCCGGATGCAGTCTGGGAGTTACCACGGAGGTGAGGAGATGGCGAGGTTCAATAACACAAAAGAGTAACACAACTGAACAAAACCGGAAGGAAGATAGAAAACAAGTACTAATAAGTGAGAGTTCTGGATGGTAAAAGTAGCAGAGCTTTCGACTGCCACTAGCTGCCTCAGCCTTGCGCAGCAGGAGAGACGATGAGGGGAAAGAGAGGGAAAGCGCCTTGTGGGCGCGTCGCTGCGGTGGTTAAGTAGACCTGAGCAACACCATTGGCCCACGTCAGTCAGTGAAGCCAACAGATAGTAAATCACACAATGCTTTTGTGTGGCTGTTGGGGTAGCTCGATTGGCATTCACTGACTAGTGCACCTAGCGAGTGTCTCGCTGTAGAGCTGAAGGGGCAGTGCTGAGCCACTCCCACGAGGCTCCCATGTATGTTGATGTCATTTCTAGTTGGCGCCCTTTTCTATCAGTCAGGAAAGATAAGTGCATTTCATGTGACAAAGTGTCTTGTATTGGCGGCTAAGATCATTTTAAAGATATTACACCTCTGACGGGGCCCTTGCGTGTATCAGGGCCAACCGTCGGAAATCCCTTCCTGCAGCCACTCGGAATCGCTGGAAACAGACTTTCCGAATCCTTCTTCCCTTCACTTCCAGCTCACTTTCACGCCCTGTCCGCAAAGCAGTGAAACCATTCAATGAAGATATCACTGAAAAGACACATAATCGCCCGAATCAGACAGATTAGAGAAGTCCAATCCATAGAGATATACAGCACTACTTCTTCTTCCCACCCAGCCCGATTCCCTGCGTGATGGTCCCCAGTCCCAGACCTTCGAGAAGCTTGTCCACCCCCAAGCCACCCAGGAGCCCCTGAAGAAGATTTCCCAGACCCAGACCGTTCAGAAGTTTGCCCACAAGCCCGAGAACGCCACTGAGCAAGAGACCGACGGCCGCGATGATCTGGAACAAAGGCTCCGACAACAGCGCCCAGAGCGGGTTGATCTCTTTCTTCGCATGGGGCATGTCGGCAATCAGACTCTTACCCCGTTCGATCGTCTCTGTCACTAGCTTGGTCAAGTCCTTCAGTAGTTCGGCTAGATGATGCTCCTGTGGGGTGGCTTCTTGGGAGGCACTGCGGGCTTTGGCATTGGCAGCAATGTGACCATCTGGATCCAAGGCTCGCAGGGCTCCCTTACACTCCTGCAAAATGGCGCCAGCCTCTTCGATTAGCGGTTTCACCTCCTTGACCAGTGCCTCTTCATCCAGCTCATCCTTGGGTGTACTATTGGCCTTTTCAATATGCTATTTGGATTCAGCATTAGCAAGATGATTCACCTACAAGATGCTCATGGATGGAAAAGAGTGCCTACCTGAGTGATCATGCGACACATGGGTTCCAAGGAATCTAAAGCCTGCTGAATAATGGAGCACATCTTTTTGGCCAGCTCATTTTCCTCTTCCTGTTGAGCCAGCTTCTCGCGCTCCTCGGGGGACATTTCCGGTTCCTCGGGCTCTGGCTCTGGAGGCAAATTCTCCAGCAGGGTACATTCCCCGATCTTATTGCCGGCACTGTCCACGACATAGCCATCCTTATCAATCGTTCGACCGATGAGGTTCGACAGTTCTCCCTGGGTGAGCTTGCCAATGAGATTACCATCTTCATCGCGGACCTCTCCCTCCCGATTAACTTTACGGCCAGCCATGGGACTGACCGGTTCCTCGGGGGCAGTCCATGGCTCAGCCCGGCCGATGCAATTCCCAGCCGAGTCAAGGACCTCCCCATCATCGTCCACGGCGCGCCCAGCTAGGCGTCGAGCGTCTCCTTCGACTAGACGACCGACCGGTGTGCCGTTCGGATCGACAACCTGTCCCTCCTTATTCACCGTCAAGCCATCCAGGCCGCTGAAAGGGCCCTCTGGCCGCTCTCGCTCGGCATCGGGAATGAGCTCGGCTTGGCCGACAACGTGGCCTGCAGCATCCCAAACCTGGCCCTGCTCATCCACGGACTTGCCGGCCAGCTTTCGAGGATTGCCTGTCACCAACCGTCCAAAAACCACTCCGTTTGTATCCACGACGTTGCCCATCTTGTTTACCACCTTGCCGGCTAATACAGACAGATCGGGTGCCTCCACCTCCTCAGCGGGGGGTTCACATGGTGCAGCTCGCCCCAAGACGGTCCCATGCTGGTCCACAATCTCTCCGTCCTCGTCGACATCATATCCCTGGAGCTTCTCGGGATCCCCTTCTATCACGCGACCCACGATGTTCCCGTCGCCATCCTCCACCCAGCCAGACCCATTCACCATCAGGTCCATGCATCCCTGGAATGGCCGGCTGAGGTCTTTCCGCTCATTCTCGGGGATCAGGTCCACCTGTCCAATGACCTCCCCATTGTCGCCCCAGATGAGACCATCCGACGCAATGGTTCGGCCGGCAAGGTGCTTGGGATCACCCTCAACGACTTTGCCCAGAGGAACTTGGTCCGGCCCGATCACGAGGCCAAGCTTGGTGGGCTTGAGCCCTTCCAGAGAACTGAGATCCGGCTTCTTCTCCTCCACCGCCTCTTCTGCAACTTCTTCTGGCTCCTGCCAGGGCTCTGCACGGCCCAGCAGGTTTCCATGTCGATCGAGAATATCGCCGTCCTCATCAACCGCGCGACCCGCGAGCTTTTTGGCATCCCCTTCAACTACCTGTCCAACGCGTTGACCGTTGTCATCTAGCACCCACCCCTCCTTGTCAACATACAGATCCTTCATTCCTTCGAAAATGCTGGTTTCTTCCGTCTCCGGCAGAACAGGCTGTACCTTGCCAATAACATTTCCGCGGTGATCCCAGAACTGGCCCTTATCGTCCAGCTCAAACCCTCCTCGAAAGAGCCTCTTCGCATCGCCTTCGACCAGCTCCCCAACTAGGTTGCCGTGAGCATCCAGAATACTGCCGAACTTGGTACATTTTAGGCCTTCGAGAGTCGATATATCTGGCAATTGCGGCTTCTCCGCCAGTTCTTCGGCCTTGGGAAGTTCATCAATCTTTTCAGTCACGACTTCAACACGTCCAATCAAGTCTCCATCCTCGTCCAGAATCTCTCCATCATCATCAACAATCTGACCAACAAGGTCAGCTGGATCGCCTTCAACAACCTTCCCGATGGTTTTTCCCTCTGCATTGACAATGTTCCCGCCTTCACCAACCGAGAGGCCTTTCAGGTCCCCGAGGCCCATTGCCGCTTCCTTCACTTCCGATATATCTGGCTTTGGTACGGCATCTCCAAGACCTGCTTCTTTCTCAGGCTCTACCATTCCCTCGGTGGGCTCTTGCACACCTTCTTCGGCCTTCTGTTGGACTTGATCCACCATTCCAGTGGGGACCTGATCCTTCATGGATTGAATGCCCTTGCCAACCTGGCCCAGTTGCACGGCCGCTGCCTTACCCTTGTCCACTAGCCCCGCAGTGGACGAAGAACCTGCCGCAGTGTCTGGCGGCATGGCTTCTCTCTGTTCGAGAGGCCCACGTTGCTGCTCCGGCTCTTCCTCCTCCTCCTCTTCCTCCATGTCCTCTCCTTCCATGTCCTCTCCCTCCAGTCCTTCTTCTGCTTCTTCTTTTGCTTCTTCTCCTGCCCGGCCTGCTTTATCCTCCACCTGCCCAACCTGTTCTTCTAGACCCGCTTCAGGTGTTTTTCCAGCACTAACATCTCCCACTTTCTCAGTCTCCCCTTGTTCTTCGGGTTTCTCAGCTATTGAACGATTAGACACCCATTGCCAAACCTAGTGTATGGCTGACTCACCTAAGGTAGGCTTTTCCACTTTCTCTTTCTTATCTAGCTTCGCAAGCTTTGGAGGGGCCTTCTTGCGTACAGCAGACGGTTTCTTGAGAGTCTCTCCTTTTCCCAGCGACTCCAACTGCCTTACATCCTCATGGGTAGCTGCCATTGTGGGATTCGCGTCAGTGGCTGCGCCAACGCCGTACAGATGTAGATTCCAGAAGTTTTTCTCGGTGTCTTTGATCTTTCTGGTCGGAGAAAATAGATAATATGATAGAAACTGTAGTGGTTAGATAGACTGGTGTTCAAACTCACTACAGAACTGCGGAGCACCTTGAGTAACTATATATCACCTATCTTCATTGACTGATCGTCGATCTGTTTGTAGAGATCGATCAGATCCACATCAGCACGATCACTCAGACGTCATTCCGATCTGATCACCAGGTACCGAGAAATACGAGGCTGTGCCCTCAAAAAGTCTCCTGAAAGCTATGATCTCCGCCACGTTTAGGATTTCTGGGTGAGGGGCGCTTGCAAACCGTGGGATGGTGAGGAAACAAATCGGCTACCACTGCCTGATCGTCTTTACCGCTGGAGACGCCAAAACCTTCCCCGCACTTATAGAACTACTTGGTTCCCCATTCCCGTATATAACTTCCCTTACTGTCGGCAAGGGCCGCATGACGTATCTAGGTGGATAACCATTCTCATTATTCCCATGCATTCTGAGCCCATGAATCATTTGGTCGGTCTGTACACGGGGGTTAGCCTGGTTAAAGTTTCGCCTTAATGCGTACTATGGCTCGGTTCACTATCCCAGCTGCTCCTCGCGATGGGCGACGAACTTTGAACCCAGTGCCGCGGTATGAGTGGGCGGGATGGGGTCTAGTCAACTAAGTAAAGTTCGGTTGAAGGACATTGTCAAAGTTGCGACAGTGGTAATATCATCTAGTGTACGAGCTATCGACGATGGAGAATCTTGGATGTGGTTTAGGCAGCTGCGATCTGACGCCTAATAGCTCTAGTTATCCATGCATTGGTTATCTATGCAACCTGTCCGTGGATCAGCTCCATGACACATCGGGATTTCAGTGAATTTAACTCTGGTTATGGACGATATTCGATCTCCTCATCACAATATTGAGTGGATCGTTAGAAGTCTACCGGTCTACGCTTGTAACTTGAAAGAATGGTGTCCCTTGGTGGTACATGCCATGACGCTGCCATATACATGCTGTGAACATTAGGCTCGGTGCGATAAGTGTAATATCAACAGGATTAATCTTCGTCAATATATCATCTACAAATAGCCCCCTGCATTCCCTAGGATCTGCGCGGAATTAGTACTTTGCATACTCGCATATTCGAAGGGTAGGGCACTAAGATGGACGAGCACTGAGGAGAACTCACAGCAATGCTAGCGTAAGATCACCATGAATCTTCGCCTTCAATTCGACCTCAACATCCAGATTCAATTCCAACCGTAACTTAAGCCCGGTATCCTCTTCCTCCGACGGTTGGGTCATCTCCTGTCCAGCCGGATCTCTCTTCGCTAGGTCTCCCCGGGCTCTTTGCCTCGTTTGTTCCCTTGCCAGGATTGATTCTTCATCGGTGGCGGGAGAGGGTGAACGCGATGCTTGGCGTCGCACTGGCTGTAGTGCGGTCGAAGTATTGGGATGAACACGATCGTCGAGCACATTCCCTCTCTTTCTCCGAGTTCGTTGCTGCTCCCGTGTTCTTACTGGCAGAGCTGGTGATGGCTGGGGATTTGCGGGTTGGGCCATATTGGCTTGGGAGTCGCTAGTCGCTGGTCCTTCGCCGCTGTTTCTGTCGATAGGTCGCAACTAACGGTGTTTCTTGTCGTCGTCGGTAGTATTTCCGGATTCCTTGAGATGTTAGAACTGCGATAAAGGGTAATATTGAGGAGGGACAGACGAGAAGGAATAGGTTTTAATGTATAGAACGATCACGGAGGCGAACTTCGCAAAGAATGTACGCGCCGAGTCCAGAACGTACAGTCGAAGCGCCGACACCGATGACCGCACAGTGGGTCATGGCTACCAAAGAACCATTGTCTAAGCCCTATTGAATGCATTGAATAATGCCATCATCACGGGTTGACCCGGTAAATAAAGGAAATCCGAATGCGCGTCCACTCTAGGGGTCATCCGGAACCCTGGAACACAAGAAGGGGGAACCCCGGATGGCATCGTATCGCCCCTTGGGATTGGACCATGACATCAGTTCATATTCGCCTCACACCTAACAGATGGATATTCTCTTTCGCCATTCGTGACCTCCATTCTGTATGGTAAACGACCACTGTTTATTCTATATAACCATTAATCTACCCATCGCACCACACAACATATTCTGTCGATCGTATCTACAGTCCATTACTTAGCCAATGGCAGACGCTGTAGAACAGAGTCCAACCATCGACGCACAAAAGAACGTGCCTTCCAGTTCAAACCCCGATCGGGTGCGAAAGCCGCCAAAGCTCCAGCGACGAGGTGGTCCATCAGACGCATCAAAATCGGTGGATCCTGCCCCAGAACCTGAACAACCGCCTGCAGAAGCGGCAAAAGCGGGTGAAGCAGCAGTAGCAGAAGCGCCAGAAGAAACTGAGACTATGGACCCGTCCCCAGACACTGAAGAAACACAAATTGACCGGGATACCCGATCCACATCTTGGAGTGAAGGAGAACAGCCACAACTCCAACCAGAACAGCAGCCACTGCAACGGCAGCGATCCGTCATATCCGTGACTGAGAGTGTATCCTCTCCGTCATCATCCACCCCTGCCAGTGCAGACGCATATTATCGACAGACCCGTCGACGCGGCCAGCGAGGAGATATGAGACGCCAGCAACGTGAACAGCAACAGGCGCTGGCGCTGCCCGCTTTAGGCAATGTAGGGGATGTGCCAGGGAACCTCACCCAAGGTGTTGGCGACTTGGCCCAGAACACCGCCGGCAGAGCTGTCGGCACGCTCGGCAACACGGCCGGAAAGGCGCTGGGCCGAAGCATTATGGGGGGTAGAAATGACACTCAAGTCCAGCAGCAGGGACAACAGGAAGTTGGGAAGAAGAAGGATGAACAGCTGCGCCTGCGTCTAGATTTGAATTTGGACGTTGAGGTACAGCTCAAGGCTAAGATCCATGGTGATCTTACGCTCCAGCTCCTGTATGTTGCTTTCCATTCCCTTTGTTCTCTTCGTCTTCTTCCCGGTTGGAGTGCGAGTTCGTTTATGCCAGTTTGAAATCTGCTGACTGAGAGACTTGCAGTAACTGAAACGGGTGCAGTCCGGTCCTTCTGGATGTCAAGGACTGTGTATCATGGACCACGTACATTTTGGAATTTTGGTGGCCACTTGCTATGTATCAATCCTTTTTTTGAGGGGGACTTCAGGGGTGAATTGGGTAGTAGAAGCTTGGCGCAGGAATGAAGGCGTTGCCTGTATCTTGAGTAGTATCTGTGCTTCTCCGTTAAACTCGTCCAATTCGCAGAAGCGTAAGATGAGTAGTAAGTAACAATTCATACATCATGACTACCATAGGCTTTCAAAGCGCACATGGGAACATGCCACTGGACCAAGTTCCGGCTCGCCCCAGCAGTGCTGTATGTTCCGGCGTAGAACTGGACATAGGACCTGAGAAACAAGGCCAACTTCCGTATCACCTGATCGCGAGTAAATGGGATACACGCGTGTCATTCCTTCTCGTTTCCTTCATTCCTTCCTCCAACTCTTCACATGCCCCCTCCATTGACGAGTTGTGCTCTACAATTCGAATGACTCCTTTCCTCAAATCCGGTAAAACCTCTTTTCTAAGTCTCCAGCCAGGTGTTATGTACCAAGTGGTCTATTAACATTATGTTCATTAAGACTAAGTACTAGTGAATGACAGGAATAATGATTCTATATACAGCTCCTGACCTTTCTCACTCGAGACCTTTCTCCAATTGCTTGCTCATTGACATGTCGTTTTCCCTCAACAAAGAGACTGAGTACTAGATGAGCTGTACCCAAAGTAGCCACGGCGCGACTCCCGTCTGGCACCTGGCCACCGAGGAGTAGGAGGTAGTAAGGGTTCATTGATCTGCTCAACCGTAACACGCTCTTTGAAGAACCCACTGGAACCGCTGGAGGACAAGGAGGAACGAGCGACGTAGCTTTCGCTCTGGTATTTGCCCAGCCAGAGCATCTGCTCGTGCTCTCGGAGGTAACGGTGACTGGAAAAGCTCTTGAGCACGTTCGCCCGACCTTGCATACCAAACTGGCGACGTTGTTCCACCTTCTCGTACATACGCTGGGAGATCTGTTCCACCTCTTCGGGCGATGGGCGCAAGCCCAGAGACGGGGGCACGTAGCCCTCCTCATCACCCGCGAACTTGCTCCACTCTCCAAGGAGTGCCATGACCCGTATCTGCGCCGATGCAAGGGAAAATGCATCGTTGGGGGGAACGACTTCACTGAACTTCTTGCCCGTGTCGCGGTTCATGACAACACAGAATGAGGCACCGACATCTGTACATACCACGGGAACACCCGTCAGTGCAGCCTCTCCCATCGCCAATGGAAGACCTTCAGATGTGGAGGAGTTCATGAATAGCCACTATAATTAAGATTAGTACTAATCGAATAAGGTGCTACAGGGTGACAGGGAAACACCTACCCCATCTTGAAGGACAACGGATGGGTTACCCAACCCCTTGAGGACAACATGGTCTCGAAGCGACTTGGAAGCAATGATCTCCTGACATTCCGATGCGTACCCAGGAGCTCGTTCCATATCACCGTAAATGTGAAGGCGGTAGTCTTTGAAGCCCCACTGGTTAACGATCAGGTCTGTAGCCATGATGGCTGTCTTGATGTCTTTTACATAACTATCATGTGGGTTAGTTGACAATCAAACAAACGGAGCATAATAAAAACACCACATACCGAATATGCGACAACATGACTACGGTGGGTGTTTCGGTCTTGATCTTCTCAATAGGCTTATACTTCTCCATGTTGGTGATACCGTTCACCACCGGATCAATCTTACGCTGGAAGGCGCGACGGTGTTCTAAAACACCTTCACATGTGCCCAGTTCGACTTCCCAGCCGGGATTGAAATACTCGGCGCAGGGCAGCACAACGTCCGCATGGTGCTCGATGAGAATACAGGCGAGGTGACCCAAAGAGATGAGCGTCGAATTCACGAACGTCGAGTCGAAGGAAACAGCGGCCGACAGGAATGTAGTCATCTCTCGGAAGCTGACACAGTGATCCCAGACGTGGAGGGCACATTTGCGCTTGACCTTACACATCACGCCGTACGTGGCGCCGGTGAAGTGATGCGACACCTGGAAAACGTCGGGAATCCGTTCGGGAACAGGGATTGAGAAAATGAAAAGGTCTAGAACGCAACGTCAGTATGGTCATAATGGTTGGATCGGGAGGTAACTAACAGCGATGCCACATATCCAGGGCCGTATCCAGTTGCTGCAGGGTCGGGTACTCGCAGTTCCACCACTCCGACACAGGGATTGTGTCTTCCATATCCTCGGTCAACCATAATTCTCGCCAGGCCTCCTTCACCGTGTCACTCATCCACACATCATTCCAGTTCCGAGTCGATTCGAAGTATGTGTTGAGATCCACCAAAGCCTTGGTGGCTTCCTCGATGAGTGCCCGGGATTTGTTCATAGATCGCGCACAACGAACAAGGCTGGTTAGGATAGGTAGGAAGTTGCGTTCGATATCCGCAACCCTCGTATCATAAGACTTTTGCACCACTTCTGAGTCAAGTGTGTTCTGAAACATGCCATGGGTGGGATTCATGAAGTCCAAACCCCACTGGGGCAGCACGGCCAGCGACTGGACGTTTCTTTCGATCTGGAACCGAGGCACACCATAGTCATTCGCTGCTTCAGCCACAATGTGCCAACGGATCCCCTTAAGGTCATTGACCATATCGCGTCGACAAGCTGACACACCACCGGGCTCATTAGGCCAAGTACCGGTATCCATAGCGAGGACGTGTAGCTCCGTGTCGCTGTCCTGTAGCTGGGTGGAGAGTGTGCGAGTGTTGATACGCGAATCACCTCCTTGCCCGAAGCTTGAGAGGTCACTGATCTTGAAAGCTAACGGTGTCCAAGAGCTGACCTCAGGGTCAATGTCCACCCGAGCGAGAACTGTATCAGCTTGAGCGTCCAGATAATCGGCCGCAGCTTCCAGCTGACCCAGGTTTCGTCTTCTCCAGTATGGCTTGAGCACACGGTCGGACCGTAGCATAGTCTCGTCAAGCCATCGCGCCGTAATTGCATCAAACTCCTTACTTCCTTTCCATGACTTCCAGAGATGAGTACGGGCACGAGAGGTGGGAATTGGATACCGTTTGACATTCCAGCCCAGCAAACGCGATAGGAAGTTCACCTTAGTAGAAGAAAAGGAGAAGAGGGGATTGTCGTCCAAGAAGCTGCACTTGGTGGGCTTTTGTAATACCTTGAACCAGTCCTCATGGATCATCGCAGGGGTGGTGACAGATTCACCGTTCAATGTTGTTGCGATGACCGGATGGAATTTATGGTCATAAGTCCACTTAGCCTTATGGGTATCATCTCCTTGAATGAAGGTTGCATCCGTGACACGAGGATAAGGAATCCATTTATCCAGTCTCTCCGGTCGGTTTGGAGGAGGCATACACCAGGCCACCTGGATCTTGATATGTGGGAGGACATAGTCGGCGCGCAACAGCTCGTCTTCAAATTTGGCCCCTTTGCGGTACCAAAAGTTGAACTCCAGTCGATTCACACCACGCATGGCTGATCCTGAGGTCATATAACCGCGCTTGTCATAATGGACTATCTGGCCGCTCAGTTCGCCCTGAGTACATTGTCGCTGTGTAGGCAACTTCGGCCGCCCACCCCTGTTATCTTGTGGGTACTCATATGTGAACTCATTAAGCAGAGTCTCACCGCGGTATTCCTGGCGTCTTGAGAGGACAAGCTTGTCAGTGTAGGTGTTGATAGCCATGAGTTGTTTGTAATCACTTGGTTCATGCTCGTGACGTCCTGAGTATTGGTAGAGCTGGACTGTGCCATCTGATTCGTTTCGGAAGAAACCGGTCGAGATACCACTCAGACTCTCTACGATAACCCGGTCCTGGTGGACTACCGTCTTCCAATCCTTCATGTTCCGGTAGAGTGTGGAGACCTTCTCCCGTCCATGTAACAAGACCAAGGGGATGATGAGACGTTGCAGACATTTGCAAGTTACCCAGACTCCGTTCAGGATCAAGTTAATGGGCCAGGCAAACACCAAGGGTTGTCCGCGAAGCATTGAGTCTAACTCTCTTTGATATTCCGGGTCCGCTACCAACGAGATGACAAGGAACTTGAGGCACGCATTCCAGATATGCACTATCCGAGCAAATGAAAGCCGGAGCGCTTCAGAGAATCCGATAGTTGGCGTGTGTTCATTGAGTGCAAGCAAATCACGAATGGGCTTGTCGTACTTAGTGTTCATGAAGTCCGGTCGGTCTTGATTTTGGCGATGTGTTTCTTGGGCGGCAGCAAATGAGATCACGCTAGCTGTCAGCTTAAATCCCAAATTCCACCGAGCAAGAAATTCTTCGAGATATAGCGTGTCATTTGCTCTGGAGATGAGCCAGTCATTCTGTTCAGGAGTGACACGGCATGGTTGTCCACAGGTCCGGCGCAGGAGCAACTTTCTCGCAGCTTTAGGAAGAAAGTCCCATTCCTGATCGCAATCCATCCCAAAAAGGATGTGGCGCAATAGTACTTGCTGTCCGTGGTTGAGAACTCTAGTGCGCTCGGTTGAGCTGCCTTCCAGCTGACGCTTGACGCCCTCGGGTAAGGTTACATCCTCGCCCTGCCGGTCGTTCACGATCAGAAGCTCTGCCATCAGGGCATGATCATGGGAAAGGCCCAGTTTGAACTCTGCAGTGGCTTGGACGACCGCTTCCGCGATTGTCTGACAGTTGCGACGGATGTCTGATGCCCAGTCGTATCCCACGAGATCAGGGCCAATAACAATGAAAACGTGAACGTGATCTCCTGTCCGTCGGCTGATGGCACGGATCTTCTGTTCCGGTTGGATAAGGTGTGCGGCTGAGACTAGTTCAACGGTTATCTCCCCGGTTTGCCAGAGTTCTGCAACGCGTTCAAGAAGGTCTTTTGCGTCATGGAAAGCGGCTTGGACAATCTCTGATTTATGAAGATGGCGATCAGATCGCAATATTTGCATAACTT